AATAAAAAAAAAAAATTCAACTGATACAGGACCTGTTTCCAAATCGGTATAGAAAACTATTCATAGCAGCATAACGAAACTGAACACACATGAAAAGAACACAGTGGAGAGCTGATGGTCCGAGGCATTTGTTACCGGTCACCTGACCTCAGCCCCTCTGAGCCTTGACGGGGCATTTGACAGAGACGACCAGAGAAATAACCAAATATATCCCTGTATGAAAACTTGTAGACAAGATTATCTGATAAAACTGCTGGTTATGTGACAGGTGGAAAAATTAGAGCAGCATCTGAAAACTCCACTCAGAAACGAAAAATCAAAACTTTTTTTAATCCACCCAGATGTCACTTCGATTTTTTGTTTTTCTTTTTAATGAACACACTCGAGGGAGTCTGATTGATTGGTTGGTTAACTTGATTTTTTGGGGCACAGATTTTTTCATACTTTTGACTTTATTTTCTGATCACTCTCTGAGATGAAATGCAACACTGTAAAAGCGGCTCGCTCATGGTTGTTGCTGACAAGAGCCTGCTGTGCTTAATCAGTTTGCTTTGCACAAACTAAATGCCAAGAGGAGATGGAGGTCGGAGTGGGACTATCATTACTGATGGGTTGATAAAACTGTCTGGGTCCACATAAAATAGTCGTTTGAAGATAGTGTGCAAAATTACCTTTGTGCAGAGTACTTTTTATTCTCAGCCATGATTGTCAACACACCCCTTATTTTTTCAAAGACCAGTCATAGTTTTCACATGGTTGATTTGTCTTTAGGAAACTGCTCTTTACAAATGTGTAAAATCCTACAATTCAATTGTTAAAACAAAACCAGTATGGCTGTTTCCTCTTTGGTAATCTGTTAAACAGTTTGACCAAATAATTTACACCCCAATCCATCAATATTGTTTACGTATGGCTGCCCAAAATAAAATCTAATGTAAGGCATATTCAGAAATTGATTTACATTAATGAGAAATTCTTGTATTTTTTTATTTTTCACGAGCGGGGTGATATACTCAGCGTATAGCTACGCTTGGATTTTAGTTTTTACCTCACTTTAGTAAAATTGGAGCCATGGCCCAAATCTCAAACAATTTAGCTGTGAGATTAAGTATTGGTGTACTTCAAAGAAGTGAAGAATGCTTGGCTGTGGTGCCTTAAGCCATGCGCACCAGTCGCTAGTTGGTGGCTAACCAGCTGACATGTTACTATGGGAACAGTAAGAGAGCAGGCGTAGGGGTTTACTTTCACAATGACAGTGGATATCCCTTACTTCTGGTATGTTATCTGGTTATCATGGATTCTTTTCATTTTCAATTTGTCTTTCCCTTAGATCTCTGCTCTCACTGTCTGAGTCAGCCCGATTTCTTATCTGCTTTCTCTCCATCTCTCCCTGGTCACTCTCTCTGGTTACCTTTTGCTTTTTCTTCCCCTTCTTTCAACTTCCATCTACCTGCCTCCATCCTTAGTGGACACCACAGTAGGGATTTTTAGTCTGGTTGGTAATATGACCATTCATTTGATGTGAAAATGGACAGAATGGAGTTTGATGAAAAGTAGAGAGGCCTAGAAAATGAGTGGGTGGTTTAACTGTGTGTTTCTCAGTGTTTGTGTGATTTTGCATGCATACATGTGTAGGAGAGTCTCTAAAAGCAGCCAATAAAGATGGCACCATGTCATGAAGCTCCAGCATGGTGCTCGGTCTGATCTAGGGATACTGTCACATCTTATCCTCCTCAACACCAGTCGCTATGCTCTGTTGGCCAGCGAGGTCTAAAAGACATCACATAGATGTAGATATAAATACTACAGCATCCTCGCTACACCTTCCTTTTGTGTCCTGAGGCAACTGCAGCTTCAATCTACAGTAGTTTATTGATCTTAAAGGGTCATTAAACAGGATTTGCCCATTGTTTTAAGAAAGATCAGCAACCTTTAGATTAAATTCATGGTCTGTAGTTCACATGCACAGGTTGTTTGGACATTTATGCTACCATTAAATAAAACACTTTTATAGTGGAATTTGAATTCAAAATCTTGATGCGCTCAACATCATTTTCCAGATTCAAACTTCAGATAGACTCTCAGTCTCAGATCAAATGAAAGAAATCAGTTTTGAGTGCAAATTCAAAAATGTTTTTTACACATTGTTTCAGCACAGAGCTGATGAATTAGATTGCTTAAAAACAGCATGTGCACTTTTTTCCAAAAGTAATTTTATATGCTATGGTTGTAAATAGTTATTTATATTTCTGTCACTTTCGTTGTTAGATGATGGAAATCCAGAGACATTTACAGAAAAATGTGTAAACTCTAACCTTGCAGATACTTCAAAGTGGCAAAAGATAACATAAGTAACATAACCATTATTTGCAGAATGCGAGTGTAACTATGTACGCTCAATCAAAATCCAATCATATACCTTTAACAGGTGTGATAGCATAAAATAAGTAAAAGGTCATACTGCAACATATTCCAAATGGATGCCATGATGTAAGAATGTGAATGACGAATATTCACATGAGAAATATCAATTGCATATATGAATAAAAATATATATATATATTTATGTTCATGCAATTTTTAGCTTTTATCTCTGAACATCCAATTTCAGTTGCGGATGAACATATCTACTGCAAAGCCTGGCATGAGACCGAATTGGCTCCACGGAGGTGAGGCACAAGCACACTTCTTTTAGGGTGGTGACAGATTGTTTTCTGTTTTTAGCTGTCTTCTTTTTAGATTCAGCTTTCAGCTCCACCTTCTTACGAAAATGACTTTTCCCCATTTGTGTCATATTCTTCTCCGGTTTTAGAAAAGGGTCTGTGTGTCTATAAATAGCAGTCACGTGCGGTAACTTGCCCCAAACTGTCATGTATGCTAATTTTAGCAAAATCTTCATGTTGGGTCACCAGAAGTATGTTCAAACAACAGAAGAGCACACAACAATGGTGCTGAGTACTATACAGAATTATTCATTTGAAATATATAGATCTTAAAGGTTAAACTTTAATATTTATCTTTAAATAAAATCAGTCAAACTTGATTGAACACAGAGTTAATACTATTGCTCATCTTCCAGTGTTTTTTCTTTGCCTTGTAGGGTGCATTTTTTCTACTTTTGTTTGTGTTTTGGGTCTTTAGTGATTTGAAGTTGATCTATCGACAGTGGTTACAGGACCATTTCCTTTAATCTTCTCTTTTACAATTTAATCTTAAATCTGTGTCAGTTTATCACTAGCCAAAACATGGAAGGAGAGGTGTGACATAAATCCTACAGGCTTACACATCCTGAAGGCTTACACATGTGCTATAAGCCTTGTGTGGTGCCTGTTTGTTCATATTATTACCACCAGCTTTGAGTGGCAGAACGACTGTTCGTGGGGAAATTAAATTGTCCTGCTTTGAATTATTCTTTCAAAGATGGTCAGTTCAGATCTACCACTCAGTTTTTTGAATGAATTAAACATCTGTGCCTCATAAAGGAGGGCTCCCTTTCCCCCCCTCACACTATTGTGTTTTTGTCCCAGACTGGTTTTGTTGGATGTGCATTTGTGTGCACACGGTTGTCAGAACATGACAAGGTCATTTGTCCCTGTTAGAAGGACACACCACATTTTTGTGTTTGTGCCTTTATAGTGTTGGTATACACAAATTCCAAATTTCTACAGCATGCTGAGGACATCTGTCTCTCAACATCTACACTACATGCTGCTGTTGGACACTGATTAAAAGCCAGATACTTGTTATCTTGGATTCATATACATACAGACTGTGGAAAAAGCACAACTAATCTTTGGTTTCCAGACATTTTGAAAATGAGACATTGCTGCCTCTCTCTGGATATCGGTCTCAACTGCAAGACAGTGAAGAGATTAGCTCAGTGATTGTCATTTTATAAACTGATCACTCTTAAACGTAAAACCTTGGCTGTGTCCTTGAGAGGCTATATTCATCACAGTATCCCATAATACTCTGGGCTTTCAACTTTTAAACAAAATGGGAAATCAATCACTGAAATTTTCCCCAGAGTGATTTCATATAATCTCATAAGAGTGCCACAGGACATACGGATGTCTCACTGACATTGAAAACTTGTTCAAGCCTTCAAGTTGCTTTTATGTATTGTTGTCACATCAAGATTTAGGTGTGTCTGGATTTTCAGTACGGACCGCAGAGAATGGGATTAATGGAGGGAAAAAAGCATATACTGTTGTAATGTAAAGCCAGTGTTTTTTTCCGTCTAATTACCATTTGAAAATGAGTTCATCGTGTGATGAATCAATAAAATTGAATAAAATTTCCCAGTTTTGAATATTGTTTACCCGCAGACGTGTACTACAAAAGCTCTTAATAAAGCTGTGGCCTTTAGATTTAAAAGTTTTACAGAGATTACTTAAGTATTTTTAAAATAGAATCACACATTCAAGGATTTTTTAATGCCTGTATGTTAAATTTACTCACTTAGAGTGTCTTTTACGACGAAAATAAAATGTGGCATTGGTGGATTTTAGGAACACACCAAGAAAAGTTTAACATTAAGTTTAACTTCCCTTCAATTGGTGACAGAACAACCCTCTGTTAAGTTCCATTTCCTTGTTGTGGTCTTCGGCTTGTTTGTTTCACCTCCTGGTTTGTTGAACGTGTCTTTCATTCAGAGTTTTTCTCAGTATGTGCTCACTTTGTGTGTGTGAGTGCCTGTATAGCCCTGACATGTGTTAGTGGTCCCCGCATGTGTGTATTTGACTGTATTTCTGTGTCACATCACAAAAGGTCTTTTCTGCATGTCATGTCTTGTATTCTTGCCAGTTTTTCTAGATGCTTTTTATTCTTTTTAGATTTCAATTTCAGGTATGCCTCTTGCGTGAGACATTAGCATTCACAAATCTTGGCAATGCATCTGGGAATGACAAATGGAGTACATTTATGTAGTGCTTTTATGGTCGTCTTGACCACTGAAAGCACTTAAGAGTATAAGGCCCTTTCACCTTTTGAAACTGACGTCTCTAGTTTGAACTTTTTTTTCAGCTTATAAGTGCTTTCCCGTTTTCAAGCACACACTCTCCTGCAAATGAATTAACTAGTCAGGCGGATAAGCACTAAACCACCAACATCCTGAGCCACAGCTGCTATACTTGAAGGAAGTTGATGATGATGAGTGTTTTACTACTAAGTTGTTGTCTTTTTATCTGTTTTTTGTTGGATTACAGAATGGTGAAAAATACACAAAGTTTACTATTTTAGATGTTGAGATGCGTGTTTGCAGTTTTTAAAATGAAGTCACAGACTGTTTTTTTACACTGAAAGCTATTAGAGGATAAAATGACATTCCAAGGGATTAATTATTGACACTGATTATGCAACAGGCAGTGGTAAGGCCATTTTAGCTGGCTAATGGATTGAATTGTTTGTACACCCTCTGTGCAACAAAGAGCAAGCATCTTTTATTAGGAAAATGAGCAGAAATTCTCAGCAAAATGGATACACAGATCAACACTGTTATATTGTAAGATATCTTAATACTGCCCATTTAATACTTAATAAAGTATTTAAAGACATTTAATGTACGACTGATTTCATAAAGATTTACTATCAGCACATAACAGTAGAATGCCCAGGAAAGGACACACACTAAAGCTCCTTCATCTGTGCCATTTATTATGGAAACTCAGATGAATGGACTCTTTCTGCTTCATTTGGAGCTGAGGCACCTCAGCTCTTTCAAGCCATCGATTAGGGATATGTTCAATAATTCAAATAATAGCATTGGAAAAATAATACAATTCACCATAATTGAAGTTATTGTGGTGTTGGACAATGACTCTTGCAGGCACGCCAGCTAAATCACTCGGTAACATAATGAATGGGGCCATTTGTAAGTGTGTCATAGCATGATTACTTTTTCTTAACAGTGGATGCTTCCAGCCTCCTTATGACTGAGACAGAAAAGATGTATTCGTCATGATAATCATTAATCTGAATGTACCTTCTCTTCAAGAACCTATCAGGTCTGAGCAAATAACCCTTGGTGATGTCACAGTGATGTAAACAAAGATATCCTTGCTTGGGTCTGTGTTCAGAGCCTTTCATGACATAAATCAAGTTTAAAATGTCCTGTGAGTGCAGAGACTAACCTATCACCTTAAACTCTAAACAGGATTAAATCAAATGGGTTCAGAATGGATGAGTCCAGCATAGTAAAAAAAAAAAATCAAACTCTAGGGTTTTTGGACTTTTGTTTGGATACAATAATGGGAAAAGCCCTCAGTACACTGGAACAGGCTCTAGTTTGATTTCTTAGATGACCTCTTTTCCAGTTTGATTGTAATGCCCTGTTCTGGACGCAGGATTAGCTCTCCTACTGGACGAAGGTCTTCACGTCCCTGACAGGCTTCGACACTGAAGTTACGCAGAATGGATGCCAGAACCACCTTTTCCTCCATTAGAGCAAAGCGCTGACCTGATCAGGACAATAAAAGAGAAATGGAAGAAATGAAAACATATTCTAACACGGACCAAAAGCAAAGCTTGCACGTTCCTACCTATACAGTTGCGGAGTCCAGCAGAGAAAGGGACGTAGGCATATGGAGGCCTTCCAGCTGAATTCTCGGGCAGAAAACGGTCAGGCCTGAACTCCTCAGGCTCAGGGAAGTATCGTGGGTCACGATGGAGAGCGTAGGTGATTATGATAACGTTTGTGCCTTTGGGAATGTTGAAACCCTCTACAAATAGCAGGAATAAAATAATCTTTATGAAATTCAATCTTTGAGATTGAGCATTGTTTTGTCCCTAAATGCAATATTAAAATCTAGTGCTGATAATCCAGAATATTTTTGCATCATGAATCCATATTAGATAACATCCAGGGATTGGTGGATTTAAGGAGAGGTTGGCAATCTATTTTAATGATTATTGCATTTTTGATGTCTTGTCTGGATTTGGTGAGGTTTAGATAATTCATTGTAAGGGTACGGATGTGTCAGGGTCGGGCCCCAAATACAGCGTTTAGGAGAAGAAAAGAGGTGAAGCAGAGAATTTTTTACTTATATCTTCTAGTCTATCAGGTGCATGTTGAAATATGACATTTTTAATGTGCATTGCATGTGAAATCAGGATTAGTGTGAGTCCTGACAGAGTGGTCACCAAGCAGAAACATCTTACTAGCTGAAAGTCAAATTTTGGAGAAAAAACAAACAAACAGGATGCTAAAAAAGGCAGTGAGGAGGCAGCCAGAGTCAGAGGCTCTTCCCCCAAGCCAGAAAACTTATGAAATAAATTGCTTTGCCTGATAAAGTTTTTATTTCTTCAGTTTCCTAACAGATTATAGGAAGATTTAATTTTTTTCAGGAACGAGCAGCCATCATGAGATGTTCTGTTAGACGCTTTACTCATCAAAATACAAGCTACACATGAAGTGTTTTGTTATAAATCCAGAGAAGGTCCATAAAACATAGTGAAGCTTTGTTATTCTCAGTGCTTATATTTCTACTGCAGGCTTGTTATTGCTCGATGCTGTTGGAATTAAATAAAAAAAGTGCCAATGAATAAAACTCGTATTATTTATGTTATTTGGCTGCCCTCCTTTTTGGTCTTGTAAAAGAAATATCACCAGATGAATTTTGTTTTACTCATGATTGCCTCATTAAAACATCAAAAACTCTGTAACTCACTGATATGGCAGTCGTCACAGAGGCTTCGGGCAAAGAAAGGCACGGAGGGAAACAGTCGCAGAGCCTCTTTGATCACACACTCCAGATATTTGAGTTTCTTTAGGTCCTCTGTGTTGATTGGTCGGTCAGATTCACCTGTCACATTGAAAAAAGCAGTGTTAAACTCTCTTTTTCACAATGTTACTCATTTTCCATTGTTTACTGCGCAAACACGAATGTTCTTATTTGAAAGTGTTGAAATATTCTGTGAATAATCTTTAATTGAATTTTCCTGTTTTTAAGTCAAATTTGAAATCCGATCTGACAATGAATTTGCATTTCCTGGGTGTCAAAAGCTGTCTAGTTTATGTCATGGAAAAATGCAAGGAGGCTATGCTAATTAAATTCTCATAGCAGTGATGATAATTATTCTTTGCAAGGATTATTCACAGCCATTATCCTTGTATAAGAACAAATGATCTTGAATAGAGATCGCACGAGTGCCTTCGAGAAGAAACATAAAAGTAATGATAGAAAGGATGAGCTTATTTAATTATACCGAAGACCTCCTGTAGCTCTTGATGGACTTTTTTCTGGACCTCAGGATGGGAGCCCATCAGATGCAGGGCCCAGTTCATAGAAGCAGCTGTAGTATCATGACCCTGAAAAATACAGTTGGATGGACACTTTTTGGAGTCCTCAAAATTGAACAAGTACAATTTTATGTCACAAAAAGAACCTCAAACATGAAGGTGTCCACTTCCTCCTGAATGTCCTCATGGGTCAAGTTATTGCCTTCTTCATCTGTGGTTTTCAGAAGCATGTCCAGAAAGGCGTGTCGTTTTCGTATGATTTGGTCAGAATCACTGTCAGTTTCAATGTAGGACAGGTTCTCGGACCTTTCATTTATCACCTGAACATAGATAAAGTGAGGGACATTGTTAAATTAAGTCTCAGACATGAATTACTTCAATAAATGCACTCATGATAAATTATTTTGGAACAATTACTCACTTTCTTTGTGAAGGAATGGAGGACTTTGAGTGTTTTGTCATGCTCATTGCCAGCCCCAAAGTTGTAATACAAAAAGTTCGGCCAAAACCAAGGTGTCCTCTGCCTACGACTCACAATATCACTCATTCTGAAGTAAAGAGAAAATGGCTGAACTGGCAATTTGTTTTCATGATTGTGAGCATTTGTCTGATTGGAAGGGAAATTTTCAAAATCTCACCTGTAAACACTCTTTACATACTCTGAATCTGAATTACTCTGTGCGTAGATCTTCTTTCCCATTGCAGTTTCTGTAATCAGAAATGGCTTTCATATCAAAGGAGAGGGAATGAAGAGAAAATTTCACACAGTGCAAAGAGTTTGATGAAGTTTGCTTGATAAGAATAGTAATGAGCTGGCCGCCTCCTGCCCCATCGACCACTGGGATAGGCACCAGTTAGGCCCCAGTTAGACCCCATTAGGGATCAAGCGGTTACGATAATGGATGGATGGATGGAATAGTAATGAGTTGAGCTTTGTTTGTCAAAGTTCAATTCAATGTTGCATCACATGCTGTATTTTTAGAGTGAGCGGGGTCTGAACTTACTCTAAGAGTAATGCAGAATTATGTTTCATGTGAATTTCATTCAAAGTGCCACAGATGTAGTTAATTCACTGAGCAAATCAATTTACAAATCGATTTCTGTGGATTTTTTTTGTCGTCCTTGAGTGGTGCATCTTTACACTCACTTGTTTCTTCTGGGTTTTTTTCTATTAATGAGTGGTTACTGTTTAACCTGAATATATAGCTCAGTGCTTTTTCAATCTTTTGTTGCTCATGTCTCAGTATTTTATTCCTACATCAATAATGTAATAGCCTATATGAATAACTTGCATACCAATATGATTGATAAAAGCCTTTTCATTCTAAAAATGTAGAATTAGTACAGCATTTTCATTGTTTGCAAATCCTAATAATAGATTAAGTTAACATTTCATACTGTTTAAATAAAAAATAGCACTGTGTGCTTACCACATATGATATCTAGTGCACAGAGAGTGACATGATTGAAGCAGTTGAAAGGACCCTTCCCGGCCATCTTGTCCAACCTTTCCACCAGAATCTCCGCCTGCTCGTTCATCACTTCCAAGAAGTCCGCCAGAATGGAAAAGTGGAAGGTTGGCGTCAGTATTTTCCTCCTCTGACGCCACTTTCGGCCAGTGCTGGTCAAATAGTGGAAGATATACACTATGGATCAATTAATCTGACTATATTTTTTACCAGAATATCACACTTCGATTAATAAACTGACTCCTTTTCCTACTTGTGGACCCAAATCAACACTGATATGGATTACATTTGAATGTATATGTTTGTTTCTGCTTCATTATCACTAGGAAAAAAAACTCTCCAAAGTCTCCCTTTGTGTAGTTAGCATTCTACTGTGGAATTTTCAGAACGTGAAAACGGATTGATAATTTAAATTTCTTTTGATTAAACAGGCTCCTTATATACATGCAAACATATTTTTCTCTGGCTTTACTAATGCTAGACTCCTGATCTCTCGGATGTTCCTATTCATTGCTGAAAAATATAATTCATTTATCTATTCAATTTTTTGCTAGAGTATTAAAGTTATACCTGGTTAGCAGACCGGTTCCAAGCCATGGATGAAGAAATGTGTATGCAAAAGCCTTGTCCAGGTGAATTGGGTTACTCAAAATTTTCTGCAAGATACAATTTTAAATACAAGTGTTCTACTCAGACAAAGTAATTCATTGAAAAGGACTTAATCAGTGGTGGAATCCATCTTAACTGCATAATAACCCCAAGTTGAATGGATTTACCTGTAATGTTTTTACTTGTAAGTCACTTAATAAAAACATGCTGACTATACAAATTTAAATGACATCTTACATCTTGGTCTATCAGCAAATCTTGTATCTGCTTCTTATAATATGTTATGATTTATATATTTTATGGAGTTGTCAACATGCAACATACCTCAACAGTTTCACTATGAAAAAGAATCAAAAATGGAACTGGTCCAATCCAGATTTTGAACAACGGTGCATCTTTGAAGGCTTCAGTAAATTCCACAATTTGACGAAAGAAATCTGAAACAGGGACCTTAAAATCATGTTATGTTTATGCAAGGAAATGATCTGCCCAGTCAGCCACCTGTGGATAACTTGGTGGTATCTTACCTCCGGAATTGGTTTTAAGCATCAGTGCATTCCCAATGAAGGGATATGTTCCCTCCAAACCTGGAACAGGCTTCAACTGAAACCATATTTGAAGGTAGCTACGTAGCAGTTTGTAGGTGACATAAGTCAAGCCAGCGATGAAGATGCTTAGTCCAAGAAAAGGGACACTATAACTACCAAGCAAAGCCGTCATCTTGCCTGTGATGCGTATTTCCAGTTTGTGTGAGTGCCTCAACACCTGCACTCCCCTGACCTTATGGAACACATTTACAGATGTCCCCCCCCCTCCCCCGCCCCCTGTTTCATCAGATAACAACTTACTGGGTTAAAAGTTACTTTGAATTATCTTTCTTTTGGCATGATGACAATTTGCAAACATGAAAACTGACATACTGAAAATAATACTTTGTGTATGAATGGTAAAATGTAAAATATATGCACAAATCATACATCAAAGTTAATCATTAATCTTTAGATATCTAGAAATGTAGCCGTGTCATCCTGGGCGTGAACTTTGGCCGACTCTAATCTCTTTGCATATAAACACATTTTGCAAGAGCTTTTTGCTGTCTTATGTAATGAAAGCTATAGTTTTTGCCGATATACATATATCATTGCTCACAGGTTTACAACTCACGTTAGCTGTAAATCATTTCAGTTTTGGCCTGTATGTCATTACTATTTTGACTGGAATCTATGTCAAATTACTATTTATACAGACACTTTGGCGAAAAGACCTGGAAGTTTATCTACTCATGGAGTAATTTCAAAAAGACAAATTAGTAATTGCCACCTTTTGGAATTATGTTTTAAGCACTAAGTTTTACAGAGTTGAATGATGATTTTATTTAATTTCCTAGCATTTTTTATTTGCAGCTAAACAGAGCAGGTCACAATGTGTACTATGTTCCCACTTTGGAGAGTAGGCTACACTTTTTTTTTCAGTTTCACCCATTACACCATTGTTGATGGTCTCAAAACAAAACATCCAAATGTAATTATGGCAATCCCTGGAGATTTCAACCACGCCTTTCTCCATCTTTTCAATTCATAACAGTAACCTCCCCAACATGATCAGCAATAACCTCTGACCAACAGACCTGTGTGGACAGGATAAAAGAAACTTAACAGACACACATTTTGGAACTTGACGCACATGGAGATGGCTTCACTGCCATGAGCGAGTATGTGATGGAAAATTAAATTTAGACGGCTTTGTTGTCGGCCATTTTTCAGCCCAAGTGAGGACAGAGCAGTGAGAGGCCATTCTATCTTTTTACGTCACCAAAATATTCCATCCATCTACACATGAGTTGGCAAAAATCCCACAAAGTTAAAACACAGGAAAGACTGTCATCGATCTCTTTTTTTATTGTCAAAACGTATACCTCTTCCATCTCTATAGTTGTGTGTTTGAGGCTGAGTAGAAAAAATCAGTGGACTGCTTCATGGCATGATGTGGGAGCAGGCCGATCACCCTGAATGATCAAACCTAATAATTAGGGTTCAAACCTAACAAAAGTGTCCCTGTCTCTGTGAGAAAAGGTGGAAGCAATGAAGGACCACCACTGGATGTCCATGTCAAGAACAGACTGCACAGCAAATCAAAAATAGATGCTCAACATAGAACAAAGCAGATTTTACATTACCATTTGTAATATGCAGTAATTTTTTGTTATAATCTATTAGTTCACGGGAAAACATGTAATGTATTACCTGTAGTTATCTGTAAGGGGCATTGGACCCAGTGTCTTAAAGTCCTGAACTGATAAAGAAAGGTGGCTCTTAGCCAAAGACTGCACAAAGGCCTAGGAGTTTGCATAAGTACATGTGAGTATAACTACACACTGAGGACCTATGTTTAGGGTCCGAAAGTCATACCTGCTCAACTATATCTGTTAATCTGAATAATCACCATTTGCTAACTTACTGTGATTATACAGATTTCATTCTCTTTTGAGTACAAGCCATTGAAAGGACACAAAGCTTCAAGATTTTTGAACTCCTTTACCATTTAGTCAAAATCTTTATCAATAGTAGTTAAAACACTCAAGGTGAACAGGGTATGGTCTGAGGCTGTTTTGTGTTCTAACTGTATTTATTTCAATGACTGAGACCAACTAGAGGCCAACTTTTGTCAGGATATTGTTAATTTGCAGTTTTCATACAGTGAATGTTCAGTAAAATTCTTACTGGTGATTGGAAAAACATATCTAATGACTATTATTTCTCTTTAAAAACAGGTGGCTACTGTAATACCTTTTCTAACCACTAGATGCCAGAACAGAAACATTTAATAACAAATTACAATGTTTCAGATCATGGAGTGAATACCCTTTATTTTCCACAACACCAGAACCAAACAGACAAAGCTGTGTCCCAAATTAATCTATTCTTCTAAATATCTGGTTAAAGTACTAATTTCACCCCATCTTTATCAAAGTAGTTTAAATGTACAATGTCCTTCAAATACAGCATCATTCATAAACTGAACTGCATATATAAAAGCCAAATATTCAGGCAAAAAGCACACACAGTAAGTATTATCAATGCAAACTCTGAGTTTGTTTGAGAAAAAAAACTTTATGTTAATGGGAAAGAACAGTCAGTCCGGCAGACGATTAGTCATGCTGAGTGCAATGAGGAGCTTCTGGTGAAATGCTGGTACCCTCTCTTTTTGGACTGGCCAGTCCACGATGCAGCTTGGGCGCAGCATGCCCCTGCGGAGGAACAGCGAGCGAGACAACTTGTAGTCATGCACATCTTGCAGGAAGACCAGAACAACCGAGTCTCTGCTGGCTTCAATAACCTGATGAAGTGCCTGATGGACCTGAAATCTGAAAAGGGGCAAACAAAAAGTAAGAGAAGAAAGATAACTTTCAAACTTTTCTACATCATAGAAAACATTCAAATGACTGAAAAAGTCATTGGCAATGTGGCATGCTGAGGTTCTCGGCACACTGAAGGTTTAGATTTGAATGCATCACTTAAAACAGTCAGTGCACTCAGATATACAACTGGAACTATTTTCAGACTCTAAGGTCGTAAGGCACGGGACACCGGCAGAAACTGACACAAAACATACAGACTTCTGCTCTGTGATGATGCTACTCAGTGTGAATGCGACTCACCTTCTGCACCAGGGATTTCTGAGAAGGCTCTCTGTAACGACAAACAAAATCTTTCTGGAATTTTTCATATTATCCACAATAGAATCGAGCACGGACATTCCAGCGATTGAGTCCCGATCTTCAAAGCAGAACTGGCACTGCTCATTCTCCAAAGGGACCAGAGATCTCTCTACCCAGCTGGCATCTTCCTGTGCATGTATAATGTACGCATCATATTCGAAACATCTGCCCTCTTCAACTTTGGCGTCACTAAATCCTAACGTGCGATTGATCAATATGTTCCAGTAAAACACAATCCTCCAGCCTTGGAACCGAGCAAGAAAGGCAACTGACATCAGAATTAAGACAGCTGTGCTGCTTAAAATGTAGAGAGTCTGAAATGGGGTCATGTCTTTGCATGAGAGGGCATCAAAATCTAAGATGGGGTGTTTAAAATAAATGAGTGGAGTGTTGCACATATACTGGTTATTGAGACCTGGCACACTGGTCATGTTTGTGTTGTTTAACCATGTTACAAACCACAGGATGCTCTCGCAGGTGCAGTCGAAAGGGTTTTTGGCCATGACAAGCACGCTGAGGTTGCTCATGGGGATTTTAAACACCTCTGGCCTCACAGACGTGATGAGGTTCTTCTCTAAACGTAAAACCCGAAGGGACGTCAGATCATCAAAAACGGGGTACTTAAAGTAGTTTATGAGATTGTTACTAAGGCTCAACTCCTTGAGGCTTTTCAAACCACTAAGCGCATTCATCGGAATCTCATCAAGTCCATTATAATCCATCTGCAATGTCACCAACTGTGGCACATGTTTGAGAAACAACACAGGCCCACCAAGGTTAGCCATCTTCCACAGCCGGGCTAAGTTGTTGTGCTGGAGTTTGAGCACCCTGAGGTTTCCCAGCCCCTCCAGCATGTTCTCCCGGATGTTAGCAATGTTGTTGTTGCTGAGATCGAGAACGGTGAGGTTGGACAGTGGTCGGAAAGGAGACGGGTCCCGGTTCAAGGACTCGGCTGTAAGACATTTGCCCAGGGTCAGCACTCTGAGACTGGGCACATGTACAAATGAGCTGGAGGTCAGGTTAACAGACTGGATGTTGTTGGTCATGTGAAGCTCCTGCAAACTAGATAGACCCTCAAATTCGCTGCCTATAAGGATTTGCTTGAGAAAATTGTTATTCAACAGGAGAGTAGTTAGATTTCTCAAAGCCAAGAAGCTTTGGGGAGAGATCTGTGCTAGAGCGTTTCCCATCAGATTTAACTTTCTGAGTGGCGATCCAGCTAACGACGCAAAGGTCTTGTCAGTGATGATTTTGGGTGAGGTGTAGGTCCTCCAGCTTATATCCAGCTCTGTGAGACCAGTCAGGCCTGTAAAGGTGTGTTCTCTAATTTCAAATGAATTTCTCTGTAATATCAAGCTCTCAAGGGTGTTCAATGGCTGGAAAACAAAATCATCAATAATAGCAGGAGAGGATTTGTGACCTTTCACTAATGCTCCTGTTAGCTGTAGAGTTTTGATCATTTTAAGGCCCTGAAACGTTCCCCTGGTCAGGTGCTTGATGCTGTTGTCTGACAAGATGAGAGACTGAAGTTGAGGCAGCCACTGAAATGAGCCTTCTTCAATTGTTACCATGCCATTATTAGACAGGTCCAGAGAGGTCAGATTTGTCCTCTGCAGTCCCGTGAAGGTTGTGTTTTTGAGTGAGACCATCTTCGTCTTCTGAAGAGAGAGGGCATCAATGGCTGTCCCCGAGAGCTCTGAGCAGAGTTTGGAAATCAGCAGGGAGTCCATAACGCTCCCGTCAAGGACTAATGTACGCAGGCCTGAGATGGGCTTAAAGCAACCGGAACCCAACTGAAAGAAAACAATCACAGAAACATTGTAGTGAGACCGAAAAGGGGAAACAAAACAAACAACTGAAAACATGAGCCACAGCATGGATTTGTTCCAGTTCTCACTGCACCTTTTCATTTCCTATTTCTGAGTAAGTTACATACCGTTTTTAGAGGCAAAGATGACAGAATGAGGACTTCCAGATGGCATGAAAGGTTTAGAAAGGAAAAGTCCTCTTTCGTAAGGGTGGTGAAATCATTGCGTCCAAGATTGAGCTTCACCAGGCTGCGCAGCTGGGGTTTTGAGCCCAGTTTGGCTGACAGCAGCTTGTTGTTTGAGACATCAAGAGACTTCAAGCCCTGTAGACCAGAAAAGTGGCAACGAAATCCAAATTAGGCCATTTAATGCAACTCTCAAGCAGTCTCTTTGTCCTCACATTCTTACGAAGAAGTAAATCTGCACATTTTTCTTACAGTATCTGATTTGTTTTTAGACTTTTTATGCTTTGAAAGAAAGTAGAGGACTGCAACTTAGTCCTGTGGTTATGTACAGGCATGGTGCTTTTTTTCTTTTTGTGACATTTAAATATAGCTTCACTCACTTATTTCATCATTTCTACTTCACTACATGAACTGTATCTGTCAGAAAAAGGTCATAGTGGTATTACAACAACAAAAGAGACATTTCAAGCCAGTGTGAAGGTTCAACAGTGCATATGCTTTCAAAAAAAAAAAATCAAGTACACATACCTGTAATGTAGAGAATGGTTCGCCCTGTAACTTAAGTCTATTGCTACTGATGCTCAACCATATTAGACCAGTGCAATGAGTCATATCATCTTCTTTCAGCAGATGCACTTCATTATGCTCCAGGTTCAGCGTCTGCAGCAAAGGCAGGCTCTGGCACAAGCCGTCCAGCTTGGTGATGCTGTTGTAGCTGATGTCTAACTGAAGCAGGCTGGAGAATCGGTTTAGCGTTTCCGGGAGGATCCGCGCCAGTGTGTTGTGAGACATGTCCAGGCTGGTGATGTTGGTGGGAAGATCTGAGGGGATTGCACTGAGTCCTAGATGACTGCAGTCGGCTCTGCCATCCTGCAGTTTGCAGGTGGCCTTCTTCTGGAAGGCCACGCATGGGCATAGTCCCAAAATCAGGTAACATAGAGGGATAATCCATAAGGCCGAGGAGCGAGGGACACGCATCGTCTCAGGTACCTTAGAAGAAAAATTAAAAATAACACCACAAGCCCCCACTCAACTCTGAAATCAGCAACAGCAGCCCTGAGAAAATCAGTTTGCACTTAGGATGAAGAATCTGATCAGGTGATCAGCAAATTAAAGACTTCTTTAATCTAAGCGTCTTCCTCTGGTAAAATGAGACATGTCACGCTTTGTAAGAACAAATAAAAACGTTGCTGAGTTACAATATCTTATCTCACTTCCCATTTGTGCGCTCAACATTTCATTTTGACCGGCCCTTAAATGGACATTTTCATTAATGTATTCATTTAGATTCCATGTTGACAGCCGCTTACCTGTGCTTGTCAGTGTGCAGTTCTAGACATGTAGACGCCCAATGAAATTCAGACCACAACAGGAGCTTTTATACGCATGCTCTGTAGCAGCAAAGCACAAACATAAGGAAACGTGTCAGCAGGATGGTCTAGTTTCACTTCACTTTAACTACAGTGCTAGTAAATGCATTAAGATGTCTGCTATCAGCTATCTATATTCAAAGTCTGTCAGTAAAAACATCAGATGTATTACAAAGATCATTAAATATCTTCTGAGCATAATTTACTTAAGCTAGGGTTTATAAAGAGATGAGGCAAGCACACAACCAGGCATCTCTCTGGTTTCAAATTCACAAGTTAGTTCATTTCGTTCAGTACATTGACCAATCCGACATTATTTCATTCGCAAAAATGCACATTAAATTACTTTTCCCCCACAAAAAAGTGGCTGCACATGCGACAACAGGCAGAGGTGATGCACTCACCTGGGGCCGGAGCACAACAGATACCCAAAGTTTTTGGCGTCCAGCTTTAAATAGTTCGTAATCGTTCCACTCCATGCATACGGCCAAAAACCCTGGGTTTTCCTTCTCACGGCAAGCTTACTCCCTTTTTATCGTTTGCTTTGTGCTCTGTCCTCGTCCAACCTGTTGTGCTCTCAGATCTCCGCAGAAACGAAACCTAAGAAGACAAACGCTCTGCTTTATGAGGAATCACCACTAGAGTGCAGTAAATCATTGTTTTTTATTTTTCATCTTCAGCTACCAGGCCACAGTTGTGTGTTGGAAGTGGTCTCATTGCCTCAATAAGACACATTGAGCTGGACCTTTAGGAGAATTAGGATTCTAGATAGTCACTGTGGGTTTTAGCATAATGCTGTGTAAAGGTGATGAGAAAGTACTTTAGTCATTCAGTGATTTTAAGAGAGTGCAAGTAAATGGACAGAAATGGGATCTTGAAAGTAAGTGCATTACAGAGGCGTTACAGATACCAATAAATCTAAAGATCACGGGTCCGTTTTGAAAGGTCAGCGCAAATGGAAAAGCAGAAATGACCTGCAGCTGTGCTAAATGAGTCCGGGTGCATTTGATCAACTGTCCTTCTGACATGATGTCGTTAACATAAATAACTTCATTTTCTTTTAAATGTAAGCAGAATCTATTTCTCATTGTTTTATTTCACTTCAAAATTAACATGTTTTATTTATAATTTGTTCCATACACTTTTACTGGAAGTTATCTTGCAAATCAAAAAGTACTATAACATTTTTCACTACTATTCCAACTATTTAATCAAGTCGACACTAGCATTTATCTTTGATGTAAGCAAGTATTCCCTGAATCCAAACCACTACTGGCACAGGTCAAATCTGCACTGCACAGAGGCACTAACCAAGATTTATTCATTCTGTGCCTGTATTTTGGACCCTCTTTAATCCTTGGAGTGCAGTTATTGTGACCATGTTCCCAGCTTAGTCTTTGGATTGGCAGTATTGGGCATTCATTTCTGTGGTAAAAGGTGAAAAAATCTGTCTTGAATCTGAATGGAAATTTCTGCCCACATTCATATTATGCAGATAAATTGATTTTTTTTATTGAGGCTGAGAGAATCTCGTACCTTTTTGATCATTCTTGGCAGAACTCCAAAGACTGCGATGATTCATTTACTAGGTATTATTGCTAAGTTGACTGATTAGACTGCTTTATTGAGATTTTTAACAGTCTACTAATGATTTGTACAGAATTTGTACAGACATTTCTTTTGCATGTACCACGTAAAAAGACATAAAAGTCTTTGTTTTTTTTTCTTAAGATTTTTTTGGCTCTAGTGGCCTTTAATGACAGGAGCTTGACAGGAAAGGGGGTAGAGATAGAGAGGGGGAGACCTCCGGGAAAGGGCCATGGGCTGGATTCGAACCCAGGCCGCCCGCTTGCGAGCAAAGGCTCTGTATATGGGCCGCCCGTTCTAGCCATTAGGCTACAGCTGCGGCCCAAAAGTTTTTGTTAACGTTTTAAATTGTGGCAAAGGGGGATTGAGCAACATGTTTTGTCTCTGTAGTAATTGGATTATTATCATGAACGATGACATTTGCTTTTGTGAAAAAATGGACACATTACTTCCTCACGATACAACTTAATAAAAGTTAACTGAAGGTCAGTCCCACCTGCACACACTGTCACGAATAATTGTTGTCTAACTCCTTTTGTCTTTCCCTTCACACCCCCATTAGATTAATAAAGCAGGTTCTTCTCGGGATAGACCTTAGGCCTCCTGATTGGTTTACCCCCCTGCTAAGCTGAGGCAGCTTACAGGGCTTTGTGCCAATGGCCGGACTTTTAAAGACCTGTTAAAAGTGATGACAGATTGCAAGGTCAGCATTGTGCCCGTGGTAACGCTAATGACGTGAATAAAATATTTCGCTACAGAGCAGGTGGCTTCTGTAAGAATAAGGACACTTTATTGAAGTAAAATCAAAAAGCCTGTGGAGGAATTGATGCCGCAGGAAATTGTTGTGTCTCCCTTCAGCCATCGCATCAGCTAAATCATGAAGTGCTCTGTCAAAAGCTCAGGGGGGATAAGAGGCAAACAGAGGCATGAAAGCTGACAGACAGCAAGTCGAGGTCAAATTTGCACAGGAATGAGGATGGAAAAGTGAGGACACACCAGCTGGACTGTGGATGGAGTAAAGTTGCGTTACTGTGCATGTTTCCCTCATCGTAGCTGGTGCGTGTCAAGCCTGCTTGTGATTTAACGCACTCATGCAAAAGGGATAACTGGAAGGAGGCAGCTGCTCCATCAATGGGAGTGTGTGTACCACATTCTTCATCTTACCGGCTTCGGTAAATCTCTTCCCCCTCATTTGCAGATCGGATCTCTGGAGTGTTGGAATGCCTCAAAACAAAGGGTGAGTTTATCCTTTTGGCTAAAGATGGCTATAGATAATAGATGCTAACCTGTGTTCCATACTCTTATGTATTATTTACTTGAACATCACTGTGATCAGATTTTCACTGCATACTAACAGGAGAACTGAGCTCAGGCACACAATGCCAATACCTCTGTTGTGTGGCTTTATCACAGAAACACGTGTGCAGTCTGTGGTTGTGACAAAGCAGTGCAGGCATTCTGCTTTGATGAATCTACTGGATGTAAGAGACACGAAAAAGGCTGGACCGACTGTAAAATCCAGAACAGTAACATCTGAATCCTGTTTGAGCCAAAGAAAGCATAAAACCATGGTTTATGAAACCTTGGTTTATGAAAGGCAGACAAATGGATACATGTAGCCCTCTCATGAAGAGAGATTTAGGCAGTAGTAACAATGTAGCATGTTCTCTCTGTCCTCTGCTGAAAAAAAAAAAAAAGATACTGCAGTATATCTCCCCCTCCCCACTTTGCTGACCAATGATGTTTGGAGGTCAGAATCTCGGCTCTGCTTCTGCTGTCAGCCTCTGACTCACAGGCTGTCCAAGAACGCAGTGGTTATTACACCTCAGGAGAAGGGAGGGGCGGAAAATTCAAGGCGATGTTTGTGCATTTTGATAACAGACCCATGCTCGATACGGAGCAAGGCTGTCGCACAGCACAGGATGTGCTGCTGCCATAGATTCAGGAGAATGAGCCTCCATTGTCAGATGAGAGTTCAGCTGTAATCTTTATGACTTCACTGCTTACAACAAACTATTAAAGCATATGTTTCCTATTTCTAGAAATTCTTACTTAGTGATGGTCAAAAATAATCGGAAACCATTTTACTGCATCTTTTTTTAATCAGACCCAGTATGTGTTTTTTTTCCCCCTCACTGACTGGGGCTCGCTAAGTGCTGACTCTGGTCTCTTCCCACTATAAGTGGTCCCTCAGGGTGACAGAACATCAATACTGAACTGGAATCAGCATCATGGATCTACTACTGTGCTGCTCACTCTCCGCAGTGGGGCTTTGTGAAATACAAAGCAGGGTGGAAATTTGGCGTGCAAGGGTTACAGCTCAAAATCGCCCGGATACAATGTGGACTTTATTCAGGTTGCAATTTATTTGCTTTATGTAACCGAAGCTGTTTTGAATCAATCAGTTAAACAGCCAGTGTGACCCAAAGAGAAACCTTAATATTTCCCTCTCTGTTTTAACATCAGCCAGATTATGACAGAAAATGTAGAATAATCACAATTGGAGAGGCAAGCACATTTTTAACTTTCTTTTTTCTAGGATACATTCACCATGGTGCCTAATGCATTGCCAGTGAGAAACCAAAGCCTGTCATTTATCCTTTGACCATAACTATTTTGTTCATTTAAATCACTGTTCCTGTTGAGTAGTTTATTTATACTATGGAGTTTGACTTCCTGAGCTGCCATGGGCATCAATCAAATCCTCTTCAGAGTGTAACACAAGAAATTATGCTGCAGAACTTTGGTGTAAACTTGCAGCAGAATTTGAGCAATGATAAAATGTATTGTTGAAAGAATTGCTGTGAACATTAGGCAGAAATACTACACAGCCATCATTTACAGGAATTTATTATATGTTTTTCTGTCTGAAACAGTTTTGCAGTTTTCATTTAATGCTGATTTGGACTTAGGGCAGCATGATCATGCTGTGTGGCCTCATATTCCACCAACAAATCAAAGCCTGATGGTGGACAAGGCCCAGTCTGTGTGAGTGTGTTGTATTGTTCCTCTGCGATGGTCCTGCAATGAGCCTGCAACCTGTTCGGGGTATCGGTGTCAGCTGGGAAAGCCCTAAGCTCCCGACATCAGCAAAATAAAGCTGCTGTAACGTTTGGATGTATTTACATTCTATGTATACAGCAAGTATGCAAAACTCTTGCCAGCTGTGTGCTGTAAATTTATAGGACTTTAGTCATGAACAGCAAATTTAGCCTCTGTTCATACACAGTAATAAAGAAAGCCTCTATGCTGGCAACGCTGCCCACATTTAATTACAATAATTAACGGGGAAAAGCTTTATCGCGTTGATAAATGTATGATGGTGCTGACCTGTCATCCATAGCACTGTAATTGCTTTATGAAAATGAATATAACACTTTGTGAGTTTTGTTCCCATTTTGTCTTTTTTCCTGATCATTTGAAACCTTGTGCTTAAACCCCATTTCAGCTAAATTCACCAGGGCATTACATCCAAAAGAGACTGGTTTTCTCCATTTTAATCCAGGTCTAAATTTGATTATGACTGATATCAGTTAAATGTTTGTCTTTAGCTCGATAAAGTGAGTGAATCAACAGTTTTTGTATATTTCCTGGCTTGAACTGCAGAAAGCAATGAAAGTAGAGTTATTGTCAGGTTTCTCATACAATGATATTACACTTTTTTTTTACACCAGCCAGAATGCAAAGACAGCAGGTAAAGCTTTGTGCCAGCACCCTAATCTTCGACTGCAGTAATATGGCAAAACACGCAGCTACCCAGTCTGTGAGTTCTGGTTAACAGATGAGACCAAATGCTTTTTCTTTTAAAAAAACAAACAATCAAGAATGAGTGGCAAGCAGTTATGGTTTGTCTATTCTTTCTTCAAACATATTACATCATTTTTATGGTTTCTTTGAAAAATAAGCATTAAAAAGATTGTACTAGATTGTGATAAATACAGGAAAAATCTTGGAGCCTTTTCCTCTGGTTCACTCCCCAGTAAAGAGTTCATCCCTCTTTAGCTAAATGTACAAATATTTCTATGGTCATGTGGTCAAAACTGATTTAGAAGATCGGGGCTCTTGATGTATTGAAGCGGAGCTACTACCAAAAAAGGAGTAGGAAATTCATAGGTCACGTTCCTAACGGAAACTATTTGGGACTGTGGCTCACCCTGAAGAACGGAGTTCAAGAACAGGCGGATAATGCTAAAAGTCAGGAGAAACTCCAAGTGTGACAAATGTGACTGTTTCTGAGGACGTTTCACTCCTCTTTATCATACCTGTGTTTTCCCTTTGGACACAAACAATCTTTTCCTCTTGTACTTTCTTTTGCTAATTGAATCCCTCGACGGATATTCTCTGAATTAGGATGTGTGATGTCTTCTTTTGAATTTCAAAATCCACAGAATCCTGTTGCGTATGCTTACTGTTGCATGTTTGCTCAGTATTAATCTCTTCCTGTTGGCTCCTGATGAATGCCCCTACTTTCCCCCCTGAAAATGCTAGGATTCATTGAGCTATTACTTGATTAGAGGCTGATGAGGAAGCTGGAAATATATAAGGAGGATTTACAGCTGAGAAATCCCACAAATCCAAAATGGAATTCTTCTGTACATTTTTCTCTCCCATATATCATTCTCGCTTACAGACTTATTAGTAAGTAGATGAAGTAAAAAGCTAACGAGGCTGCAGATTGTGCCAATCCCATAGAGTTTTAACAGCTCTGATGTGGATCATTACCACCTTTAATCTGCATTGATAGAGAGACTGGGGTGCAAGCAGACATAAAAATACAAAGATCCACTTGTAAACATTGTCACAATATCTCACAGCATATTAGATTTAGTCAGTAATTGTCACTCAAGTTGCTTAAGTTGCTATTTTAGTAAGTTGTAGTCTGTTCAACTCTCATTACCTGCTCCAACAGCTAAGCAGAGCATGTCAAATATTATATTATATATAGTTTTGTATTAACTTTGTCAACAACAGAAATAGAAACTGCAGTTAATCATTTGTCTTTAAACTTAGGTCATATGTTTTGATAGCATTTGATCATTTTCTTGCACAGTTTTTGACCAACCCCCATCTCCAATGAGCAGACTTTCAGCTCTTGCTTTATAAAGGGCATGCTGGCAGATACTACATCAGCAAGCAGCTATGCAACATTTCATCAGACACAACACCACTTATCAGTCCACTCAGCAGGAGAGGGCTGGCGCACCTTAGTGAAGGGTACTGAGGACAGTTAAGTGCAGAGTAATATTAGAAATGTATTCCAGAGAGACTGGAGTTGGAATACACGTGTGGGAAATATGAAGAGGTAGCCACATAGTCACTGACCTACCTTACATTACCTGAAAAGCAGAAGGTGGCAGATGTGAGGCCCCACAAATCAGAGTTTCAGTGTAGAGACAGATTATATCTAATTGAATCACAATGCCAATCCCATAAATGGCAGTTCTAGCTCAGCATGCTGTGTCTGTGTCCCAAATTAATTAGATTAAACAGTCATTATTCAAATGATCAAAAATGTTAACCTCTGTAAGGCACTTAAGTCATTCTTTCTTGTTGTCAGACTGTTTTGCTGTTTTTTGCTTTGTATGAAAACTGCATGATGAATATGATTACATTATTTATTATGCTTTATTTTTCAATCCACAAAGCTGGTGTTGGCGTTTTGACTTTGTCCTGAGTTCACCCAGATTGTTTCATTGGGGCTCAATATTTGTTTAGATACATCTGGCACAATGGGAGAACTATTGACAAACCACCAGACTGAAAAACCCACAGTGTTATCAATAGAGCCAGAGCAAAGATCCTGTTGGCTCTTTTGGCAAAGCTAAATAAGGTGACAGTTAACACAATATATCAAAGTCAATTTTTTAAAATACAATAACTTTGTGCCCTCAGACCACACCATACATTTGTTTTTGAAAGTTTAACACCAATAGGGAACACTGTTGTGGAAGCATTTTTCACAAAAAATATATACATAAAATATATATATCAGGTGGTTTTGTGAAGCAGATTGTTTAAGTAATTACATGATTCCATTCCATTAACAGCATCGAGTTTTGAATGAATATTCACTGCTCTCCAGACCCATTGAGTGAAAATGTGTTTAAAAGAGTATCACAACACTGTTTAGCTTCACACACAAAATTACAGAAGGGAAGTATGTGGGCAGTATCCCTGCTGTTGAACTGCTGAAACTGAAATGCTTGTTAATAATCCAACCACAGCTTTTAATGCTGTGATCAGACCACTGTACTCAAACAATGAAAAATGTTTACAAACAGCTCATTAGCACTGGACAGGTTGTATTCATTAGACACATAACTTTATTCATTTATGAGCGCAGAATACAAAAGTATACTTTTGAAAAACAAATAAAACAACATGTTGAAATAACTGTCTGTTTAATCTCAGGTAGAATTCCTCTGTGACTGGCAAATTTCCATTTCCACAGTTGCACGTCACTGTCTCTCTTGCTCTGAAAAACAATGAGTAAGCTTTTAAAGCCAATGCAAGCAGCTCTGCCAGACTCAAACAGAGCCAGTTGGTAACATCAGCTGCAACATTGTAGATTATTAAGACATTCACCCATTCATTTTCTATACAACACTTGATCCAGTTCAGGGTCATGGGGCGGCTGGAGCCAATCCAAGTTGTTATGAGATGAGAGTGGTGGTGGGTGGGAGCTCACTCAACATGTTGCCAGTCCATAACAGGGCTTCTGAGGAACAACTTGCTTCACAAATATTAGAGAAGATGAATTATACTTTTAGTTTCTTATTTATCTCCTAGTCTCAGCCAACCAAATTTTCCAAGCATGACTGAATCACTAGCTACAGAAACATGTTTAAAAGAAGGCATCAAAGTGTATCTTTATGTAAATTCTTTGCAAACTATGATGTGCATTTTCATGCAATTAAGATTCACAAGAGGTAATCGTATTGACAAAGAAAGTCGAATAATGATGTCTTTATATGTAAGATCAATTTTGCCTTTGACTTTTATTTCTATTTTTTTCTCCCAGAATATTTTTTTCTGTTTTCCTTCAGTTTTTGCCTACATGCTATTTTTCACTTTCTGTTTCGTCAGCATTTCCTCGACATCTGTCATAACAGTAGAGGACCAGCTTTTCATAAACTGCCTTCTCCATGGGTGACACTGACACTCACAGGACCACCATGGATAATTTTTTTTCATTGATGCAATATAGCAGTGGGGCACAGAAAATAGTTGTGGGATTGAGATAAATTCCACCAAGCAGTTTGAGACTGCTGCATGACAACATCTACATCAAAATCTCTGCTCTTTCTTAATCTGTATGTAACAAAAATAAACCCCAGAGTAAGGAAAACAAATGTAAAAAGCAGTCAGCTTGATTAATAAAGATGTCTTTGAAAATCTTATTCAAGAGAATTTCGTCAATAAAAAAAAGGCAATTCAAACAAAAGAAAACGAACCACACTAATAGAAAGAGGTATTGAGCTAAAAAATAATTAGAGGAACCTCCTGCATTGACAGTGCTAATTAGATAGGTGCTATAGAATCCAGTATCAGCAGCCTCTTACAGATTGGCCCAGACATTTCACTTGGTCAGCTCTTAGACATCAAAGCATGTCTGGAATGGAAGTGGGAGCACCATGATGTCATTACCTGACAAAGTCCTCCTGTACTCAAATGCCACCCACCCATTCAGCACCACTGTGCTACTTTAACATTAGCCAGATGAGTGGGCTCCAGTATCAGCTGTTCCAAATGTGGATCTCTTTGGATAGCGTCTGTGGAAAGATGTGACAGAGTTGTACAGCTAAGATAAAAGAGTTATTTTCTCACAAGATCCATGTGCCAGGCTGTTGTCCATTAATGTGGGCTATTCTAGGGGTGTGCTTTGATAGGGCTTGGATATTGGATAATTGCATGTATGAAGTGGATGCCTTCAAGGGAAATATGGTTCCTTTATTACACTGAGATTAAGCTAGAAGCAGATGCCCTGCTTGAACTGTAATATTGTCATGTTACAACAGGGATCAGATTCAGTATATCCTGTATCCAAGGACAGCTTTCAGATTGTCAACACTTGACACCACTGTATGAATGATGCAAGATTGTGGACGCCTCTGCTATAAATGCGTACGGCCCATTCTTGACTCTCAGATGAGATTCCTGTGACTGTGCATAGCTCCGTCGTAACCTGGACCCTGGATTTTTTTTTTTTCCTGTAAAGTTCACACACATCGCTTGGTGCTCTGCTCTCTGTATGGTTACACCAGTATTGCCCATGGATCTCTACATGCCAGACATAACGTAACATCAAATTCTACCCTGGCTTTCAAAATGCATGGCCGATAGTATGTCTGCAGATAACATTCCGTCTATAAAAAGGCACACTCTTGACAACGTTCAATAAGGGCTGTGTATTCCGCCTCGTAAGAGCTGGTGATAAAAGACCGAGCACATGCACACATACACACAGATGTGGTCATGCTGACACTTCACAAAGGTCAGCTATCAATAACAGTCTAAATTTGTACACCTTTAATGTTGACAGAGAAAAGGGTTCAGCGTGGATACATTAACAAGAAAATACCACCGTGGCTGTAATAATGTCCAATGGACCTTTGTAGTTAATGTCACTCTAATTACTCTTTATAACAAATGTTCAATAGCTCACAATTAGTAAGCAAAATATGGTAATTAAATTCCAATAAACTAAGTTGGCATGAAATTCATCTGCAATATAACTTGGCTGCTAAAGTCTCAGATTTAAACATAGTAATTGCCAAACTGAAAGTGCTGCACCGTTTCTTATTTCATTGTGATACTGTGCATCTTGCTTCATACACAGTAGTGGTAAAATATAATAGTAATCATTAGATATTTCAAAATGACTGCATCTGATGCTGTATTGCAGTCAATATACACTGTAAGTTGTGTGTGATTTTGCGTCAACTCACTAGACCATTTTAAATAGTCATCTTTAATTTATGAGGAAGAGCCTGCTTGCTGGCACTTTAAAGCAAAATACACACAGTACTAGTCTGTATATCTATGTCTCTGATGTTGCACAGAGACATTAAATAATAAACTGAAAAATGTAAGGGTACAGATGCCAGAGATAAAGGGTCAATTAAACAACGTATGTCATAGAAAATATAGATTTATTCTCTTACAAATTGATGTCATGGGCTAATTCCATTTTCTCTATGGATACAGCACTTTGAAGATACAGTGCTTCAAAGCACTGCATCCAGACTGTAAATGGACTATAAATAATGCATTATGTACAGTATATGCTGGCACATACATGGGAGGATAATTCCATAGTTCAGACAATAAAAATCTAGATAAGGCCAAGCTGTTTTGCTTAATGAAGACTATACCAAAACAATTGCAGGACACGTCTTTCAGTTTTTGGCATACACCCAGCAGGGACAGTTGACCTAAAGCAAAAAGTCAGCTTCAATTTAAAACACAGTATGGTAAATCAGCACAATATCAGTGTTTCCATAAATGCACACCTGTCATGTTTGTACAGTTCCGTGTCTTTAAGATTGCCCATTGAAATAACACTGAAGCACCAATCAGTAAATTCATCACATAAACCCTGCCAATAGATTTGAGTTGTCAGGTGCTGAATTTAAAGTCTTGTTCTTTAAAAATAATTAAATTAACCCTGCGAAACAGATTCACTCATCAGTTACCCACACCTGTTTTAATCTGTTGGCGGTTGCATGGGGCTGGAGCTCATCCCAGGTGTTAAAGGGTGAGAGACTACAGATGGTCACATGTCATCAGGTCATCACTTGCCAACATACAGAGACTGACATGCATGCACTTTCACTTTCGGAGTACAAATCAACCAAACATCCGCATCTATGGACCTAAAGGAAGAAAAGTGGAGGGGGGGGCAAAGAAAAATGTGGACATGGTAATCACATGCGAAATTCCACACAAACATGGCCTATTCCAGGTTCATCCTAGGATATATTGTACACTGGCCAGTGCAAGAAAAATAACTGTCAAGCATCACTGTGTTAGCAAACATCATATTCAGCATGTACTTGGAAATAATCCTTGTTTAACCTAAATTCTAAGCTGCCAAGTTGATCCCTGTTAAGCGTTATGTTACACTTTTTACACCTAACTTGGGGATTTGTAAATAAAAAAATAATAATTTCAAAGTGTTTTTTTATTTTTTATTTTTTAATTTGAATCAATTCCTCTTTTCCAAGTTCTGCTGGCTTACTTTCAAAACGTTCACCTATAAGTGGGGCTCATACTCTAGCCTTATTGTCACTGAACAATAGCTTAACATCTCCTTTGAAATATGACGCTACATTATGTGCTGCCAGGGAATCATAAACATACTGAGATATACTTCTTGCCCAGCAAGAGATACATGTTGTTAGAACTCTCAAGCCCAGCTCAAACAAGTAAACACAATTTACGGCCGACAAACAATTCTTATGTGAGGTCAGTCCTTGTGTTTTCCTGTTGAAAATAGAAGACAAAGTGGCACTTTCCTGTTACTGAGCTGCGCTCAGGCCCGTGTCCCTGCTAGCACTGATTGAACCGCGGCCGTTACCATGGTGACACCGCGACCCAATGAGAGGCTCGCGGTTGTCGGTTGCTGAATGAAAATAACAGAGGCCATTTTGCGCACTAATTCAGGGCATCATTCACTAATAACAAAAACGGAAACGGAAGAATTCTGCCCATTTTTTCCCCCTTGGCCTGACGCGACGGCTGCAGACTTGACAGCGTGGGGAGAGCGGAGCGACTGCCGCATGGTGTCGGGTAAGACGTGCGGTTTAATTGTGCCGCCGCGCCGTCTTCTCGCCGGAGGCTTTGAGTCGTGAGGAAACAGCGGTTGGGACAGCTTCACCGCATTGCTATCCGAGGCCCAGTGACCCCCACCCCCGGGAGAGGGAGCTACCTTTACTTAGCTCACCAACACCGGTGACATCCATGCTCGTCGAAAAAACAGGTGTACGGTTTCATCTCACGGGGCGCCCCACTAGCTCCCGGGTGGCTTTAGCTCGCTGTTTGTGTTCCCCCTGCTCACTCCGAAGTGAGAACTCTCGTCGGGTCACATGGAAAGAGACCGGTCTCTTTGCGATATCGTGCGAATTTGTGAAGTGAGGATACAGTCGCTTTAAGGTAAATACCAACAGAAAACGGCAATGTTGTTAACCCCCTCAGCACCGCTCCTAGCAGCTGCAACCGATCTGACCCGGGGCTGAATTTCATGGTAAATAAACAGGTAAACTGAATTTCTTTCCCCTTTCAAGTTCTCCCAGGAAGCGGTTATTGGATATATGTTATCAGAGGGTCATAAGCGATTGAATGAGCTCATTCGGGATGTTGTTTGCTCGCCTGCTTCCATGAATGTGCATTCCACCGGACTTCCCTGTGGATCAGGGGGAAGATGCGATCAGGAATCAGAAGATGGTGAATGCCTAAACTGAAGACTTTCAGTCACAGGAAAGGAGATTGCTGAACGTTAGCAGTAAATAAACCAAGGCGTGTTTTATCAACCAGACAAATAGTGGTAAGGATGATCTGAAAGAGCCACGTTTAACCTACATCCCAAATGCTGGGGATAATCTCTATTGTTAGGAGAGAGATGGTATGGTGCAATGCTTGTATGTGTATTTTCTTTTATCTTTTTCAGATTTGACCTCAGAAAAGGTATATATGGTCGTATTTTGTGTTTTATTCTAGTTAGAGAAAACATGAATGGTCTTAGTCCAGTTTGGTGCATAGAAGCATGTTTTATCAGCACTAACACTGCTTCAGATCGTTTCCCACTTTTGTATGTGGGAAATGAAATGGGCTGATGACAGATTGTAGCAATGTAAGGTCATTAGAGCTCTCGATCAGCCTCTCTCCCCAAGGTACTCGGCCTTTAGTATAATTTAGATATAATGTTTAGTGTCTTGCTTCTGCTTTTATGAACTGTACGTCCAAGCTCTGAGATAAAACACATTTTCTTTGTTGCTGCCTGTTAACTGATGTGAAGCAATGATGTAATGAGGAAAAGATTAAAAGGCCAGCAGGCACGGATGCTATCTGCAAGAATAATTTGAATCCTGGGTTAACAGGGACAGTGGGGAGGTGTCCAGGCAGCACTGTGTGTAACCCTATCACTCCTGGAACCTCACACCACTCCCAGCGAGGCCTACCTTTCTCACAAGTGTGCAGTGTTCACTGTGTATGTGCCGTTTTCGATGAAGTAGTTTATGTATTTCTGTGGCTGCATATCTGTGTCTGGCAGAGAGGAAGCAACACAGCGGGATGCAACATGATGAGCAACAGTTGGCTGCTATCTGTCTGGCCGGGGGCTGCCGCACCAATAAACCTCTCATAGAGACTTAAATATACCTACTTAATGAGCGATCATAGTTTCTGAAGTGATTGATGGTCAGTGCACCATGAAGTATGCAAGTGTTAACACTGTTGAACCTGCCAGTTTAGAGCCTCTGAGAGAGGTGGTGTTTTCTGCATGTAAGGGGGAGAGAGCAAAAGAAAAAGGGGACCAAGGCAGGCCATCATCTCCTGATGATCTGCAATGTTGATTTTTTTGTTTAGTGTTCTCTCTTCTCTGTCAAGCTACGTCTCTCTCAAACACAACCCTTTAACTCTTCCTTTGGCTCAGTCCCCTCTTTTTGCGATATCCCTCTGGCTGTTGTGTTTGCCCTATTTATCTCGCCTTTCTTTGCCCTTCATCAGGAGCTGATCTCATGGCTTATGTGGGATGATGTAAAAAACCCTGCCTAATTTTAAGTCTAACTAATAAAAGGAACCACTTGCAGCACATCTTCCTTTTAGCTTTTTTTAGTGCCCTTTAGCTTCTGTCAGTCCAAGAAAGTGCAGATTTTTTTTTTTTTTTTTTCCTTTTTTAGTTTTTATTGCGTTTGTTTTAAGACGCTCTGTAATGTTAATCAGGACAATGTAATTTTCAAAAGTCCTCCCAAGAGGAAAATCTGCGTACTTCATACGTCTTTACTTATGCAAAGATTCAATTTAAAGATGGGTTCCAACTTCAACTGTGTTGAAACAATCGGCGCTTTCTTTAAAGTGGTGGAGAAAGTGAGAATCGTCCAGCTTATTGCTTTGTCAATAATGTGTAGTTTTGTTGACGGTGCTAATCATATTTTTGCTGAGACGTGCTTGAAAACACAAATTAAAAAGAAACGTGTCATTATATCTTATTTATGCTGTGGTCCATTTGTTTTGGGAAAAAATATTTCAAAGTTGTCAGCACGTAACTTATTTATATTGCTATCTTATAATCCTCTAGAAGGTGTGTACATTTAGAGCCGGAGAGGTGCTGGCACTTGTCTGTGGGTATAGTGTTCTCTGTGTTTTGATCTTGTCCCAGGTTTAAGTATTTTTAAGTGTCACTTCTTCTATGCACAGTTCCTCTGCTTTATATATCCTGCCACTTACTTAACTGGGAATGGCAGGCCCATGCAGAAGCTGATAATGAATTAGGTGTTGAAACTGTACGGGTGAGACCATGTCGACGCGAATACTGTAGGCTGGAGCAGCTCAGGGGTCAAAGCGACGGTGTGTTTGCCTGTGAGTTTCTGTCAGTCACTGTAAAAATAGTTTGCCCTGGTGCTTTAATGAGCACGCAGCGGATTTTATTGTTTTTAAAGTAATTACCTCATGAACAAATTCCGGTCAGTCACGCCCACCCAAGTCAGACGGATGCTGAAAGGGATGTGATTCAAATAAACAGAATAAACATTAATTTAATGTCAGAAGCATTTTTTTTTGTATATCTGAATGTAGAACTGTGCTGACTGCACCACGTAGGTTACAGGATAAAGCCTGTAGTTTAAAATGTCTGTAATGGGACTTAAGTCAGGACTTCAGCACAGGACTTTATTGGTCCCCCGATACTGCCCTGATTTTGGCCCCAAGGTTTCATCATTAGCACCTGTCAGTTGTCAGCTTTTCACCATACCTCGCTGATCCTTGGAACGTGACCAGAAGTTTCTGGGGCCCAGCTGCTGTTTGGTCATGGCTGCTGACACACTGATCATTACAGTGGTCTTTGGGGACCCCACGCTCTGAAGTTTAGCAGTTTGATGTTTATAGTTTCTGGAATGTTGCTTGATATTGGGGTCATCCGTGTTCATGTAACTTGGATCTTTACATCACCACTTCATCACTGGCATGATGAAAGATGATCTACATACCTTTGACCCAGGAAAAAAGCTGCCCACCATTCAGCGCTTCTGAAGTTGTTAGGAAGTCTAGTTTTTTACCTCTGTGACTTTATCCTAAGATACTTGTCGTTGACCGGGCCATGAATGATTTTGGTTTGTCAGTGAAGTTAAATGACGTGCACACCTCACCACTCTGGATTAGTGGAGCATCATCTCTATAAGTTAATACAGTTTCTTTTATTGTAACCAGCAGACTCTTGGCTACTCGCGCTGTGAAACACTTACTATGTTGTTTATTGTTGAACATAAGTTTAAGGGATAGATGACTGTTGTTCAAATAGCATATTGCACAGTAGCTGCCTGGCTGGTTTTAGGTAGCCAGGCTCTAAATATGAAATGCTAATTGCAGTGGTTACATCATCATTCTAGGAATAGCAGGGAGTCTGGGGTCTAGAGGTGCTTCTGGCTGACCTCTCCCCTGTGTATATTCAGCCTGTGTGTGTGATCATTGCCAAATATACATTCCCATATGGATTGCACAGCAGGAAAATCCGAGTAGACACTTAATTTTTATTTGCATTTACAGTGAGAATTGATGCTGACAGCTTATGCTTTACGATTGGGGGAGTATAAATAGAATTAGCACATCTGTCGTATGTGAGATTTAATTTGCACGTATTTGAATAAGTCGTCTTGACTGGCAGTCAAAGCGTCAGCAACAGAAAGTGAAAGAAAATCCCACGTGTGAACAGTTTGACATTCCTGTAAGGTTTCGTGTGGGAGGAGGGCACTTTGCAACACAAAGGAGCAATAGCTGTATGTCTGCCCTCAGATATGCATCCCAGCTCCAGTCGTGTCATCCTAAATTGTCAAATTTGTGCATAGTTGATTTAGATATAAGACATCTGTGTGTGTATATGACGTTTTTTAGTCTCTGTCCCCTTAGTTAACATGTATGTAGACATGGTCACTTTGCATGTGTGTGAGCGCCGCCACTGTGTGGTATGCATGCAAACATGTGTGCGTGTGGTAAAATAGAGATAGTCAGCCCTGTCACTTAGCCCCCACCCATCTACACTGGGGGGTAACTTTCCAGTCTCATAGACGAGCATGCCTGAGTCTGAAAATAGCCGTATCTGATCACTGCTTCACCCAAATGGGGAACTCTCATTCCCCGTCACTCCCTCTCTTTGGCTCTTTCTAACTTTCTCCCTGTCTGTTGTCTCTGTGCTTGCCAGTCATCAAGCAGGGTAAGAACCGGGAATAGAGAAGGAGTCTGGAAGGGGACGCTTTTCCTGAGCAGGGGGAAGGAGGACAGAAAACATCCGAAAAGAAGAGAGGAGCCGGGACTCACAGCTCATCTTCATTTAGCAAGACTCCAGTCTTTTGGTTTTATGACGGTAAGAGTTTTGATTTTTGTGTTTATTTGTTTTTGGTTTCTTCCCGGATGAATTGCTATACTTGCACTATGATGGTTTGAATACTGTGAAATTTACAATATTACAATACAATACAGTACAATACAATACAGTACAATATTACACGTTACACATGTGAATTTTCTTGCCGAAACATGGGAAGAGAAGCATCTAAGATTTATTAATTTACCCGTTCACTTTTGACCGACTCATCTCATCTACAGCAAATTATTTTCATTAGAGCGAGATGACTTTAAATTGGTGCTGTGTTTGTCTCCCTTGAATACAACCAGATATTATAGTCCTGTCTACTCAGTTGTCATGTGTCTAAATTTACTTGTTTTGAACACATGCTGCTTGAATGAGAATGCAAATTAAGTGATCTGAATAGATTTTACAACCCATGTACCAATCAAGAATTGTACTTATCTGTCCTGCCAAGCCACAATTATAGACTAAGTGGGGAATTTTTGGGGTTTCTATGTGAAACTGGACAGGGGAAATGGTTTCAAATGAAAACAGTGGTTCCTTCCGCAGTCACCTCAGAAATGGCATCAGCACAGAGCTAGGGTTGCAGTTTTTGTAAGTCGAAAGCAATTTCTTCATAGTTCTGGACATTTTAGCAAGCACAGTGGGTATTTTGATATGAATGAAATGTTTTCATTAGCACCTAATTTTAGAAAAAAAAATTAAAACCACACCCCTTAGACCTTCCTTGTGTTTTCGCTTTCAAACATCCTACCTGCTCATAATTATGGTCCAGAATCTCATTTTCCTCCCGTGTCGCTTTGCCTTACTTCCGTCTCTTGTTACACCCTTTTTTTTTTTCACACTCTCTTATTTCCCATTGAACAAAAGCCTTGCACCAATCCCTCCATTAGGCCAGTCTCTGAGGTGTTGTGGAATGTCACCTTGACCCCTCGGGAACACTCGGTAAGGGGTGGTTCTCAGCCTCGTTCGTGGCATAGTACTCGTGGTTTGCTGTCACCCTGACTTCCATCCATACAAAAAAACACAGTGTCCTCCAAGGGTCACAGGCCATCCCCGTTATTCAATTATAATAATCAAAACTTTAGAGTAAATCCCACCAAAGGTGTATTTGCAGAACTCAACACAATATTTTTTTCCAAGAAGAAACAAAATGAAAATGTGCAGTAAAACAACATATTTTCTTTAACTCTGTGTCGATTTGTTAAGAATAGGAATTATACACCTTTTTGTGCCTTTTGCGCAGGTTACATGATTGTACAGCTCATAGAGTTAATCAACTTAATGGTCAGCCAATAGGTGATGGGCTCCTGTCGGCTATGGTAGTAAACATAGTCCTCTCCTAATCAAGTTCTTCTTATCTTCGTGCTCGTCACTTCACACTAGTACCTGGGGAATCCAGACTATGCAAGGGGAATGCAATCTTAGCTACCGCTGATAGCTGTGCTTCTTTAGCCGCAGCCTAAGCTTAAAAAAAGCTGTTTTTAAACTATTTTGGATTTGTCTTTCAACATCAGATTTGAATAAATAGAAGTAACCAGCGCTCTGACTTTAGTGAGCTCCATTACCCGACACATGAGTGTTAGAGTGCTTATCATAATCAGCCTGTGTTTGCAAAAAACTGAGCAGATTGCCTCAAAATCTGTTTAGGGATTTGCACCCCCTTTGTCTTCCAGATAAGAAATATTATAAATCTTAGGAAAAAAAGCTAATTTTAGACAACCCTCCATGTGTCACATTTGTGTGATAGTTGAGATAAAATTCCCTCAGTGAAAGATAATTGCATTTTGTAATTCCTCATGAATTCTTTATGTAAAGCATAGATCTGTTTTCCTTCATTATTTACACTCTCTGTTTCCCGTTTTTTAAATGTGTCATCCAAGCCATAATCATAGGTCCTCTAGTATCTCCTGCTGGTGGTAGTTAAGGCCTTTACCTCCTGTTAATCCCTGCTTTTCAGGGATGAATTGCTCATGAAGCTCATTATCCCATAAGCACTGTATGAAGGCTTAATTTGTAGTGTTTATGGAGTCAGACCTCAACTGTCTGTTAGCATAAAATACAGTGGAGGGTTTTGTCCTTAGCAGACAGAATTACAGCTCAGATGTCATATTTTAAATTTAAAGTGTTTGAGATTCATGGTTGACCAGCAGTTGTTTTCTCTTCACTCAGCCATTTGAAAAAGCCAAAGGCAAAACCAGAGCATGGCCATAACACTCTGTCAACATGCCAAGTCAGGAAAAGCTCCTGCTTCATCTTTGAAATAGCTCTGACATTCAGCTCCGTGTTGCATTGTCTAACCGTGTAACTTCCAGTGAACTGTGTTCACACTACTTGGTTATTGTTCGTCTGTGTTGTAATAATTAGAAGTCAGCATAACACAATGACAGCTACAAGGATGTTAACATGTCATGTCACATCAATTTCAACCAGACTGCCAGAACCAGACATATTACATAAGAGAACACGCCAATATAAGCACAGCCATCTTCAATAAAATGCTATTAACGCCACCTTTGATTAATCTTTCCTCTTTGGTGTGTCTTTTAACAGTTTACAGTTTTTTTCTTTATCCTTTCTCCATCTTATTTCTAAACTTGTTACAAAAACATCAAAACAGCATTGACTGGATGTGTCTTTAACATCTGCAGAGGAATGGTAAGATAACATACCCACAACTTGTCACATCCTATTCATTCTTCCTCTCTCAAAGCACCAGGGCTTGTGTTACATAATTGCATTAGTGCTCTCAGGCCAGTGGATCTGCTCAGTAATGGGGTTGTGATGCAATCTGCAGAACACACGGCCCTCTGTTGTTTCCAGTATGGGCAGTGAGTGGGCATGCAGGGTCAGTATGTTGACCTCCCCTATTCATTCATACTGCCAGAGGGGGGCCTGCTAATGCGTGGCAAGGTTGAACAAACAAGCCTGATAACAGAGACTTTGTTGGAAGAGGCTGTTGTTCAACTAGTGGCAATAATGTGCTGGTAGAACAGTTACATAGCACTGATAAAGCATTCCTGGTGAAACTTCCCGCATCTAATGACAAATACCTTTGTACTTGTGTCAAAAAGGGCCTTTAAACAATGTTCTGATTGATTTTTTTTTGGTTCACAAACACAATGTATTCATGCAATTAAATGATTCGATTTGGTGTAGTTTAGCTCAGTATTTAACATATTTCAATAGATTTGAGTGTGTTGCAGCCAAAAGGTTATAAAACCCTAAAACCACAGCGGTGTCCTAAAATAAAACTAAAGGAAGAGAAATACGATTTCTCCCATTTTATCAGCTTTGGCCACACGTATCTGAAACAGTAACTGTGACAATATGGACATAAATTTCTCTATGCTATAAAGCACTGCATCCATTTCAAGCATGATGTGTTATTCCCCAAAGAAAGATTCTTCAGTCCCAATGCTTTGTTTTGGGGGTTTTTTTCACCCACCGCAATCCTGCCCTCCCCACATTTTTACCACAAAAATGCACCACTAAAATAACTTGGATCTGATTCAGCAATTAAAGACCAAAGCATTTCTAAATTCTGCCTTTTTTGGACGATTCCCTGGCCCTGTCAGTCAGGCTTTATGCTCTCCATGTCTGGACTTAAATTGATGTTGCATCTCCAGGGACTTTTGCTTGTTGTTGTTCTTGTTTCTTTTTCCTACTTGTTAGGAAAGGCTTTGCTCTCACTGATTTGTCCGGTTAGATTTTACAAACTGCCGGGATGAAACCAAACTACAAAGCATTGCAGGCCAATTCCAGAGTCTGTGCTTCCACATGATTTTCACAACAGATAATATGTGGTGTTCACTGTGCAGTTCACTTGGACCACTGCACCCCATGTTCAGTCAAATTTCTGCAAACAGAAATACTGAGAGTGTTTTCCTTACAGGCAATGCTAAAGAAAACATGTCTAACAGCCTCCAGGTCTTTTAAGTCTTTAAACAGATTTGCTAAGCAGCTTAATCTGTTGACATCTTGTGGATTTCACTCAGTCTCAGGCACATTAACCTTGAGGCTTTTATCACCAACGATGATTTACTGTGGACTACCTTACTCGAGAAAACACAGTAGAGTATTCAAATGCTTTTACTCTGAAATGACATGTTCAAAAGGAAAAGAGACGTCGGATTGAGTAAAACATTTTCACTTTAAAACTTTTCAGTTTTCATGTCTTTGTTTTTCTGTATTAGCAAATATTTTCTAGGAGTCTTTTGACCACTGGCAGCCACCTTAAAATTCAGATGTCTTTGTCAAAAATTGCAGTTTTCAGTTTTCATGACCAGCAAAAGTTACCGTTTAAGAAAAAAAAAAGTTTTACATAATTTCCCTTCGTCTCTGTCGTCACTGAGGGCTATCCAACAGTACATCTGATGTCCTGAACTACGCATGCTCTTGAGGTCAGATGGGATGGAACCAGTATTTGTTTATTTTTCCTTTTTATAGTGAAGAGCTGAAAAAGGAATTGAAATCATGAGCAGCACTTGACTGCTTTGCCTCCTACAGTAAACATATACATCAGATAGATTAAAAAGTACAGTGAAGTCTGCAAGCTTTCTGTGTGGCTGTGGCTTAGGAAACAAAATATAGACTTGGTGCACAAAGGCCTGTAGTTCCATACCATAGTTAATCAGTGTTTTGCATGTTTTAACTAGTCATGCTTACTTTTATGTCAGAAGGAACTAATATGCTCTTGGACCCCTTCCTTTTTGTTTTGTCTGTACATTGGTTGATGACACTTAAAAGACCCCAACAAATCCAGGCTGAAAACGGAAAATTTTATGTATTTTATCTGCACCCTTTACTTTTTATCTATCTAATATCTTTCGTTGATTCTTTTTCTTTCTTTGTTTTTCTGCTTTAAAATTTTTTGTGAGGTACTTTGAATTGTCTTGTACGCGAAACGTGCTATACTAATTATAAACTCGCCTTGCCTTGCTCACTTGGAATTTGGAAAGTCTCTGTTCACTCCATCAGCGCCAAGGAATTTGGATTGAAACCGGTGTACTGTCTTTGACAAGGAGGGTAACCACCTGACACAAGCATGGCCAATGTGAAAGATGCACAGTAACTCAAAGCATTTCCCGTTTTTGCTGCCACCCTGAAAAGCTGTTAGCATGGCAGTAGTCTGTACCTGTTGCTTTTTCCGGTCTCACCGAACACAGGAAGTTAAAGGGTTGAAATTCTCAGACTGGAGGTCAGCGCTTTGTGTTTTCAGACACTTGATTTGTCTACGGCAGAGCAGTCTGAAGTGAGTAATGACATCCGGGCCAGAATTCTTTGAGGCTATGTTAGGTTGTTGTTGTTTGTGTCATTTTTCTTTCCATCTTATCAACTAAAGAAATCTTTAGTGACTCATTCTGCTCCACCTTAACCATCAGTTTTCATCAGTTTTGGATGTTGTGTATTTGCAGTTGGACGGCTTTCATAACCAGTAATTATAAACACGCTAGTCTCCAGAGTGGCCTACCAGTGCCTAAATTGCAGACCTTAGATAAACCACTACAGCATCAGAAAATAAAATGGCTTCATACAAACTTGTTTTAACTTGCAAAATTGAGCCCAGGGTAATTTTTCAACTTGGTTAAAAATAAGGAACCTCCATTTATTAACAAGTTATTGGAACTGACACATCACTTATTCAATTTTTGGAGATGGCAGAATAGTAAGCATTTTCCCTTTCAACACTTAACAGCTCTGCAGCCCTTATAAATAAAACAGTAGACATTTTACAGAAGCATTTGCTGAATATTAATGGCATTTATCCCATGCAGCGATACGCTCGCTGAACCCCACAGTACAAACAAACTGCACAGTTTGTATCAGAAGGCTCTCCAGCTCTTTCTGGCCTGACAGGCCGACTGGTCCAAAGCTAAAAACGCCTGGGGCATTTTCTGCCAGTGTCATGCAATAACATTACACTATGGTCACAGCTGCTGTGTCGCCGCTGATCTGTCCCTAAGAAACATGATGCTGCTTATAATCTGACCATCATTTGGACGCAGACAGCCTGTGACGCCAGCGCCATGATTTACCCCTGTGTGTGTGTGTGAGACGCTGGATGTGTACGGGTGGGCATTAGTCATCTTGTGGGGACCCAAATCTGTTTACGTACTCTCATTATGGGGACTTGTATTTCTTACTGGGTCAGAAGCAAACCAGCAAATTGTAAATCATAAAAATTTGAGGTGAAGGTATGCATGAAAGGCAGTGTATGGCTCCTATAAGTAACACTTACAAGTCTGCAAGCGAGTCTGTGTGCAGGTTGTTTCCAAGAGGCAGATTTATGAGAACATACTGTAAGAGGGTGACGATTGGGTCTTGAGGGAGACAGGGTATTCCGTCCTGCCTGTCTTCATACAGTCTGACATGCAGTGCTACTTATTACTCGCTACTCATTGGTGACTTTAAGATTCTGTTGTTATGAAAACCTTTTTTAACACTTTTATTTAAGGAGCTACATACAAGTTATTATGCAGCTCTTAACAGTTCTTTAACAAAAATGTTTCTTAGACCTCTCAGTTGTTTGTAATACGCTGCAGTTTTTTACCTTTCAACATTTTTTGTAAGTAAAAATCATATTTAGTCATATTTAAGATATTTTCTTGTCATGGAAAGCGTGTCATTAATAACAGGTTTCGTTTATTTGTGTTAAGCCCTTTGTCATTACTGTCAAATACATGTTAATGTTATGCCATTTATTGCCACTCATCACCAGAGACAAATAAGAAGACAGGTCCAGACATTCATGAAAGGCTGTAATGGCATAGCTTTTCTATAATTAGCACTAGTGATGGACACAATTATCAGGACTTGACTTGTCAATGTGCAATCAGTCCCAAAGCTGTCATGGTGTTAAAGCAAACGTCTGGGAGTACATGCCACTAGTTGGTGCAGGGTACTTGCTGTTTTCATCACATAGCCTTTACCATAAGTCAAACAAAGTATGGAAAATCCACACTAATGTGGAAACACAGTGTGTTTTCATTGACTTCATTCTGAGCCTAACAGAACTGAAACGCATACTGGCACCTCTGCCCCAGGTTTAATAGCTAATATATAAAAAAATGTCTGGTAAAAATCTTTATAAATTAGAATCCTTAACAGACATTTGTACTTATACCATCACTGTGGCTCATGCAGAGGAACTAATTGGGACGATAACAGTAATAATATGTAGGATCAGAAGAAGTCACTCAGACATTTGAACCTCTATAGTGTAACTCGTGCCAAAAACTTTACAACTGTCTCTGTTTGACAAAGCTGGCAATGTGTCATAGATAGTGACATGCCAGAGTGATCCCTGTGGCAGCCGTTGTACTTTATCACTTGTTGTATCTGTCGTAGGCCTTAAGTCTTACGATGACACATAAGTACGTGTACCCACCAGGCCATGCAGCAGTCTACATTTTTTCTTTTGATGTGTGGCCCTTTCATATAAATCACGTATCCTGTTGCACCAGTTCCAAGAAGAGGGCGTCATATAGTAGGAGACAGGCATCAAACGTGGTGTTCGGTATAATTTATCAATGTCATTTAGGTCATTTAAATGTCATTGGTGAGCTGTAGACCTTTATATTGTAACTCCCACAGAATTTATGTCCCAACAGTTGTATTTCGTGGCTTTAGAATTCGAAGTCAGCCACTTTTTTAGCATGACTGGCAATGTGTGTTGATTTAGTTTCAGTACTTCCTTTCGTGTGAGCAGCTGTACTAAAATAAGATGTAAAAAGTGAATGCAAAGAAGCTGAGTGAGTAGATCTGTCCCTGCACACCTGCTGAGGCCGACCATCCCGGCACCAAGTGGACAAGTGCCACAGCTTTCCTTAGATCATTTGTCACTTACAGATATATGTCACCAAGTACCTGGGAATGGTTCCTGTGGTTATAGTGTGGTTCCAGAATGGCGCCACACTGCTACCAGTTTGTCACAGTGTCTTTTGGCCTTCTGCATATTTCTTTTATCACACTGAAATCTTCACCAGATTTGATTTTTTTTGTTTTTATATTCATGTTTGAACAGGCTGCTTCAAAGACTTTAGCCGTTAATTATAACACTTTTACAAGTTATGATGAGCGGCCAAAAGTACAATTATGCTATGAATAACACTCTAAATCCATTTAAGGTAGGGATATGGATGAGGGAGAGGGATGAGGAGCCATTGCTTGCCTCAGTCATTATGGGGCGTTTGAGTTAATTGGAAAACAAAGTAGATGAGCTCTGTCGAGGTCACTGAAGAAAAAGTTAGGAATGCAGTTTTATGTGCTGGTGATGGAAGGTGATGTGCTGGTAAGGCCCGTTTGTGCTTGAAACCTAAAAATTCCCTGTTTGATCCACAAATATTTAATCCTGGATTGACTTCTCCAAAAGGCCAAACATCACTTGTTCTGATGTTTTTTCTTTGTTTATATAACAATGTTTTATCTCTGTGTGAGGCAAGGCATACCTCCTCTACCTTTTGTAAGTCTTTATCACCAGACTGGTCTTGATTCTGGACAAAATAGTGACTTTAAAAGATCGATCTCTTCAGAAAGGGTGGTAAATCCTCTCTGTTCTGCGACTCTACTCAGAATGCATTCTTCTTGTTGCTTTAAAGGTTTCATGAGACTGTTATCATTTTGTCTGAACTTTATATTCTGAGAGACCATCTCTTTGTGCTTCTTTGTTTTGCAGGAAAGTGTGTCCCCCTGCAGTAGATCAGTAAGAAGTGCTCTTCAGTATGAATACAGGTATGTAAATAACATTATGAGATCCAAGTGTTGTGGTCCATTTTTGGCCTTGAATATTGTGACTTAAAGCATCAAGTAAAATGCAGCTTTAAACCAGTATCTGCATGTTCATACGTTTCCAAAGTTGCTTTTCAAACTTGCCACCCACACTGAGCTTTAGTGTGTATTTCAACTAGAGAACCGGCAACGAGACAATCTGTCACTGAGTCCTCTCCACACAGCATACAACACCATATGTGTGAGCAGCCGTGGTAGTTTGACTCATTTAGCTCATTTGCCCATTTTTAGAGAATGAAAGAAGTAATAAAAATGGATCCTTTCTTTTTTTAAATGTATTTGCTTGATCTAAAGCTGTCTGTGACACAATAAGAACTTGGATTTTGAGAAAAGTATTTGTTGTAATTTTAAGCAGTGATATATTTCATTATAACTTAATGGACGGTTGGTGAAGTGTTTCCAAACTCTTACAAAATGTAATTTAACAGAAATTCAATAAAATGTAGCCGTACTAACTCTTAATTTTCCAGTTTGCCTAGCTAATAACACCTTTCATTTCACATTGTCATGCAGCATTTATTAAAATGAGTTACTTTTTATGATTTTCTTACCTAAAATTACTTTATTACTTGATTTAGGTTTGTGTGATCTAATTAAATGCAACATATTAAAACAGAAATTGAGTAATTGTTAGTATATCAGCTGCTATGCTCGACTCGACAACAGGCATTTGAAAAGCATGCGCTTTGTCTCTAGAATTTTGCATTGATTTTGTGGCTCCACCACATTTTTCTGTATGTGTTTGTGTCATCGCGTGCATGCATGTGCATGGATGCTTCTGCTTCTGCCTTGATGATCACCCGCCTGGCAATGATTTCTCAGATAGCGGAGGATGTACTCGCAAAAGCGTGGCCTTGTCACTCATACTCTCTCCCATGAAGAGGGTCCAGAGCTCACCAAATCTAGCCACAGGTACTAACACTCACAAACGTGCAAATTGATACATGTTGGAATAAGAATGGTCATAGCTGAGTCCAAGTATAGACTGGGATAGGCTCTTAGTGAGAGCATGAGGTAAGTCTTTAAAAAAAGGTGGCTTGTTAATCAAGGTGCTGTTTGAGCTTTGTGAGGCATATTTAAAATCCTTTTAAACAGGCTGTGGCTGCTTTCATTAAGCAATGCTTTTGTTAGGTTCTTTGTATTATTTAATAATTTTCTCAAATGAATGCACAGTGATTTTATTTCATAGCATAGTATATTTTTCTTGGCTTGTTTGGCTTTGCAAATAAGCCATTAGTCCGACTTTACCATCTCGTTGTTAATGACCTCCTCCCTCCTTCTGAGTTCGTCTCTCCTGTCTCAGAGTGCATGTGCAGTTCATTCCACTCTTCTTCTTGTCAAAGTGTGTCTGCCTATTTTATTTTTTATCTTGTATATGCTGTCTGGCCTAGATATTACAAAGGTTCCTTGAGTTGAATGCAAACAAATTCAAGGTAGAAATTGGACAAATCAGATTTCCAGGGCTAAAACTGATGCATATCTAGAATTAAGAAATTATGACATTCATCTGAGCTTTCTAAACACTCTTTTTAAACTGTGTCATGGTCTTTCCTATTTCATAGAAAATTGTTTTGTACTCTTTTGTTTTGACATTGTAATAATCCATTAATCTCATAAGGAGTCCTTTTTTCTAATTTTTATTTCTGTCATCTCTTTATTTTCTAAATTTTTCTTACATAGATAACTATTTATTTACTCATTTATTTATTTATCGTTTGGATGTGTATAGTTACAGTATTGGAATGTTTAGTTGTATGTGTGGTATTGGGCTTTGCATTATTCTTTTGTACCTTTTTAAGACTTAAATGAGCAAAATATTGTGCAATTCCTGATTATAGCTCTGTGCTTTCTGTCCTCCAGGGAGTGATTCTCACTCGTCAGACTTGGGTAAGTCTCTTGTCTTTCTTGGCTAAGGACAGGACATAAAAGCATGACAACTATTATGAGAAAACTGAACTAAAAGAAGACTTCTGAACATTATTTTAAGATTCTTGGCGGTCACGCAGCGCAACGGACGGGCTTAAAAATGGAGATGCCAACAGCTCATCTCTTGCCGCCAAAGGCTTCCGAAGTGTCAGACCCAACCTGCAGGACAAAAAGTCTCCCACACAGGTAAAATATACCACTCCCTACAGTGATCACTGTTGTTTTTTTGTGTTTTTAGTCCTCTAGATTTTTCATAAAAGCATCAACGTCTGCATTAATCTTTTCTTGTAACTGTCACTTAGTTAAAAGGTTGTTGATTTTCACAAAACTGTTTTTTATTCTCAATCACATTGTTGAAGCAGTTTGATAATGTCAAGCTTTGGGCTGATGATTTTCTTTTTCTTGTTTTTGTTGTTGTCGTTTGAACTTACATTGGCTGCTGCTTTTAAAAAGGATATCGGTACTGTACCTTTGCCACCCCCTAGGAGAGAAAGTTTTCACTTTTCACCAACTGGTACTAATCCACTAGACTACGAGTCCATCATTGCTCTGGCTAATAATCCAAGTCCAGGAGTTCTAACACTCACTAAGAAAGAAAAGGCTATTTTGAAAGAGTCCTACACTATAAACAGCACGTCCTCCTACTCTTACTCAGAGAGCAGCGCAAACTCCGTCCAACAGGTTAATCAGCACACCGCCCCAAACGATATCAGCAACTCAAGTGCACTCGCCTCCGCTCATGCACAGACACGCAAGGTGTCATCCCTCAAACTAACCCCTGTCACCATCCCCGACCCGCCAGCTCATCTAAATGTTCAAGCTGATGGCCGATTTAAGACCCAGATCCCCGGGGTCCCCTCCTCACCTCCACAAATGGGTCCCATCACCTCTCAGCCCTCAGCACAGACAGCTTCACTTTCCCTTCACTTGGGCTCAGAGGATGGGAGAAATCCAGTGCCTTTGTCTTCAAAAGCCCAAGTGGAAGAGAAGACCTCAGAACAAGCCCCAAATCAAAGCCGAATGCCTGCTCCAACTGAGGTGGAGATGACAAAGCCCCCTCCTGCAGTTCCACCGAGACCTCCACCTGCAAAGCTGCTGGTACATAACTGACAACTTCCTGTCACAGCCGAGTCAAATGCAATCTGTTTGTTTTGAAGAATACAGGGTTAAGAAGTATTGTTTGCATAGCATCGCCCCGAGGAAGATATGATGAAAGTACCGCTGATGTGTGGGCCAGACTGAGGGCAAAAGTGACAAGAAGGGAAAAAAGAGTGACAAAATTACTTTAGTTTTCATTGTCATGTCGTGTTTCGATGCGTTTGTTTATCTTAATGCTGCCATCCAACCCCAAAAAATGTTTGTGTAAATGTTTTTTGTATGTTAGGTGTGATAACCCAATGTTTATTTTACTTTATACCACAAAGTAATTGAGCTGCTCTGAGTTTGAACTAACGGACCTTCTTCAGTTCACAGCATCACTCATATTTCAGAAGACAATGCTGCAACATCCTGTCAGTGTGAATTTACAGCATCTCAAAGTCACTCAGGCTTACATACCCACATCCTTTTGACAATGTGGCTAATAAGTGAAATAACTCAGCACTCGCCTCCTTTCCTCCCCTCCCATCAATCCCCTCTGACTCCCACACCAGGGGCCTCCTTCCCCTGACCCCACAGCACGGCACTTTCCCTATCGCTGCCAGAGCTCCGAATCACTCGACTACCCATCCAGCCTAATGCCCAAGGTGCTATCGCCCACCCCGTATGTGGCCAGTGGAGCTGGTGTCAAAGCTGGGGCGATGACCGGTGGCTTTGGGTCACCTTCGGCTTCCCCCGTGACAGTGTCGGCCCTTAGCCACTACTCGTCATCCACGACGGGTCTGCTGGATGAGCTGCAAATGTGTAGCCTGGACTCCCCCGGGGCCTCACCCACGCCATCGCCCACGCTCAGCCATGTCTCCACCTACACATCCACTGCTGGCCCTGATGATGTGCTAACAACCTCTGTGGGTTCCACTGCTGCAGCAGCCACTGTCACTAATGTAATTATCCAAACGAGCCACTTCTGTAACACACACCACTACATTCTGTGAAAATGATTTCTGCCCCGGCCCCCTTCTCATCCAAATGTCTAATAAGTGTATGATAATGGTACTACCAATCTTTAACTTTCACTAACCATCAACTGCCCCCAACCTGTGAGATGGCCCCATTTCAACCCAACACACTTCGATCCCTTATTATTAATGTCTATGTACTTACTGCAGGTCTCTGTCAGCTTGTCCATGTGTCCCCTTGCCGTTTCCTTTCCTTTAGCCATGCCTATCATGCCTAATTAGATCCTCTTTTCAGGAAAAACTCACTGAATTTTTACACGACAGCAAAATTACTCTGCCTGACATGACCGATATGCCGGTATCGGTTTGTTGTATCATTCGTTGTTGGCTTTTCTTGAACTTATTGACTTCTCACGGTAGTGTTATCTGTTTTGTGTCTGCTAGTTTCCAGATAGCAGAAGCATGGTGCACCAGTTTGTCAAAATCTTTTAGCAATTGATTAGCGGACATAGCTAACAATTAGTTTAGTAATTTTTTTCCAAGAATCCACCATGTCAAGTAAGACAGTGAGTCATCTTATCGTGTCCCTGACGGGTCTTTTTTTTTTATCTTAAAAGCATGAAATTGTTTCGTGCATGCACCCTTTCTTTTACACAGGGCTGTCATTCAATTTTTTGTCATTTAAATAAAGGAGCATATTACCTTTGCTACTGGTGTGCCAGGCTGTATTTTCCATGTATGGATCTTCACAGCTTATTAAAAGCGGTTTTACTTACAACATCCATCAGTACAACAGAGTGAGAAATACCCCAGGTATGTGGAGTTGTTCCACACATAGATCACAGTCAAATTTTCTAATGGGACTGGCTGTTGCTCTTACCAGGAAATGATCCCACAACAAAAGCAACATCAAACAATTGAATCCTTTCTCGGTCCTGTACAAAACAGTGGCTAGTTGTTAGCCCCCTATTAGGATTTTCCTGCTACAGCTTTATATTTACAGAAAAAGTTACAGTTGTCTACTAATTCCTTTTGTTCAGACAATGCTGTTAGAAAATTTTGTTAGTAATCCATGTTTAAGTGGTCACCACTCTTACCATTTCTCAACTTGAGTCCATGGAGGCTTTGCTGTGCATTTTATTATTTCAGAATGAATAATTCCTTCCAGCGTCATGTAATGGGAGAGCATGTTTCTCCTGGGCCTCCCATTCTAAATAGATCTTGTCTAATGTCTTGTCTATGTAAACTAACTATGAATGAGGTGTATGTGAATGTGAAGAAGTTTTCCGTGTCTTCCATGTCTTCTGTTAATATTCTTAGTTTTCGTATCTGATATAAAGGAAAATGTTAAATATGAGATCCTTTACTACACTAACCACTTGGACACAGTCACTTTGAATTAGATCTTTCTTTAGTTACGGGTCATTCCTGCATCAAATGTGCTTTAGCAAAAAAGATACGTTAGCACTGCCATTGTTTATTTTTCACTTTGTTTTTTTACATTGCTTTTACGTTTTAGATCTACAACATTGTTTACAGTTGTGCATTTTGTGAACATCTGTAATGGATAGTATCTTACCACCACCCTTTTTCTGGCATGGTAATCACACCTAGGGCCAGGTCCTCTCTCACGCTATGAATGGGAGTTCCAGCCACCCACAAAGGCCCATGTCTCCGCCATCATATCCTCCACCACCTGCCTCACTCCACACCGGGCTTCAGAGACAGAGTAGGACTTCAGGTGAGTCACAGCTCTTTTGTGGCATTGTTGACAGGAGGTTGCCTGACATTTTCCAGCTATTCTTTGGTGTTGTTTGGGAAGTAATTGCACTTTATTGCAAATGCGTATACTTCACGCTTTATCCAGAATGTAGAGCTACCGCTGAGCACAGCTGGACTTAAAGTAAGATCAACAACAAAAGGAACAAAATAACCATGAAAGTGCTTTTAGAGTAAAACTTTTAGAATGTGCTGATAACATAGTAACACTATCCTTCATAGCATTTGATTAATTGTTGCATTGAGAAAAAGTTGTCACCATTTAAATTGTTACCACATGTATTTGATGAGTTAAAGAAAGTATTATCAACAAACGGTTAACTACTCATTTCATCAAGATGAGAACCCCTGGAGTTGGGAGAACATGTTTATTAATTTTTACAAAGAAAAACTAACCTGTGTCTCCCTCTCCTTTGTTGCTTACCAGAGGGCAGTGAGTCAGTCACCAGAGAGTCTGTGGTTTCAGGCCACACAAGTGTCAGCACCACTGTGCCCATTGCTCGCTTCTCAGAGGAGGAGAAGAAGGTGTCTGTTATTAAAGCCCCGCATTATGAAGGCATCGGCCCGGTGGATGACTCTGGCATCCCTATTGCCATTCGCACGGTGAGATCGGGTCTACAGAGCGCAAACAACATCTTTATTACAGACTGTGTCAGAGGGGGTGCTGTAGTCGGACACAAGTGTCTTCTGACTGATTTCTGCTGTCTTGATACGTGATCAGGTTCACTAGAGAGGGATTGTTCTCTGCTCTCAGCAGCTTTTGACCTGCTATTAAAAAACCCTTCTCCCCAGTTCTCCTTATCTCAGAGTCTCTTTCACTCCTCCTCTGTGTGGTAGTTGTACAGATGAGCTCTGGTGCCGTGAGGTCCTTGCTCTATACTTGTCAAAGAGTATGTGGCTCCGTGCTATCTGTGTTAAGGCTCTCTATGCATTAACACTTCACAGAGATACCCTTTCTTGAGGAGAAGCATTTAAGAGTACAAAAAGGAGTGATGAGGAGAAACTGGATTAAAAAAGGGACACAAAAAAATATAAGTGAAAAAGAAGAGGCTTTGTTGAACAGGAGCAAAACAGATGCTCGTTGTTGTGAGCAGAAAAACATTTTTGTGGCCACTCTGTTTGGTAACCGTGGAGAGTGAAGTGGTAATTGGTCTGTCTCTTGTCTGTGCCACTGATACATGCTTAGTCTCACACACACCTCCTCACTGCCTCCTCCCCGAACAGAATCCAGGCTCAATGTTCAGTGTTGCTGAATAAAGAAAGGATTAAGAGTCTCTGCCATTTGATAGCTTTTTTTTTCGTGGCTTTTAGATCCATACTGCTAACACAAAGGCGTACATTTTTTTCCAGGCCCAGTAACAAGCAGACCATACTTTGGTTTTGTAGCAACATTGCTCTTACGTCTATGTTGTGCTCAGTTTAGCTTCTGCTGTTTAATGAAAGCATCCACTAACGTAGACAGACACTCGTGCCAAAAGGAACAACTAGGGTAGACCAGAAAGCAACGGGTACCATTATTTTGTGGTTAAATGTTTATATCATTTGTGTTTTAGTGATGAAACTTGACTTTTTAGCTCTATTTTCAGTTGATGTTTTTAAATCAAAAGAAAAAGAAGACGACATGTTTTTATTATTCAGCTTTTAATTAACTGATTGTGACTGTTTATTTAGTGTTAATTTTACTAAGCTCTGTGTTTTAGTTGTTCTCTATGTTTTTACATGAGCCATATCTATTGTCCTGTCTTTTAACTGATGTGCAGCACGTTGTTCAATCATGCATTGTTTTTAAAGTGCTATGCAAATAAAGATGGTATGGAATTTTGATTCTTAGATATTACCACCTGTCAAAATCACACAGAGATTTACTGTACACAGTTTTATCTGAAGATAAACTGCACTAACATTCAGTGTCGAATAAACCTACAAAAAATTTGAAGCGTTGTGGGCATGAGTCGGTTACACTTTTTAAAAAATCTTTGGTATACATCTCATTGAAGTCTCACGTGGGTAAATGTTCTGTGTTATAAATCATATTGGTTTTTTTTTCTTGCAGACTGTGGACAGGCCCAAGGATTGGTACAAAACTATGTTCAAACAGATTCACAAAGTTCACAAAGCAGGTAAGGCTAATCTGAAGCTCCTGTCTCATGATGTGCTGATAGCTGACGACTGTGTCGAGGGCGTTTTGAGTGGAATCGGCTGTGTGCGCCTCCAATTTGTACCTAATTGTGTCAGTGCCTGCCAGGTCCTGTTAAACCAATAGACCCAAACAACCTCTGAGCCAGAACTCATTAGATGTGAACCGCAGCATCTAGAGCAGAGGATGAACAGAGAGAGAGCTCTCCCAGACACAGGGATGTCCTGGGAAATCTGCTCTGATTTTGTGGCCATGACAGTATTGCACAGTCAGCACAAGGCCTGATTGTTTTGAACTGCTCAGGCTTTTTATGACAGCGCAAACAAAAAGACACACGGACTCTTTTATCTGTGGCTGAATATCCTTTGGTGGTGAACTGTTAAGAATTACCACAACTCATTACAGTCACAGTCCATCAGATTTATAAAGCAGGCATCCAGTAACACAACAAGTTAACATTCAATAATCTGTTCTGTAAAAGTGAAAAGTGACTCTTAAAGGCCGTTATTTCTTCATGAGCTTCTTTGATCCCCTGGGAAAACTGATCCTCCCTCTGTGTATGTAAAAAGGTGTCTTAGGTCTGATTTTTGTTTAACCTGAGTAGCTGTCCTAACAGTTTGTACTTTGTGGGGGTTAGATTATGTCTGTGCATGTATACCACTTAGTCTCTGCTCCCCTCCTCTACAGATGATGACTATTCTGATACATACAATGCAACGTATGCTTTCATAAACAGTGGTAAGACTTGTGTTACGTACAATAATAATAATAATAATTTCTTCCCCATCTACATGTCGCCTTCTTTCCGATCTTATTGGCTTCCTTACTTCTACGTTCTTTGTCTCCTCCCTCTTGTCTTCAACAGATGACTATAGCTTGTCATCCAGTGCCACCATGGCTCACCCACCTCCTCGAACACACACATACAGACCCCTGTCCAAGAGCCCCTCAGACAACGGGGGTCAGCTGGGGCCTCGCGAGCCTTCACCGTCCCCTGTGCCCCCACCCCCTCCACCAATGCCATCTCTGCTCCAGCTTCGGGCCAGAGACAGCGACCGTGATAAAGATTCACCCGACATGTAAGAGAAAATTCCTCTACATAACAGCTAAGTTCCATTGAAGGGTAGGCTTTGACTCAAATGGAACGAGGATGTAGAATGACTCATCACAGCAGATGTGGACCACTGGAATAAGACAAGTTTTTGGCCTCTTATTTTGAGAAGCATTTTCCTTCCTTCCAACTGTCTACATTTGAGTGTTTTTCTCCATCTCCATCATTATAAATGTCACGTTTAATAAAGATCTAGATGGTGCTAAATGCACATTCTTTTCCATGCTGCTTTTAGACAGTTGGACAGATGACCTTGGTGCGTTTAGCCAAGCAGAAGTATACGGGGGTTGATTTTACTGTGTCCAATCTGGATGTGGGAAGAGTAGCCAGTTCAATGTGTGTTTGTGTATGTATTCGATTTTCACTGCTCTGATGCCATAAAACCGGCAGGCTTTTTGAAAGCGCAGAGTGCCTCTCATTGTGATCCAGGAAAGGAAACAAACATGGAGCACTAAAGGTTAACCATTATGAAAATGCCTAAGTGTCAGGGTGTTTCCTATAACGCTGTCTTTTTGTTTTGTTTTTTCCGTGCACCAGGAATGAATGGGGCCCTCCTGACAGGAAAGTGGACACACGAAAATACCGAGCCGAGCCCAAGAGTATTTTCGAATATGAGCCTGGGAAGTCTTCCATTTTGGAACACGAAAGACCAGTGAGTGTTCTTTTTTTATTCCTCATATTTTCCTTGAAGCCATTGAGGTTTTTTTTTATCTGGCTTCACACAGGTATCTCAAATATCTTATGAATGTGATAGATGAAATGCTCCCTGAGCTGAACTGAATGCCATTTAGCACAGAGAAACATGAAACTGAGGGAATGCAGCTAAAAACTAGATGGACAAGAGCAAGAAAGAGAACATATAATTTCCTATTTTTCACCAGTCTATGAAACATAATTGTGTTCTGTATCATATATTCTACACTCTAGCCTTTTTTGAATCTCCATCTGAATCAGACAGAGTGGGCGTTAAAAGCGAACGTTGGCAGAGCTGTACCCCGTAGAGACTGGAAAAGCTGTGACCTCCTGTAAGCAGTGAACAACAATACAAACAGCAGAGAAAACTATTACTAAAAGGGGCAAATAATAATGAGCGGTATCTGAGATGAGAACAGGATAATAAAGAACGTGTTACGGATGTGGAGCTTTTTCAAAAGGATGAGAAGGAAAGGTTTCGGTAGAAGGTTTGTACATCTAATGTAATGTGTGCAGAACGCTCTCAGTGCAGTGACGCATGAGTCAGTTCCTGATAAGGCAGTAAAGGCAGAAAGCTGAAGTAGGTACTCGCACTGACCTGCCTGCAGTGCTTTCTGCTCGGTGTCTCTTTCCTCAGTTATACAAGTACAAAAGTGCCACTGAAAAGCAGTGAAGCAGCTTTTAGGCAGTCATTATATCTGTAAAATGAAAAATGGTCTGTCTGACTTTTGAAGACTTGTTTTATTTATGTAAGTAGTATACAAAATATAGAATTAGGGAGGAAAATCTACACAGTTATAGAACAATCAACAAGGAAATACGTCTTTTTTTCTGCCCATAAATGGCTTAATAAGGTGAAAGTTAGGAAATATCAACTTCTGAGCTGGTTAATTAGTCAATAGAGCTGTTTTTTCTAGTGGCCGACTCTCAGCCTGAGCACCATTTATAGTTAGTGTAAGACGCAGTTTGACTGACTGTGATACCACACCGCTCACTAGTGATCTGTAGACTAGTGAACCGGGGAGCCGGCCTAAATCTACAATCTGGTTCATCCTGTGCCCATCTTGCCCTTTCCTAACCATAAGGCCCATGTCTCTGTGTGTGTGTGACCCATCTTCCACATTTTCTCTCTTCTGTCTTTCCTCTGCTTCCTCTCTCTTTCATACTTTCCCAGACCTATGATGACATAGATTTAGAGAACGAGCCTTGGTATAAGTTCTTTTCCGAGCTGGAATTTGGGCGGCCGGTAAGTCAGGGCTTAGCTACTCCCTCAACCACAATTCTGCCATAGGCATACACCGACTGTCGACACCCACACCCATGACCTTTTAATGTCTCTCCCATTAGGGTGGGGCTAGTTCTTTTGGGCATGTGGTATGTGTTTGGTGCAGTGATTCCCTCCCACACACACCCTTGTGATGGGCTGAGATATGTCTCTGTGTTTCTATTTTTTGTTGTCTTTTTTTAATTGTTCTTAGCTGTGTTTTTGTCTGGTTACTAGCAGGCACTAAAAAGTGAACACAAAAACCTGGACAGTATACTTACAGTTGTGTTTTTTTGCATCTCATCCAACAGGAAGTTAAGAAGGTGGTTAAATGAAAACCACGTCCAGATGATTTTGGTGATCAGGCTCCTCTGCTGGCTAAACAGCAAAGTTAAAATAAGAAGTAATAACCAGCATATGCATTTTCTGTTGGAACAAATAACAATTTTCAAACTGATTATTGAAAAACTGAATATTTTGTATATTGTTTTCTACCATCACGTTTTCATGGCAACATGCCATCTGGACCTTTGTTTAGAGCATTTATTTATGCCTGCTAGTATTTTGTATTAATTTTACTCCTGGTAGTATTCAGGAATGACTTGCTTCAATGAGCTAAACACTTTAGCCCCCTCTGCTGGATGTAGTGGTGATAATGTGCTAGTGGGTCAGAGCAGGGGTCGTCTGCAGCTACACTTGTGGAATCAAACCACCCCAAAATGTCTGATTTGTCTAATTTCACCAGTACACGCCTATGTCCCCCAAGCACATAACATCAGTTGATGATATGTTGGGCTTATTGGAAATATTCAGGGGAAATTTCCTCAAAACATTCTTTTTGATCAACTGCGTAAAGAGATTTCTACCTGCAACATTTCAAATATTACGCATCACTCGATAAGTTCACAGTGTATAGGAGGTTTTCCGACAGACTCTGTGAGATTCTGCCAGGACAGACTCTCGCAGCGTACTGAGAGTTTAAGTGTTAATTAACAAGTGTCAGACTGAGCACCTGCTTACGTGCACTAGTGATACAGCATTAATCCCAACACTGCACTCGCTTATAAACTCTGCCGCTTGTGCTTCACCTTGCTTTCTGCTCACAAGTTTTTCTCACACTCTGCATGTGTGTGTGTCACAACAGTGCATTTGTGTGCGTGTGAGTTTGATAGCGGTAATGATAAGAAGACTTTAGAACCTGCATATAAGAAATGCTGTTTTGTGTAGGGATTTTCGAGTTTGTGCTCGCTCATAAAAAGTGTGCTAGTGTGTGAAGAAGAAGTGTGCCTGCGTTGTGCAAGAACAGCTCATTTCCAGTAGTTTTCAATCAGTCCATCTCTGGTTACTGAGATTCTCTAACCGGTGTCACTCTCTCCACATGTTTCTTATGTTTTGGTTTCTCCCCATGATGTCACAACTGCTTCTCCTCCTTCACCTCATCTTCACCCTCCTCCTATTCCTCCTCCTCATCCTCTCCTTCCCTTCCTGCTCACTGCTGCTGCTTTGGGCTGAAGCCTCCTAAAAAACGATTGGATTATAATCCAGACATCTCCGCTCGCCAGCGTATCGAGGTAATCTCACATTCATGATCAGTCCAAAAGTGTTCTTCAATACACAATGTATAACTAGTCCCTTTCATATCCTCCTAAACTTTTTAAAAAGTCAGATTTTCTTCAGACTGTGCAGTTGTGTGCCATCAGGGTAGTTTGATTCTGATCATGTAACAACATGATTGTCTTTTGCTTCAAGATGAGTAAGTTCTTTCTGTTTAAAGCTTCAAATGGTAATTTGTCTGTTTTGGCGTGCAAAAGCATCTGCTGACACAGAGGGTTTTAGTTTTTCTTTTCCTGTAGAAAATCTTCCTTTTCATATGTTTGCTGCTTTATTGTGTGATAGTTGCCTGTGGGTATGAGATACTCACTCTTGCCATTTAGGAGTTTTGTAGTGTTTCCAACAAAGACCCAATCCATCTGATCCATGCCAGGTTTTGTAGGGCAACATTTACCCCCGTGAGCTGAGCTCATAGCATCCTTTGCTGGATCACCTTTGCAACCATTCTTCAGAGCAGCCCAAGAAAGACCAGAAATTTACTTAAGTGTGCACCAGCAACCCCCCCCCTTTGCAGGTGTGCCACGTGGAACTAGCATCTATCGCATCTTTCCGCTGGGGGAGAGTTTAGAGTGTGGCACAGCCACAGTCGCATGCAGGCTGTGCATTGTCAGCTGCTCTGCCTCAAGTCTTTGTTCGCAAGGAGCTTACCTCTCCCTTTTGTTGTCTTCCTCATTTCAGACATCCCTCCACATCGCTCCTGCTGACAAGGCTTCGGAGAGACCCTCAAGGTAACTGCTGTTCTCCTTTATTTTCCTCTGCATCACCCTCATGCCCCCTCCCCCATGCTCTATACAGCAATCCTCCTTGTTGTGATTCAGCAGTGTCAAAACTCTGCTCTTGCTCCCCTAGTAATTGGTAAAAAGATATCCAGCATCTCCTATAAATGATGATGTCCAAGGATTTGTGTTTCTCTTCAGTCGGTTTTGTTCATGATTTAGGGGATGCTTTTATCCTTAAATTAGCCAGAATGAATTAACCCAGCAAAGCCATTGATTCTGCCATTCACCTCCTGTCCCTCCCTCAACCCCCTCATTCTCCTGTGGTCTGTCTCCCTTTCACAAGTGGCCTGCTTATTCAGTCTCATTTTATTCAGTGAACAGAAAGGGATTTGATGAATAGGCCATGTGATTCATGTCAGTGACTCTATGTGTGTTTGCTCTCAATAGAAACCCTTTGGTTGAAATGTTACACTTACCCATGAAAATGCCCTTGAGATGCTTTTGGTTGTTCTGGAAATGTAATTATAGTTAGAATGAATAGCACAAACGGAAACTAAAAAGATTGTTTACACACTTTTGCTAAATATGTGTGTGTGCGTGTGTGTGGGGGGGTGTGTGTAATTTGTTTACCAGACCTCCTGGGATGTATTCTAAAAACTGCTTTTATCTCTATTATTCCTATAGTGTTGCAAGTGACTACAGGAAGAGAAGGAAGTCTGAGCCATCAAATTCCCAAACAAATGCTCAGATTCAGAGCAGGGCTGTAACCTCCCCTAAACCAGTGGATGCCTACAGACCAGGCAGCAGCCTAAAAAAGCCTGTCATTCGTTCCTCACCCTCCTCACCGTCCAGAGCCAAAGGTAGCCTCCCCCACAAAACCATCTTCTTTCTTCTCAAATTTTTTGTTTCTCTGTGTCTCTTTGTTTCCCCCCCCTTCTTTTTCCCAAACATACATGTGTACTGTTCTTATCACCAGATAATGAAAGAAGATTTTGTTGTTTTGACAATATGATGTCTGTCTGGTATGACTGTTTGGTGGAAATCTGAACAGGAGAAACCTCAAATCAAACCTCAGATTTTCTCCCTCCATTCATTCTCCCCCTTCCAGTTTCTCTACCCTGCTGCTGGGTTTTATTGCTTAACCTGCTTTCCTCCTTCTTCTCTCTCACCACGCTGCTCTTATTGGACAACTTAAAGGTGGGGACGCATGCAACATGTATTCAAACAGTCTGACCTGCCCAGGTCTTCGTGAGAGCTCCTCTCTTCCCCCTGTCACTTCTGAATCTGATCATTGCCATGAAGATGCCAGCCAGGAAGGCAGCTCATCCTCTAAGCAGTCTGTCTGCTGTGCCACCAGTTGGCAGAGCAAATGCCAGGAAGCAGAGACGTGGAGCAGCGCAGAGGAGGTGCCACCCTCTACTGGCAAGCTCAAGTCACGCAGCTGTGATGACTTACTTAATGATGGCCATTCGAGCTCAGCTGGGCGTAACGCCACCCGCTCAGAAAGTGCCGGATCACTGGTGTGCGACGTGAATCTACCGATGGTATCAGCCTCTGTATCAGCCTCTACTCGTTCACTTCCCCGTCCCCACCGGCGCCGTGCACACGATTCACCGGGCTTTCTGCAGCTCTATCGTAAAATGCACCAGATTGACAGAGCTCACCTCATCCCATCTGAAGTAATCCGATCGGTCCGGGCCCGTATCCTGGAGCTGGAGCGCCAGCCTCATTTACATCGGCATCGTCTTTCTCCTTGGACGCCCTCCTGGGGTGTGGAAGTGCCACGTGACATGGTGCCAAATCGCATTTCTGAATATGAGAGTCTTATTCAGAAGTCCAAATCCATGCCTAACCTGGGTGATGAGCTGCCTTCGGGCACCACCACACCAGGTGGCTCCTCATCTCGCGCCAGCAGTGGCGGTGGTGGAACGCCCATTTTTCCAAAACGTCGCTATTCAATAGAATCGTTGCTGGAGGAGGACAATAATGGCAACAGCGGAACTGTACCTGGCAGCATTGACCGCTTGCATCAACCTCGTAGCCCGCCCGAAGGCCAGCCTCGTGTTGGGCCAGAGCCCGTCCGTGGCCAGTCATTTCCTGTACCCCCGGTTCCCCAAAGCCCACATGCCAATCCAGACTATTCTGATAGTGAACAAGACGCTGTCGCATCTGACCTCAGTGATTTCATCCAGGTAGAGGGTTCCTCCTTTTGCAGTGAGAGTGACTTTGACCATTGCTCGCTAACCTCCTCTGAGAGCCTGTACGGCTCCTCCACCCTTCACCACCACCACCTCCGACATCACCACCACCACCATCACCACCACCATCCCGCTCACCAAAGCCTCGGCCAGAGCCAGGGCTACCAACACCGCCACCTCATCAGCACCTGCAAAGGCCGATGTCCAGCCTCATACACCCGTTTCACAACCATGCTGCGCCATGAGAGAGAACGAGCGCGGCTGGAGAACCAGAGAGCCTCCCAGCAAAGCCGCAACAGCCATTCCCAAATCCATGGCTCACAGTCCCAGCAAGCAATGTCCAAGCTGGCCTTCTTGGTCAGCCCAGTGCCTTTCCGTCGTAAAAAGGGCTCACCACCTACCTCTAGAAGAAGCTGCGGTGGCGGAGGGCGAGGTAGCCGACCTAAGTCTAAACAGGCCATTTATGAAGCACTAGATGCAGCTCTGAGAGACATTTATGAGCACATTCAAGCAGAGAGGGGCCACAGAAGCTCGAGGCCTCCTGATGACAGCATCTTAAGGAGAATCCTGGCTGAGCTGCTGCCAAATGTGCCTGAAAGAAGCTCTTCCTTGCGGGGAAGGAGGGGTTGTTGGGACAGAGGTCACTCCTCTGCATCTTTGTGCCCAGATGGAAGCCCCACTGGTTACGCTTCATATAGAGGAGAACCCTCCACACAGAGGTTACAGTCACCACGGCTACAGTCACCAATCAGTGCCTGCTATGGACGACACTCAGAGGCCTCAAACAATAATGAGTACGGAGAGGAACAGGGCAATGGTCTCTCGTATTCAGGTGGAGATAATATACATATCATGGCTCATCTACAGTAGTCCTTTACTGAGATATAAAACAGATATGCATGAATACAAAATATATGAAAACAGATTGGAGCCCAACTGAAAATGTATATACACAGAATATATATTGGTAAATAAACATCTTTGACCTCTTGGCAGCCTTACAACAGAAGGCTGCCCCGCTTACATCTACACTGTACTCCAAACAGTGATGTAAACAGCTTCTAAATTTGCTTATGAGTAAAAGGTGTACTTGGAGAAGCATATTGGGCAATATTTTCACGCTTGTAAATGAGCAAGACTGCTTGATATCAGTTAGGCTCCAATTCACAGTTGCATCCATAAAGTGTATATTCATTTCACTGTTTCTTCTGATAATGCCTGCAGTTGTTGCCCAAGTCATCTCATTAGTCCACAGACACATCCATTACTTAACTTTTTTGTTTTTTGTATTATGACCATTCAGCCATTTTCACTGTAAATTCTCAAAGTTCGAAACCATTTGATGCAAGATAAATTTCTATGACTTCCAGTCCTCCTGCAGACTTTTCACATTTAATTATTACTTATCAAAGTGGGAGAAATGTATGTTGAGGCACAGAGGAAATTCTGAGTGTGACTGGCTGTGACTATAGATAATTAATGCCAAGCAAAACTGTGCCAAACCTGTATGTGACAGCAATGTCCATGTGGGAAGAGGGAAGGCAAAACACTGGATTTAGTTATTTGTTGGAAACCCAAATTAAATCAAAGATCACAGATGTATATAACACCTAGTTAAATGAGGATAAAAGATAAAACAGTATTTGTTAGGAAATGGAGGTCTGGTTTCCTTTGATTCTATAAAAGGTAATATTTGAGAATTTACAGCATTTTAGTCTACTTGCAACTCTATGTCCTAAAACTGAAGTGTCTCTACAAAAAAAGTTGTTTTTGTAGTTACTTTAAGAGGCAGCATTAGCTGCTTGCTAGCCAATTTTTATTTGATTGGTTAGGTTATTAGCTGCCTCAGTAGGGCTCAAATCCCACATTGGAAGCTGTTAAGTTCTGGCAGGAAACTCTGTCTTGATGGGACCTGACTATGAATCCATTTCCAGTGAACATCCTGCTGATATGTTCAATGGAAATGTGTTTGCTCTGTCAGTTGTATAATAAAGAAGCTATTTATAGGAAAGAGGGTTGCGGGTTGAAGTCAATTTTCCTTTTTCTATTACCTTGATTTGTTTTTTTTTTTATTGTTTTTTAAAGAGACTTATTAATCAAGACCTAATTTCTTTTAAACCCTTTATTTGCTTGGATTCCTGATATATGGATACCCCTCATTTCATTTTAAGTTCCTGTGGATTTGTAGTATTGCATGTGTCTATATGTGGTATAATGTCGGAAAAGTCCCTGTCACTTTGTTTTTTCCTATGCAATGAAAATAAAGCACACCTTTTGACCCGAGCTCCTTTACTCTTTGGAATGACGTCATCCCTGTATCAAGTCTTGAGTCTTGAAATCCCATTTTTCTATCGTAATTGGTAAGATGATGGTAATGGTAATTCTTGTTCATTTTTTGTCACAGACCAGGATGTTTCTAGGAGTTATTCCACCATGGATGGACGTCACACTCCCCAGAGCAGACGACCCACTCCTGACAGAGAGGTACAACATGAAAACGGGCTGCTGACAGGCAGACATTGTCTTTGACTAAACAGAGACATTGAAATGCCCCACAAATGGGACATATGTTTGGAACCTAAAATAAATAGGGGGAAAATGTCAGATAGTATTTAAACTGGATTAACTGTCCCAATAGCGCCACACAATGAAATGTGTAGATTCAAAATGGACATGTGAATAGTATTTAAGGAATGTGTAAAGTAAAACCAGGTGATGTCTGTTGGGTTTCTTTTGTCTCGCTCTAGGTCACCCATAAACAGATGACACAACTTATTCTGTTCTCTCTCCTTCATCAGAAACAGCCTGCAAGGGCCATTTATGATTTTAAGGCACAAACGGCCAAGTAAGTACCGTAAATATACCGTGCACGTTTCGAGAAGCCAAGCTTTAAAGCATCATTGTTCAACGGCCCATTAACACATGGCTGCAGTTTGCTGCATCGTTTTGAGTCCCGTGAGCTCCTTTGTTTGCAAATCGTTCTCTTAAGAAAATTGTTGCCACCAAGTATGAATGCCATTGACTATTTTTTCTTTCTGAGTCTTTTATGGTTTGCATGAACAAAGTCGGTTTGTGCCTTGCTCGTTTTTACCATAATATGCCTTACTGAGGTTTTCTTTCTGCCATCCACCTACAAAAGTCACTGCACCTGTGGTGGTGTCAGTTATTTATTGGTCTTGTTCATTTCGCTTCCTATTTTACCCCTTAATGCTTGATGAAGTACGAATGCAACCACACTTCACGGTCTGACTTTTGTTACAGGGAGTTGACATTTAAGAAGGGTGACGCAGTGAACATCATCAGGCAAATAGATAACAACTGGTACGAAGGGGAGCACCACGGACGAGTGGGGATTTTCCCTATTGCATATGTAGAAGTAGGTGTGCTTCTGTCACGGCACTCTGAGTGTGTGCACCTTCTTTATGCTAACTTTTGTAACTCCTGCACCACAACACAATATTGACACAAATGTTCACACATGCAGAAGATGCCGTCCTCGGAAAAGCAGCGGCCCATTCGTCCCCCTCCTCCAGCACATGTAAGAGAAATCGGAGAGGCAGTGGCACGCTATAACTTCAATGCCGATACCAATGTGGAGCTGTCACTGAGAAAGGTAGCTGTTTGAGTATTCACACTATTTCATGTTTGTGATCAGCTTGTGCTTTTTGAGAACTCAGCTTTTGCAGATTTTCTGTCATTTGTTAGTTGTTAATGTATTCTTCTGTTAATGGTAAGACACTTTATTGCAGATACCATGATTGAAAAGTCCCCTTTGTAATGCCGTGACATTGTTGTCTGTATTATTAATATTATTTGAGCATTTCTGTTGTATAACTTCCAGATCTGTGATGTTGGCTGTGTGTGCTCGACGTCTTTGCAGGGGGAGAGAATTATTGTGATAAGACAGGTGGATCAGAACTGGTATGAGGGGAAGATCCCAGACACAAACAAACAGGGAATCTTCCCCGTGTCCTACGTTGACATTGTCAAGCGTTCTCCGTCCAAGAGCTCCACTCACCACTTAGATCCTCATGGCTACCATGGCAACAGGACACCCAGCTCCACACCCGTCAAGGTAAGAAAGTGAGGGATTCTTTCAGAGACTGTAAAAGATAAACAAGCTGTTGGAAAGAGCTGCAAGGCTCACATGATAAAGTGCTTAGAGGTGGCTAAAATCCTCCCTGAACATTTAAAACGCTCTCAAAACAAACAAGGCACTTCTGTGTTTCACTTTTATTCATCACCCTGTCTTCCCTCTTTCTTACTTTACCTCCATGGAGCTCCTATATCCCCTCCCTCCACCTCCCACCACCCGTGACCTCTCTTCCCCTCAACCCTCTTTGAGAAGGCCTGACCTGCAAGCTGTCACCAGTGAGTGGCTGTACCTCACCATGGAGCCACCGATGTCGGCTGAAGTGCTCTCCCTCACGGCCACCCCTGTACCGCCCACACCACCCCCTCTCCCCACTGACCTCACCCCTTTTCTCACGACACAGGAGCTGCGGGCGAGCTCACCAGCTCAGTCACCGAAAAGCTTCCCCCTTTCACGTCAGTCCCCTCTCACAGAGAGGGGTGCTGGTCTAAACCTCACCTCAGCTGTCCTGTCTTTCTCTCAACCTACTCCGCCACCTCCTCCTCTGCCTCCACCCTCCTCACATTCCTCATTCACTTCTTCGCTGCCAGACTCTTCACTCCAATGTAGCAGTGGGAGAGGGCTACCTGTGTCAGACACAGACCAGTTGGTATGCAATATTAAGCCAGAGATTCTCACACAACTCCCACAGCCGCCGGAGTCCATACCCTGCTTAAGTCAAAGCAGAAAAAGCCCGGACATCGAGCTGTATGTAAGGGACCCTTATGACGATCTGTTGTCTATGATTCTGGATGGCTCCAGCCGCACAGATGACGCTTTAGTTTTAAGAGGACCCTCTTTAGATTCCCCTGGTGCCAAGCCGATCGATGAGACTCAGAGCAGACTGTTCCAGACGCATCAGCCTGCAGCGAAGCCCCCTGCAGTGCCTGCAGCAGGCGACTCTACGGGCAGCACTCGGTTAGCGGTGCAGGTCCACAAGCCTGTAACTATGAAGCCTCTACCCATTTTGTGGGGAGAGCAGTCGCTATCTGTGAATAAGCAGCCGGTTACTGCTCCGAAGCCACCCACTGTAGAAGGAAAGGGATACACTGAATTATTCATAGAGGAGGAGGATGAAGCCGTGCCGGACAAAGAGGACGTTAGAGTTTTAGATGAGAGGCTCAGTCCACAGGTACAGCATGGTGTGAGCTGTGTCTGATGAGTTTCAAAATGATTATAGGTTTTCAGAAGGGACATTGATGAGAAAATAGATGCAATGTTTCGCCCCCGTCAGATGAGTTACTTCTATTAACCTAGTTATTACCAATGAAAAACACTTTCAACATAACAAAATAGATCAAGACACCAATTCATTGCCTGTTGACAAATAGTTTAAGTTAAATACTTGTTTTTATTTTTGTGAGTTGACGTTTTGTTGGGGAGATTATTATTTCTTTATTATGTTGTTGTTCCATCTGTTCCCCTCCATGTTCCTTCTGAACAGCAGCTTTAAAGGATGCCTGATGTCATCTTCTTGTGACCCAGTTTCAGTATCCCTATGAATGTCTTTACCTCCTTAGGCTGAAGGCTCTCCTTCCACTGCAGTTCAGCCCAGTCTCATCTCACCCTCCCCACCACCACAAACCTTCATGCTTCCTCCCCATCCCCCGGCTTCTCTGTCTTCTTTATCTCACTCACAACATCAGGACCAGAGCTTCACCCCTCCCTGTTCCCCCACCTCCCCTCGGCCCCCATCCTTTCCTAGGCTCACAACATCTCCTCTCCCCCCAGTCTCTCCCTCTCCACCTTTCACATCACTCCCTCCCCACACCTCTCACTCCTCCTCAGATGTTCCCTCGCAGCGCCCCGCCTCTCTCTCAGTCTCCCCCTGCCCCGTCTCAGAGTCGCTTTCAGCTTTTCCCGCCCCACCCCCCTCTAAAACTGCCTCACCGCCCCTCTCCACCTCACGCTCTCCCCCCGCCGCCCCCACCGTATCACACGCGGGGCGTAGGTCTCCCAAGGTGAAGGTAAAGCTGGAATGTGGAAATGAGGAAAACAATAAGAAGTCACCTAACCATGTTTCCTAAGTGTGGTGCTGTCGCTGCAGCTCAGAGTGAGACTGATAGTCACATTTTTCTCTTTCTGTTAAGTTGCTGAATTTACTGATGTGGGAAAAATGTTGTGACTCTAATGTGTCATTTTAAATGGAGTGTCTTTGGTTTTGGGGCTGTTGGTTAGGAGTCTATGAAAAGTCTGTAGATAACTAGATGATTATTTACTGTATGTCCATTAACTTGCATTGTACGGTGGATTAGCATGAAAGCACCGGCATGGTGAGGAATTTACAGCAGAAAGGCTTCAATAAGTGAGTGTGAGCTGCCTCTTTTGGCTGATATGCAGTGTGATTAGGTGGCTTTTCTTCGGCATCAGCATGTTGATTAATGATGTTTACAGCATGTCTCTAAAATGTCCTGCTTACAGCTCATTGTCAAGGTTGCTGACTTGGTTACTGTTGAAGATTATTGGTGTGTGGTCTCTGGTTTTTCTGCCTGTTAAGCAGGATCCAGTTGTTGGTGGTAAACCTCCTCGTAGCCCCATCTTGTCCCGGAGGTCCTATCTGTCACCTCTAAGGGGTCGAAGGGTAGGGGACAGAACTCATGTCTCTGTGCAGGGGAGAGAACTTTAGAAATCATCTTTTCTGTCATGACTGATCCCCACACATTTTGTCACATGTATCCTGTTTTTCTTCCTCATTTAGTGCTATTTTCCAAATTGTAAAGGGGAAACTTTTTGTGTTTTTTACATAATGAATTACAAAAAAGTCCATTTTACCCTGACACCCTTAAAAACCTTACAAATAGCCCATTGTGGTTTGTCTTCTGTTTTTCTCTCTCTCTTTGACTCAGCGGTTAGTACAGGATGCACTCCACGGTGGAGGAGACCCGTAAGTTATATTTGTCGTTATTTTTAACATGATCACAATTTGGTTAGGATTAGGCAGAATGTGTTTTGTCAGCTGTGATAAAATCAGCTACTCCTGTGCAGCCTGTTCTAATGCATGTTTCCATCACAGGTACCAGGCTCTTTACAACTACATACCTCGCAACGAGGACGAGCTGGAGCTGAAGGAGGGGGACATAGTTGATGTTATGGAGAAGTGTGATGACGGCTGGTTTGTTGGTAAGGTGACAAAATATACAGACCTACCAAAAGCATGCAGATTATTTCCATTATCCATTGACTCCATGAAAATTTCTCTTAATTGCTTCTGGAAATAATCAGTTTTAACTCATGCCTCACAGAACCAGAAAGTGGCCTACAACATGACCATGAACCCCACTCGAATTACTTAGTTTGTACTTCTGTGAATTGTAAATTCTCAGCGCAAAGTATTCTGACCTTTATTCTTCAACACAGTCTGAACTCTTTCAGACAAGCTTCATTAGGAATTGCTCATCTGAACAACATTCTAAAGCTGTTTTTTGGATAATGGTTGCTTTTTGTTTGTTTTGTTTTTTTGTCAAAATAATCAAACAGTTTAGATAATTTAGTTACATTAAGTTCAGTTATACTTTATATTACTTAATATTTCCCCTGAAATTAAGTTGCTGTTCTACCAATTATTGTTATTATAAATAGCGACTAATAGAGGCTAATTATAGGACAATAGTATTATTTCCCTTAAGGGATTAATGAGGTATTAGTGAATCAGAGCTAGCCTTGTGTACACAACACTGGCAGGAAACACAGGAGACGTCTCTCTGTAGGTAACATGGACAGCATTAGTCTGTCTGCCGTCTCCAGTCCTCCCTTCAGTCTCAAAGCAGAACAGAGAGGCAACACAGCTGCAGCACATCTCAGTGAGAGGATGTTAATGCCTTCCTGACATTCCTGCTTTCTCCTCATCATGTTCCAAACTTGTCCATTTAATCTCCCAGACCTCCCATGACGAGTAAATGAGGAAACGTCCCTTTGTTGCCACTCTGACTCCAATATGTCTTTAAATCTTCTTGATTTGGACTTGTTATTCTGATTTATTGGGCTATGGATAGCTGCTTCAACATGGTAAAACTTTTCCGTTACCATGGCTATGCATCAAAATAGTTCTAAACAGTTGCCAAAGTTACCAGCAGAGGCATTCCAGAAAGTCCACATGATTAGAAAATCATGGGAAGATGCAAAGAGTTCTTCTTATGAGTGCTCAGTCAACAGTTAATGAATCAGCTCAGGGATATGTTTCTCAGGTCAGGTCAAGTCGATGCTGGATTATTGTCCTATTTCTTGGAATATGTGGAGGATGTCACCTTCACTTTTTCAGCATTATTTTCAGCTAGTACTTCTCTTTGAAGCAAAAGGGTTTTTAAATCTTATTTTTGTCATGTCTTCATGGAATTGAAAAGAGTTAAACAAACTGTACGTCATGTTTGTAATATGCTGCTCATAAGATAGTACTAAAGGATTTCATTTAAAATCAGATGTCTGCTATCTGATTTGGGTAAAAACTGTGATCTTCTCTGGGATTAGTAAACTTTCAATGCTTGAAAGACTTACAAGTCAATGTGAAATGGCCTGTTAAGTACTACAAGGACAAAAGCAGGAAATAGCTGTCGAAGTCCAAAGCATTTAAGGGTGAACTCTTAAAGACTTTCAGAAAGCCTGGAGAGCTATTGCTCAAAACCATAATTTTAATGTCATTTACACATTAAATGTAAACATCATGCCTTTCTGGAGACACAGTTGAAAATAAACATTCCTTTTTTTGTATTTCTATAAATCACGGAATCATGGAATCACAGTTCAAGTTATGGCTTAAATGATGTGTACAGTGTGTGTGTTAGACATACATTGAACTGAATTTAAATGTCTATTGGAGAATAAAGTGTCACCACTAGAGGTCAGTGCTGTTCCATGGGAGATTTGGGCATTGACTTTCTCTGAAAAGACATGATTCCACACAGCTCACGCGTAAACCATACCAGTCCATACAGACTGGTTGTTACTTTCAGACCTGGAGCGTTTGATAGTTTGACCTGATGTCTCTCAAGTGATTTTTCTATTTCAAATTTGGCTGAGACGCAATTTTTTGTGAAATGTTGTTATGTGAAATTGTTTTCTGATGTTTATATATAGTCTTTTAAGTTATCTAGAATACCCTTATATATTTTTGTCACATTTTTACGGCCACAAAAAAGATTCAATCATTTTCTAAGGCTTTTTAACAACCGGTCTGATGGTTTTATTGGCGAGACGCTTAAAGTTATCTCCTAATTTGAATGCAAACATTTGGTGGATTTCATGCGTGAGCTCCCAGCTCTTATCTTCGTCTTGTGTCGCTCTTTGTTTGTAAAGGGACCTCTCGCAGGAGCAAGTTGTTCGGAACCTTCCCAGGAAACTACGTCAAGCAGCTATAATGATGATTCCAGACTCTCCGTGGCCCCGTCCCATTCAGAGACACGCTCATCGCCCTCAGCACAGCGACCGCAGGACGTCCACCCTGACCTGCAGCACACTCATGTGTTTGCTCGATGTGTGGCATGTCAGCTTCACACAGACAGAATCCTTAGCTCTAACTAGCCATCTTTAAAGGAAGACTTCTATAAGATGATACTGTTTTTTTAATCTTATCTTTTTACCTTTATTTTTCTATCATGGAAATCCCCAAATTTGTTCCCCAGTCAGTGACCTTTTGACTTAACCTTTTACGATAGTGGAAAAATAGCGAATGATCGTTTAGTTTGAGCTATTTAAACTGATCGCCGACTTCACCGTTTTCTGCTGCAACTCCAATTTCGAAACACTTCATTACATCGACTTTCAGTTAACTCGAGTGTTCAGTCACAGCGTCCCTCCCAAAAAGTCCAGAGGATTGTTTAAACAGTATTTTCTGTCAGGTATTTCAGCCAGCGGGTTACATCATCCTGCCGCTTCACACGGTCACAGGTGGAAAAGACGGAGCATGTATCAGTGGTACGCCGTACCCAGGGTTTCCATCAGTTCACCAGGCATTAACCACTTACTTCAGATAAGACATTTACGTTGATGGAGAAGTGCTTAACCTGCTGTCTAACCTTAGAGTCCGAGTATAGTAGAAAACACAAAGACATCGTTGGTTTTGTTGTTTGATTGTTTTCACGTCAGGATTGATGCACTTTAACAAAACCTGAACACAAGCTTGTGTTTGTCTTCATTTTTTTTTTTAGTCAAACTTCACCCGGGATTCAAAACACTAGAGATTTCTCTGACTGCGGGGCCTCAGCGGACAGAGATATGCGATGAAAGTGTATGCAGACAGTTTGCTGACCTTGTTTTATTTATTAGAGGTTCACCTGTTGATCAAACTGTATTTGTAATATGATTTTGGTAGAGAAGGACACGTGTCGATTTTTTTTTTCTTAATGTTACGTTTTCAGCTCCTCATATATGTTTGAAGGATTATTGTCAAGTATCATTGTTCAGTTGGGTTCTGATAGAAATGGAAACCCCAATAGCTGATGGGAAATGATAAATTGCCAGGTTGCGTATTGTGTAATGGTAAATGTATTTAAATAAGATACAGGATGAGATTGAAATTGATGTCCACTTCTGACAGTTTCTCTGATACGCTGATGGCTTCTTTTAACCCTGTTGTCACAGTCAGTGAGTAGTGTATCACTGTTCACATGTGTGTATTATTTCAGATTATTGGCAGTTTCCTTCTTAGCTTATCATGCAAAGTCAGTACAGTCTCTGTTTTTGTTGTTTTCTCATTTATATTTCACAATGGATGGACACTGTCAGCAAAGCTACTGTTAAAGCACCTTAAGATATGTTATCATTCATTGTCCCTCACGTCACTCCCCACCATTCACTGTCAGCTGGCATATGAACTCATTGTGTCTGTGTATGTGTCGGTGTGTGCGTGTGTGTGTGTACGCGTGCGTTTGTCGCCGTGTTTTGTAAGCCCTTTTGTATGAGAGCTGTAAAATGGCCAACATTCACTTGCTTTATAAACTCAGCTGTTTCTCACCCACCATCACATTTGTTTTTTCTCTTTCTTCGCATCTCCATCGGTGGTGCTAATGTTTTCTGGTATTGTTTTAGTCACTCAGACAGTTTAACTGAAGTTACTGCAGGTAGACAGGGCTGAGTTGGGGATTGCTGCCTTACGTCCAACTCTAATTTAACAGCCATGTACATGTTAACCTCATCACTGATGCAAAAAAAGTTTAAAAAAATTATGCATTTATGTAGAAAACAACATGAAAATGTATAGTGGGCAGAGAACATAAACCTTTCTGTGTTTAAGCATACAGTAGGCTTTTTGTCTACCTTTGTTATGAGCATAAGGAAAGACTTGGTTTTTGGACATGAAATTGACTCCTGACTTGTTTCTATGTGTAATTAGAATATAATTCTAATGTAATTCCTCGTAAAAACAAACTCGGCATACATTCTCGGACCTTAAGTATTTCTACAATATCGTAGCACATGTTTGATTATTTAATGGGGCTGTATTGCTAATAAAATCCAGCTGTTAGAAGATAAATTTTCCTTTTATTATTCAGCTTTACACAGTAATAACTTTGCCCATTTCATTACATACACTTGCCTACAGCAGATCTCATACACATCCGCTATATAACAGGGTTCCTCAATATAAAACACTCTACTTTAGTCTGCTGGTGTTGTGACAACATCTGAGGTTTTGTGGTTTGATCCCCAAACCACCATGCTGAAGTATGCCCGGGCAAGCGGCTGACCACTGACCACCAGTGCGTTCCTCCCTTCGGAGTCGCTTTGGATAAAAGCGCCTGCTAAATGAATTAAATCAAATGATGTGTAAATGATGGATGGCATTCTGTCGCGAAGAAATTCAAATGTCAAATGCACAGTACCATGAAATGCTTCTGTCTTCACATCTCTCGGTGAGGAAGCTGGAGTCTGTGAGCAGGTTCCAGCTATGAGTCAGCAGCCCCCGGAGCAATGAGGCTTAAGGCGGCGTCAACAGAGGCAACTCGCAGTCGCTGTTCTCTGAACCAAATGTGTACGAGACGTGCAGAGAAACTGTAATGTTAGCCACTGGTTTGGGAACTGTAACAATCGTAAGAATTTCTCATAAAATTCCTGTGCAGATTGTACATTTGGCTATTAAAGCAATTTCTCATTCTAAAGCATTTTCTAACAAAGATGGCTTACTTAGGAAAACGCAATTTAGACCACTTTACCAGATTTATTTCACATATTAGATTAAGTTACCATGTCTGTATAGTAGACATTGATCATGGAATGTCACTTTTTTATTGATCAAATTCTTAGTCATTTTTCTACCACTAATCACACTATTGAGGGACATCCTTATTTTTTCATGGGTTTTGTTTCCTATTCAGCGGTTCCCAATGCTAGATGAAGACAAAGCTGTAGAAGCCATGTTTTAAATAACCAAATTATTGGTACACTTAGAAGAAGTTGAATGAAATGCACTTCTCTCCCATCTAATTGAATCGTGTTGTCACGTGAGCCATGAGGACAAACCGTTAACTTGATTCACACTGAAATGTTTCACATGAACAGGACATTTGAGATAGCATCAAATAAAAAACAGAATTTCCTGCTCAGGGTTAAAGCCTTCTGCGATTACACAGATTAAGATTTGATTCACAAAAAATGTTTAAAAAATTTAAATCACAAATATATCTTGAGTTGATTGGAGGAAGGGCTTTAGATTTTGTTAGCAATAATAAAAGATTAGTTAAAAAAGGGAAAGTTTTGATTGTTAAAAGGGAACTGGATTATTTTAGACCCTAGAATGGTGGGTCCCATACAGATCAATACTGGCCGGAATGTGCCTATGAGACCTTTAGAGCCTCACAGAGCAGCTTTGCCTACCGACCATATAAGGATTGGAGCAGCATGACCCGTCAAGCAGCGCGAGTCAGCCAGACCCTGAGCTGTCCGAGGATGAGAAGTGTGCTCTTCTGACAGAAGCTGCTATACCTCTTACTTCTGTGTACAAGTGTTCGTGTCGGTAAAGAGACTGAGACCTAAAAAGAGGTGGATAGTAATGTAAATAAGTGAGAGATTCATGGGCTGGGCCTGATTTAAAAGGCAAAACATTGGCTTCCGTCTGAAAAGAAATGGCGGTTGAAAAGGAAAAAAAACTCTACAGTTTATCAGGGAAGAGAAAGTAAGCCAAGGTCTGTTACCCTAATCTGACCAATTACTTTAGTCCCGGGGTGGGGTTTGTTCATTCCCCTCCCTCTCCCCCCCCCTGCATGGCTCAAAACCTCCATCACTTTGATATTCCTCTGCTCTTTAACTGGGATCCCGGCAGTGTGCGGTTTACTGCCTGCTGCTGTCCGAACAGCTGGGGACATTACAGAGCCATGCCACTCAACGTCGTCTTGGATGGGCCGGCCCCCTGGGGTTTCCGCCTGACCGGAGGGAAGGACTTCAACCAGCCCCTGACCATCTCCAGGGTGAGTGATGTCATGTCACACACCGGTGTACGATTCACTAACGGGGTTTTGTTTGAATGGTTTTCACGCCTGTAGTTTATTTTGATATCTATCCCATTTTCTGGGACGAAGTTAATTCCACAGGAGTTGGGTATTATTTTATTGTGATGCCATGAGTGTGTGGGCCTCCCCTCCGGGAGTCCATTCCAAAAAGATCACAGTTTGCTTTACTGTCAACACTGTCCTTCCAGGAGGGTTCATTCTAGAAACATTGTGGTGTGATATGGAGCTTGCACCTGTGCAACAGTAAAAGCAAGAGGCTTAGATACAAATAGAGGCTTACGCTGTGGCCCGACATGTGCGTGGGCACACACACACACACACACACACACACACCAGTGTATCCCAGAGAGTGGATTTCAGGCAGAACAGTTTAGGAGCATGGAAAGTATTACCCAAGTATTACCCAAAAAATGCACTCTAATCCTCCAAGATGTGTGAATTTCCAACCACAGAATTATGAAAGATGTTGAATTGGGAAAATTGTAAGGAGGAAAATGTAGAAAACACCAAAGATAGCAGACAATGAGGATGATTGTGTTGGCAGATGAGTAAACACAGGGAAGTATAGATTTATAATGAATGGGATTGATCAGTGTTATGACATGTCATTTTTGTCCAAAAGATGGGCTCATCATCTTAAACCGGCAGAAGGGAAAGATGAGCCTTTAAGGATCCAGATCATTTCAATCATCAACTAAATAAATAAACGACTTATGTCAGTTCAAATGGGGGGGAACTGAAATTCTGAAGTTATTTTCAACGACATCCTTCATGTAAATGATCATTTCCCAAAACACATTTAGGGTTTCCCAACACCGATTATTAAAACAGTGAAACAGTATCTCATAGCCCATATTTTAAGAGGTTTTGCTTTTATTGTTGAGATTTCATTTATGAATACTTGACCTTATTCATCAAGTTTCTACACTCATCTCTGAAACACTAGATTGTTCCTTAGGCAGTTTGTTTGTTTGTTGTGTCGATAAAACACAAACAAGGAGTCCATTTATGTGGAAATAGTCAGGAATAGTACATCGATAAAGATGGACTTCCACTGAGGATCAAACGCAGGTATGAATGTGTCCAGTGTCTGCAGAGGAAGAGAATGTTATAGAAGAGGGAAAAAGGAAAAGTATGACAAACATTCCACCTAAAATTCTGAATCCTCATGCAAATATGGAACTGAGTAAACATAGCTTTCAGTCACTCTTCAGTGTGACATGTTTATGTCTCTTGCTTTCCAAGCTTTGCCTTTGGGTTTTTCCAACTCTACAAACTAGAGAAAAGTAAACGGTCTGAAGACAAACTGTAGTGTCCTCTATCCATGTTTAGATGAATCTGTGGTCTGAATCCCCAGACACATGGAGCTCAGAGGGGTTCAGTAATTCTGCTCTGACGGGGTTGGGGTTCATCTATATTTAGGGAAAGACCTCAGGAACTATATAAAAGGGGAATTACATGGCAAACCACCGGATCTATCCAGTGACCTCACACCTGTTGTGTTGGTGGAGACACAGGTCTATAAGAGGCCAGTGATGAGAGAGAGATGGGGGAGAAATGAGAGGAGAAAAAGGAAGTATAGTTAATTTGCAACTAAGTACATAAAAGTAAGGATACCAGAAGAAAAATGTTTGTTTTTGTTAAATGAGATCAAATGTTGAGCAAAAAATGTGCTGAAAAAACAAATGAAAACGAGAAGTGACAAATCCAAGATCTAATCCTTGCAGCAAACTTTCCAGCTTCAAGCACCACTGAATCCGGCCTCTGTTCACTGCCATTTTTGGTTAGGAACATCATCTTTATGACTCACCGGTGTTCCCAGCTGGTTGAGGAGAGTAAACACAAGTTAAAACCGTCTTCAGCAGACAGCAGTTTTAAAGATGAGCTCTGCACAAATGTATACTGTACATCAGCTCTGTTTGCTTCATCCCGAGCAATGTCCAGCACCAGAAAACGAATACAGTGTTTTCTTTTTCACTGCCCTGCATATTTACCTTTATTCTTACAACCGCCCCTTTTATGGCATTCATAAATCTCTTTGTTGCCAGCCACTATTCCATCTTTGTCTTATATGGGACACATTACAGTTAAACTGAATCTTCTTCTGTGAGTATAATCCAACTTTTGAACTATAATTATTCTCTCACGAATATAGACTTTCTTCTATTTCTTTCAAAAAGCTTAAATAAGAAGTGTGTGGAACCATAACCTCATAACAGAAACCTTTTTTACACAGTCATGTTGGAGGGTATTTTTCTCAATTTAGAACAAGAGCTTGCTGTGTGTCCTCTTCCAATAAGCACAAAAAGATTATATTTAATGTCATAGTTTACGGCACGTGGGAGCAGCCTGTGCAAACATTTGCCGCTCCTCAGCTAATTCAAAGTGTTTGGAGGCATGAGCTCGGCCACCTGCAAAATGTAGGGGAAGCCTTTCCTGGGCTCCCTGAACTCACTGTAGCTTCAAATTGTTCCTGACATGGTCATAGACATATGAGCGGTGTGTTTTACTCACACACATGTATGTGAAACATATGCATGCCTTATTTCTCTGATAAATGGAGGGATGGACAGATTGCAGAGTCAAGCTAATAAAATGGGCCAGAATGGGGAAGTGGGTTATTATTACTTACTGATAACAATGAACCTGCCTTTGCATCTGTTGCCCTGTTTTTATATCTTCTTCCTTTGTTGTCTTGTGGCTCATTGAAGTTTCCTCTTGTAACTTCTTTCCTTTAACCTTATCTGTTGTGACCGTTTTTTTTCATCCTGGCAAAATTGTGTGTTTTTTTTGTTTGTTTTTTTTTTGTTCCTGGCTTATTTTGTGGTACAATAAAGCCACCCGTCTCATCCAGAGCTGTAAAAGAAAGTTATGAACAGCAGTTTCTTACCCACATCTGACGGGATTTTCTGGCCTTGAAGTGTACATAACAAAGGTTTGGGTTATTAAGAAACCATTTTGAAGTGCATAGTTTTAAGATTACCAAACTTTTCCAATGTTTCTTTAATGCAAAAAGGAGACTTGGTTAAAAAGAGAAATACAAGCTGAGAAGAAACCAGGTAAAAAAGCAACAACAAAAGGGAATGGTTCCACTTTAAACAAAGACATGTGTTTGACGTGACATGTGAGCTGTGTGGAAACTAAAGAATCCAGTAAAAAGCATATCTGGGCTCACATTTAGTCCACAGACATCGAGCAGTAAAACACAATCTGACAGCAGCTCTGCAACAAATGCTCCACTGTAAAATTACTGCTCCCTTTTTGGCCGCATGACACATCCCCCTCAGCACTTTGATCCACGGTTATTTATAGGCCGATGACCTAATCTTAGTTTCGGTGTAACTTCGTGGGGTAGATTATTTTGCAATGTCCAGTAATGTAACCGAGCACAGGTCAGGGCTTTCTGTGGAGGAGGCGGGAGGCTTGGGTTTGAAGCTGCCTCCTCAGAAGTCCCGTTACCCCGATGGCTCTCTGGAGGTTCCGGGGCCATCTTTATTACTTTCTGGCAAACGGAATACATGTTCCATCTGCATGCAGTTGCCACACATGTTTACTTTATTGCTGGGACAAGAGACGGGGAGTTTATACACAGGCATACCAACCTGGGTGTTTTGATCTGTTACAGGGCTTGTAGTGCCGAACCTCTGTGTCGAGGAACTGGACCTTTTATGATTTGTTACGGCTGTTAGATGACTGGATAGTTGAACCCCTCCACGGAGAATGTGTTCTGTATTTTGCAGACATATTCAGGCCAGGTGAGATTGGGGGAAATTACATAAAAATGTGCTCCAAGCAGGAGAAACAAACCAGGGTCCCAGGCCACTGAGCACTGTATAAGGAGATGAAGTGCCAGTGATGAAGACCAGAACAAGACGTTTGAAAAGGCTCACACTATCACAGTGGAATTCATGGAGGCAGGGAGGACTTTTTTTCTTCCCCCTTTGCTGTGGTATAGATTTCAGTCAAAATTACATATGTTCATGCATTTTGTCAGAACTCAGAATTTTTTTCAAAAACACAGAGGAATAAATTTATCACATTCATAACAAAAATATGTTTTTTTATCATATGTTTTTCACTTTCAACTGGTGGATCATTATTAAGTGGATTATTATTCCTGCTAAGTGTAAAAGGAACCCCATTATAACTAGGCTGTTTACTGAACAAAAACATCCTCAGTTTTTGTTAGGAACAGTTTCAGAACTGTTAAAAAACACATTGAAATAAATAGTTAACAGAACAATAAACAGAAGCTTTTAAAGTTAAAGTGTATTTGGATCTGAGACATCAATCCCCTGAAAAAATGTATTACAAATGTCCACGTTTCTGTGCCCCCATCCACTTTTGAATCAGACAGGAAATAAACCTTTGTGAAAACGTAAGAATTATTGTGCTGGACCTCTTCTCATGACAGAACTTTTCATAAAAAAGGAGTGGTTTTCTATGAATGAATCTGTTTTTGATATTTGGGCTGTTTTGTATCTGTTTTGTAACATGTGCACATTTTAAGATTCACCATGTACTGTAGCTGTTGACAGCTCAAAGACATTTACAATATCCGGCTTTCCATGTGACATGTGGTTCCCTGCATGTCCATAAAGATGGATGACTCAAAAAGAAAAAGTGTGTGTGTGTGTGTGTGTGTGTCTTACCATTATTTTGGCTGTTGTTTGCTGTTTTTGAGTTTTTCAGCCTTCTCTCCCTCAAAGAAAAAGTCCGGGGTCACAAAGTTCTCATGACACTCAGCGCTCATGTACGTCATCACTTCCTGAACTTGAGCATGACATGTTTTTTTTGTTCTTTCCTCGAGAAATCAGTTTCAACTATTGATTGGTTGATTCATATTTGCAGAAAGTAGCACAGCAGCAAAACAAAAGCAAGGGACGGCATTTGTGAAATTAGAATAAAAATAAATTATACAATATCCCCAGAAGCACAAAAAACAGTGTGTAGAGAGTGTATGTCACGTTTCTTTATGGTAAAATCAACTGTTAATTAAATGTGTACGTAAATGTGTTGTTAATTGGTCGGTGGACCATTACATTTTGTGAGCAAGAGCTGTAAGAGTTGCTGGATGGATGAACACCTAATATGAACACAGATGGGCAAACATGATGTGATGGATTACGACTGCTGTGATACCAGGAAAAACACCAGATGACCTGGAGAGCAAATATGACCTCACAAGGAATACTGTACGTCGGAAAATATGGAAATGTTCCCGATTATATTTTAGTCTGAATACTTCCATTAAGCCCACATTAATTCTACTCTCATGTGCTTTCATATGGAGAGATGTATGAAAATAAAAGTTGTTTTTATTTGGGTTTTAACCACAGTGGCGGCAATCTGTGACCCTCTGTGCCCACATAGAGGTTTTTCCTTTAACTTCCAGTTCTGTGACACATTTGCCGCGTTTTAATCACTCAGTATCTTTTCACGTCCTCTCCTCCAGATTACACCGGGCAGTAAGGCATCCAATGCCAACTTGTGTGCTGGTGACGTCATCCTGGCCATCGAGGGAGTCCCAGCCGCAGACATGCTGCACTGTGAAGCCCAGAGTAAAATAAAGGAGTCCACCCATCAGCTCTGTCTCACTGTTGAAAGGTTAAAACAATGAACACACGCACAAACACCAATAGTTGGAGGATCGACTGAAAGCCACAGCTGAGCATAAGAAAGAAATTACGTGCCCCACTTATTCAATATTTACCGTTGATAATACATTGCATTTTTGTCTCAGAAATCTGCCAAATCTATCAGTTTCGCTTGGTGATTATTTAGTGTTTGTGTACTTGTATGCTACATGTTTTTATTGCATCCATCCATCCTGAATTCTGCACAAACTCTATATCAACGGGGACTTAACTGTTTCTACAAATGTCCTTGTCCCGAACTGATATGGGAGCCGTAGCCAAATTCTTTTGTCTCATAATCCCCTGAAAAGAGCAGCGATCAGTGAAAGGTCAGTTATCAGTTCTAAGACCATCCTGGGAAAGAAAAACACAGACAACGGCTTTATTCGAAGCGTTTCACAGATTATAGACTCGCATACCTTCACTCCCAAATGAAAAAGTGATGTCGACCTGAACCGTGGATTAATATGGCTTGGATTTCCAGGAATGAATCCAGACTGTGGTCCCCACGTGTGGTGGAGGACGGCCGAGCTCACCCGTTCAAAATAAACCTGCAAGCAGAGCAGCAGGTTTGTGAGACTGTGGGAGAACAGTTTCGGTCCATGGATGATACAGATCCTTTACCTCAAGTCATTTGCCTTCTATCCCATCCTTTTCCTTCTACAGGAATATAAACCGATTGGCACTGGGCACAACCGAAGAGCTCAGCCGTTCGTTGCGGCAGCGAACATTGATGAGAAGCGGCAGGTGGTCAGCACATCTTACAATACCCCCATAGGCCTTTACTCCTCAGGCAATATCCAGGACGCCATGGAGGGCCAGATCCGAGGCCTGGTGAACCCAAAGTCCGACAGGTGAGCACTCTCACTAATAAAGGCAAAACTTGCTTTTAATACCTGGTAAAGAGTGGAGACAAGAGAGGGTTCAAAGTCATGAAATGAACACACATATGCAGAAATAAGCTTTGCATCCTTTGCTGAAAATGTACAAGGGTGAAAATGTTGTTTGGCTTTTACACTACAAGTAGTTGAAAAGTGTAGCAGTCCATCAGTTTTTGCCTTTATTCCGTTTTCTTGTTCTCCATGGTGAGGATGGTTAGAACTGGAACCCCACAGGAAGACGTGTGTTGGTGCGTGTTGTGCCTGTGTGTGCATGACTGCATATTTCAGCTTCCTCTGACCATCCACAAACATGCGTGCCAAATAGACTTAATTCTAAATTTCCTTGCGATGTGTGCACAGTTCCATTTGTCTATGTGTGACTCTGTGATGGACTGGTTATCCATCCAAGCTGTAGCCTTATTTTTTAAGTGAGCAAATTTTTAGGTATGGCTACAGAGAACGTTTCAAAGCTACCGATTTTTCCTTCATGTCAAATAAGTTAAAAGAATACATTATATTTGGAGACTAATATTCTTTAAAAATAATTCATTAATGTGCCTTTTTCTTTTAGAATTTCAGAATATTTACAGTTGCTGTAATTTATTTCTTTCTAAAACTATGATCCTGTGGTGCCACCTTAAGGCCACATACTGTCCTAAATTTGGATATGAAAATATAAACATTATGAATATGTCTGCTTGTCACTTAACGCTATCTGGTTAGTAACATCCGGTGCTCATATTTCTTTTATCTATTTATTTTTCTCTCAGTTAAATGCCCACCTGTTCTCTGCGTGACTGACCTTCGGAATCACCCAGCCATTCTCACACTCTTATTCACTCCAACATAATTGCCTTCAGCCTTCCCAGACATGTCATATGGATTTCATTCGTCCACATGATCTATGGTGTGTAAGTCTAGCAGACAGGATTGAATCTCTCTGTGGTTTGACATGCAGAGGACACGCGTTACATCAAGCAAAAGGCATGTCTCACTAATGTCTCACATGAGTTTGACTCTTGCTCAAATGAATCCTTGGTCAGCGGGCTGTACCCTCTCCATCCAGTCGCTCTCACGGGGCAACCATCGGCCACTGGCTGATAGGAAAAGTGTCGGACAGTGTTGTTCATTTTGTGTCTCAAATTTTTTATTTCTGAACGCAGTCCCAGAACTCTGACCAGTATTGAGGATTCTGATGTGTACCAGATGTTGCAGAAGGACCAGGAGGAGCCCCAGGAGCCTCGGCAGTCTGGCTCCTTCAGAGCCCTGCAGGATTTTATTGACAGTGATGGTGAGTTCCTGCATCTCAGATGATGAGTTCACTCCAAATAAATTGAAACATTTCACTGGATGGTGCACTGAGCTTGTGGGCCTTCATCTATTGAGTAGTCAGGCACATGCTTATTAGAGTTAGTTTGCTGCTGGATGCAGATTTAAATGACCTAAATGTGACTCTTCTTTCATTATACATTTTGCTCAAAGGTGGCTGTAGTCCGAATGTAACTAGGACTAAACCATCAATCCTCTAACCAAGCAGCTCACATTTTCCTTTTTTGATGACATAACTGTGGTTTAAGCAATAGTTTCAAGAAATTCTATGTGTGCTACGGGGGAAAATGATCCATATACCGTTGAATTTCCTCATAGTTGAAACCATACAATTATTACTGAGACACAATCGTGTTGTTAACCAAGCGCTGTCCTAGGAAAGCTGCATATTACGCCCGTACAAAAGCAGTTCTCCATGTGTTTCCTTGACCGAGTAAGAGTGTGCTCAGAAACGTAAAGGAAGCCTGAATAGCTGACTGCTATTGTAGCACATGTCCCTGCGCCTGAATGTTCCTGGGTCATGCTCATTTGTGTTGTTTTAGTGTATATGCTCCAATCAGAAAGGATTGTTTTGTCAAGCTTTTTATTTTTCCTCCCCCCGGGGGCAGGCACTCGTCCCATTGTGACGCGGACGGTGAAAGCCCCCACAACTAAACCGGCACCACCTACAGGAAACCTGCAGAAACTGCCTGTCTGCACCAAGTGTGGGAATGGGATTGTGTGAGTAAAAATAGAACAGATCATGTGTGGTTCATTTTGAAAGCCAACATGCATCAACACAGGTAAAGGGAACACCTAATTATGGTGACAATGCACCATGTACCAACAAATTATGACCATGACAATACACTGGAAGTGTCATAAAGCAGAGCCATCGCTGGGGAATTGTGTTATTCAGCAGCGTATGTCGTTTATCCCTCAGGACTTGTTTCTGTTTGTTTAACTTAAATAAATGTTACAGATTTACTCTAATTTTGATCAGCAAGAAAAATCAGCTTCTTAGAAAACAAATGACTGGGTCCATAGCTTTTGTTGAAATTGCAAAGCAAAAGATTGACAAAGAAACAGGACATGAAAATGGAGAATAAATTAAGTTGAATTTTTACATATATAAATGCATTCAATGTCATCAGTCCATTCAATACTGCAGCCAGATACGGATGAAAACCACCGAGAAGATGTGAGCATTTTTTTGCATCGATATTCAAATGACAGCCCTGACACTTTCCTGTCCTACTTAAATCTGATTAGATTGTAATTCATACAATTCAACGGTAGTGTGTATCGGTTAAATTCATTATGCCCATAAAATCGATGCTTAACAAACACATTTTTCACTTCAGCTTTCCCTGTGGCCACAATCTTAAATTAAAAAAAATATGGCGTAGGATAATCTCAAAATCATGCAACAAAAGATATTGTATCCCCAGAATACAGGAAATGGTTGGCATGCACCATCCTAAAGCATTTCAAACACACTCAGTTCATAAATGTGCTTGTTTTTTGTTTTTATGGTTCAGCTGTCATATTCAGAATCCTGAAAGCACATTAAGTTTATTACATTTAATGTTTATGTCCAAAATGTTGTTTCTGATGCCACAGTGGGACAGTGGTGAAAGCTCGGGACAAATATCACCACCCTGGATGCTTTGCGTGCTCCGACTGTGACGTCAACCTGAAACAGAGGGGCTACTTTTTTGTGGAGGGGCAGCTGTACTGTGAGACTCACGCCCGTGCCAGAATGAGACCACCAGAAGGACACGACCTGATCACCACATTTCCCTCTGCCTAGATTCCCACTGAGATAAATGTAAACATTGAAGTGTCTGTGTTTAATGTATGTACCTGTTTGTGCCTAACTGTCTGATCAGTGTGATGCATACCGAGAAGCTTGGACCTGTAAAACCACGTTTTGTAGATGAAAAATGATAGTTTGTGTGAATGAAAAGATCAAAGGTATATACAAAATGAGTTTCAAATATTCTTCCCGACAAAGATTGCATGGGACTGATCACAGCGAAATTACATGGGAGAATGTTTTCCTCCATTTCAAATTGCACTCCCTTCTGGCCCAATTTCTGAAAAACACCTGCTAAAGGGCCGTCTCCGGATCCAAAACGTGTGCTCATCTACCAAGTAACATGTAGGTAAAAGGATCCACAAACAGCAGGAGGAACAAAAGCAATCAATAACCATTCATATGTTCTCCTTATTTTCTTCTTTTATTGCAAACTGCATTCATCAATTAGTCCAGATTAGCCTGTATAGATTCTCCTTAAGATCCCAGTTTCTACATAGTGGACCCACACAAACATTTTCACTTATCGTGCCTTATTAGATTACTCGGCTTCTTGATTTTCTTTTTGTGTGTAGAGTAGCTACTTGATTAATTTTTATCAGCTCCACTGTACATGCTAGACTCAGTAATATTTCTTTCTCAGAACTCATCTCCATCCTGAGAAGAGGTTTAATCAGAGGGCTTGCAAACACCCAAGTGAGTGTGCACGGTCCCAAATGTTTAATCTGAGATTTAACATGCTAATAGTGAGAAGGAGGCATGTGTCACAGGCACAGAGTGACCTGAATTACAAAAGCTGACAGAAAAGCCAGCGCCATTTTGTGCGTGCTTATCTGAAACCCATTATGCTCAAGCATAAATGCATCATCACCTGCAGCAACCAGCCGGCAATACCGACTACCGTTTTCTGTTTGACTGCCATGACTAAACTGGTGGATAAACCCTTTGTGAAATGCTCAATGGTGTAACTTCTTGGACAAACGTTCTTTGAAAGAGCAGTCAGCCCTGTAACCTACACCCAAATGACATATGTTTAAAAAGAACAAATTAATAAAAGAGAAAAGGGAGAAAAGGGCAGAAGAGCATTGAATACAGAGCTGTTTCTCTTTTTATGCGGAAAATGAAGTGGAGTTTGTCAATCGATTCTCAAAAATGCATCCCTTCTGATATTACAATAAATCTACCCAAAGTGAAATATTCAGTGATTTTTTATTCTCTTACTTAAAAAAATGGACTGAACAAATAATACAAATAAATGATAATAAACAATTTGTCACTTATGCAAATGCTTTCTTATTAATATACAATTACAGTATATCAATGGCACCCCTCTAAAATAAATGCTCACAACCAAACAAACCTGAATTTACCAACAACGCAGTGTTTTTTTATGTTAACCATCTGTTTAATATTCGGCTGGCCCTAGTTTTACTACTGAATCCACTTAATTATGGCCTAATATAGTACATTTAGTCCAGAACAAATCAATACTCTTCTGACAAGCCAATGAAGAAATAATCCATACGGACGGAAAGCCGATGCATAGATTTAGAGAAGGACTTAAGTGCTTTCTCTTATGAAAACGCAGAAGCTAAATCCATTAGCAAAGAATGGCAAAACTTAATTGGTTTCAAAGCTTTTGTTAATTTTGGTAGATCGGCCTGCAGACTATCCTCATCCTGAGGAGAAACTTTGTGACAGAAGAACAGATCTATGCTCAATCATGTCAGACAGCTAAAGAAACAATTATTGACTCAATGCTGAATACACCATCAATAGCTTACTAAAAATGGAGGGCCACAGCTAATGCCCCAGTCCCCAGGCTCCTCACGTACACGCAAAGTAAACCCCTGGTCAACAGGAAGAGCTTTTCAAAACCTGAGCACCGGTGCAATCACTGCAAAAGAAAAGAGCGGTAATCACAATGTGGAAACAAAGACTAACCAGGGAGGGGAAGAATCCCTTTCATTTCACTTTTGGATCAAACGGTGGCACCGCTCAGCAACTACCGTTCCATCTAGGTAATGTCAGCCCAAATTAGAAGTAGCGCTTGTAAAGAGATGTAAAGAAACACATCTCCTCCCATTGTCACTCCTGTAGTTTTTATTGGTATGTCTGGAGACAGCGTATTGCTTTGGAAAATACTCAAAGCAGAAGACAAAGCATTTTTCTCTAAGAATAGAGTGTTTAAATGGGACCTCCTTTTGCTTTTACAGATGCTTAAAGATCACATCCCTGTCTTTTACAGACAAGGCAGACGAGACTTTACACTGCCTGACTGGTTAGTGGATCATCACTTTGATTAATTGAGTATCTTATAGGGTGTCAGAAAATATGGAAACATCATTAATTGTTGAAATATTTTAAGCAATGTTAGTAGCTCAGAAATTCCTCCAATGAATCACCCCTTTGCGGTTCTGAGATGATGAGATGGCTTTTTCCATTTATTAAAGCTCTGTAACCTGTACAGAAACTCACTCCAGCCTTTTTTTCTTGGAAAAAACAACTTTTGTTTCAGAACATAAATAGCTGCAATTTTTAAATGCATCAAATAATTCAAATAATTATTTGGAAGCATTAATGGCATCATGAGCAAACAATGTTACTGTAAACACAATACTTAGGCACAAGTAAACACTTTAATTTTGTTCTGCTAATTCACTGAAGCAAAAGGATTAACATTTTTATTTATGTTCTCCATGATATTATACATTTTGAGGGACCCTGATGCACCATGGTTTGTTTATCCAAGCGAGGCCTTTGGCTCCTATAATAAATAAAGAATTTTCCTGTTCCTTCGCGGCAGCCTAAATTGACATTGACATTTCTTTAGGCAGAGAAATCATTTCAAAAGCACATTCATCGATGCATGAACTATGTATCATCACGTAATCATAACCATGAGATGTGAGAGTTCCTCAACAGCGGGTGTGAGGAACAACAGCTGTGAAAAACACACAGCTTTCTAATCACACTTGTGTATTTGTAGAAAAAAATACATTAAACATGCATATATTTAATTCAAGAAAATGTTTCTACTTGTCAAAGATTTAGAAAATGGTAACTTTTCAATAGTTTAAGATGGCCTTGAGGTGAGGTTCAGTCAGTGCCATATCAAGCATACTGTGCTAGAAATATTGTATCCACACTGACAAAACTCCATCTTTCCCTTATAGCCACAGTCTTGGGATATAAACTGGTTACATCATGTTAAAACTATTTTTTTGGACAAGATGTTCCTCATAACAGCGCAGGTCCCTGACAGAAGATGATCACTTGACTTTCCTAACTTTAAACCCAATGCTGAAGTAGCACCTTCAGCTTCATGACCACAACCAACTTCAATCAGGACATTAAGAGACCCATGGAAACCACGATGTCAAGCTAAATAAAAATGGGTCCAACAGTTGAATAGGACTTGGACATTATCATTTAAAGTCTAATTTTATACAACCACCAGGCTCTATGCTCTGATTAAATATGTGACCACACTTCAATGCATTGTAGTGAAAAAGTTGCTCCATAGGAGGAGTGTGGTAACAAATGTTCATACCTCTGGGCCGTTTCTTTATTTTGTCTTTACAACCCAACATATCTGTGGTACCATTATGAAGAGAGTTTCCAAAACAAATTCAACAGGCAGAGGAAAAACATTTGGAGTAGTTGTAAATCCTAGTTTTGTCAATATTTTTGGTGTCGCAGAGTCGGAGAGCCTGCAGCAGCTGCTCTGACCGGGGCTGCTACCTCAATGGTTTTTGTCCAAATGAAGCAGTCAATCTAAGACAGCACTAAACCAGTAAGTAACTCCTCTGAACCACAAGGAAATGGAATGTCGCACATGAGAGCACTTAGATGAAGTGAACTTTGATTAAATATAATTAATCCTCATGGCACCCTCTATTGTCCACAAGCTAAAACAGCACCTCTATAATTCTAACTTTTCTGTAATTCTAACTAGCACTGCTAACATAATGGCATCATGGCGAAGGTAATTATGATGAGATATGGTGATTCAATCACTTCAAAGCTGAAGCCCTTTTTTAAACGCTATGATTATCCTAAATATTGACATCATCCATCATTTTGAAATGTCCGAATACCAACTAAGACTAAAGACAAGAAGCACATTCAATGTGAACATATGATCGTAAAATAACCAAGTGCTGATGATTAGCTTAGACATTTGTCGATTTAAAATCAGAACAAACCCTGTCCTCGTACTCTTCTGTATGCCTGCCTTTGGAGCATCTTGAGCCCAAGGGTCCGTGACATTTGCAGACGGACAAAAAGGCCGTCCTGTAGTTGTTGTTCATCCACCCGTACAGGATGGGATTGACACAGGTGGAGCACATGGCCATGATATGGAACACGGTGAAAAGCAGCTTGAAGTCCTTCATGTGCAGGACAGTGCCGTCGATGTCAATGGCCAGCTGGAACGCGTGGAAAGGCAACCAGCTGACTGCGAAGAAGACCACCATGGTCAGCATCATCTTGGTGGTCTTCTTCCTGCGCTGGTGGTCGTTCCGGCTCAGAGTCATGTGGTTCTTCAGTTTGTTCCAGATGCGGATGTACGCGACAGAATTGATGGCTAAAGGTATACCGACTTGAACCAGAAGCATTGACCAGCTGTAGATCCTTCCGTTCATGCTGCTTCCCGGCCACTTCTCCGTACACACCTGAATGGACTCATCCGGCGAGAGATCGAACGACCCGTACTCCCTGAAAATGGCGAGCGGACTAGCCAGCAAGGCGCTGATGGCCCAGGAGAGGACAATGACCACAGAACACAGGTCTTTGGACATCTTGGTCTCCATGTGGTGCACAATGCTCCTGTGGCGGTCCAGGGCGATGATGTTTAAGGTGATTGTGGAGACGTGCACGGTCATGCCCTGAGCAAAGGGCAGCAAAAAGCACAAAATCTGACCGAATATCCACTCATCATAGAGTGTGTAGACAAGGGTGAAAGGTAGACACAGCGTGTTAACCAGCAAGTCCGCGACAGCTAGGTTTACGATGAAGAAGTTGGTCACAGTCCGGAGATTTTTAAACTTGTATACAACATAAATCACCAATGAGTTTCCGGTAAGTCCAAATAAGATAATTGTACAGTACGCCAGGATGAGAACAACCTGAACTCCAACCAGCTTTGTGCTGTCATCCAACTTCAAAGTGTTCTCCTCATCTATTGAAGCAAGCGTTGAGCAGCAGTTGACATATTTTGATTCAGCCTGAGTCAAGTTTAGTTGATCTGCGGTATCCATGGCTAACAGACCCCATCAGTCAATCTGTGGAATAAATATGATCATTAATGCTCTGTACACTCAACTCTGGCATGAAGGAATATCAGATTGATTTTTTTTGTTTTTTTTTTGCTGTTAAAAATGCAATGGTACCAGAAAGATACATATAAAAGGAGTAGTTTCCTTTAATGTTTTATTAATTGTTTTACAGTTGACAAACTGAACTGTGCATTTGTGTAATGTTAGTCACTATATTCTCTATAAAGTGTTGCATTGATTATGCGTGTTCCATTTCGTCCGTCTCTCTAATTATTGTAATTACTTCAAAAATTGTAAAGAGGGAATGTTCCTTTAAGGTAGATTTCCTCTAAAAAATTCCCTGGAACATTAAACTGAACACCTGGCACATAACGTGAAAGTCTGACCACTTAGTGATGAGGCTGTTCTGGATCTGTAACTGTGGCATTCGGCTTTGCACAATAATTGATGGCTGATTGTCTCAGAAAATATTTTTCCAGATTGCCAGCCTAGTATCTAAAACGCTTGTTAAAGTTGAAATCCAGCACTTAATGCTCCCAGTTGTCGATTCGGGTCATTATTGTTTTCAGAAAATGCATGAAACAGTTTCTTTAGAAAAAACCACTCACCTCAGCCTGCAGAGTGACAGATTCAGGTTCGTCTCATTGCTTGCGACTAATGTTTCGCTTTACTTCCTGTCGTTCCAGTCATGTCCCGATAGACCACACGGTAAAAACAAATTAGGCACCAACCAAACGTTCTCCATCCTCCGATGTTGAACATTGTGCGCGCAACCTTTGGCTGTGCGCACTGCAGTCGCTTTGGCATTGAGGGCGCCGTGAGACTGGGAAAGAAAGATGAGGCGGGCTCGCAGAGGAAACGCGTCTCCCACTGACGACAACTTCAAATCGTGAAGAAAAAGGCTATTTACATCACAATGGGTCCGGTTTCAAAGGCAGTTTAGAATATTAAAGGTGTGCCAATAACAGGAAAGTGGGATGGAAATCTCAATTAACGGCCAACAATATGCGGATAAGGAAATTAAGACTATTCAGACGACCGTAAATCAGGAATAATTAGTTCAGTTAAGTGCGTCACTCTCAGTTTATTGGCCTTATATCTCTCTGTTTAGTTTAATAGTTCAAGCGCTGTGGCTCTGCAGAGCTGTGCAAAGTAAATCTGTGTCCATGGACGATATTTTGAGAGAACTCACTCATGTTAACTATCTTTTTTTTTCTGATCATGACCCAGGAGCACGTTCAAATGTGAATAACAGTTTAAGGCAGCATATTACATCTGTATTTTGTTCAATGAGACAGAAGAGGATTTAGCTCTAATCTGATCAAATATGATTAAACTAAATTGTGTTACCTTGTAATATTCACAAGATGAAACAGCACATTAAATATTACACATCATACCACAAATATAAGGGATGTCTACACAAACAGGTGATGTTTTATTTAGATATAACAGCAACGGCAATCTGGTACTTTAACACTCGAAATTTCCTGATCAGTAAAAAATCCAACTGGGACCTTTTAGATTAAATCGAATTAAGTTGCTGTCAGAAACAGTGTTTCAAACCGTGTTTTCAGTGTTCCTCTGTGACAGTTACTGCCCCTTACATCAACATGCAGAAGTGGAGCTGGACACTCCATTTTCAATTAGCCTCTAATTAACCAACAAAAAGAACTCTTGAGATCCCTTATCTAAGGGTGTCCTGGCCAAGACAGATAAAAGCACAGGTGAGTGGGAATCACTAAATAGAAACATATAATTTACAATTTAATCGCCTATTCACTAGTCTATTCACGTCATTTCTACAAAGTAAAACTATAAAAAGTCAGATTATTATCCATCAAATGCTTAAGAAGCTATTAACACAGTTGAAATTTTAATGTCAACAGACTGAATATTCTTCCCCTCAATTTTCTGTATCAGATAAAGAAATCAACACCAAGAATTACTTGCTGAGCAATATCAGTGAAACTGCCATCGTATCAACACATTTATTTGCACATCTACAACTGTTAAGTTGATTTAAGCAGAATCAATCCATGGAATTTCTTTCTGTCCAAATCTCAGTGTGGGCACCAATTTCTGTTTCTGAGGGCAATTTCATTTTGATGATGGACCCTAAAGGAATACACTCAGTAGAACTGGTTATATGCAGTATGTTTCATTAGCTGGCCTCATTAATGCTGAAATGTTAAAATGAGGCACTGCATCTTAAAAAGATGTATCCACACAAAGCACTGTTTTGAGCACAATGGAGGTTGTGCTCATCCACATGAGCATTTCTGTACGTCTGAAATAGGAACACTTTGCCCAGATTGTGCTTGTCACAAACAATAATAATTTCCCTGTGACTGGAAGATAAACAACATACCTTCAAAATGACTACCACTGTCACATTTTCAATTTTTCTCACTTTTTATATTTTCATTACTAGACAGACCTTATTTGAATTTGGACTTTAAATTTGACTACAAAAGTATGCTGTGCTGTAAAACTTCACAGGGATGCAGCATAGATGATAGTTGTTCAAATAATGCGGCTCCTTGTCACGAGACCTTGAAAATATCTAGGAAAGACACAGGTATGTGGATGTTCGCTGCTCAGGGTCTGATCTTTTCGAATGTTTTTTTAGTGGTAAATACGTGAATGAGAAACATAAAGCACCCAATAAAGTTCACATGGTTGACGGATGGTCTAAAGGCACAATATTAGAGCACTCAATTCCAGACATTCCACATTATTTGGAAGCTGAGTGAAAGACGCAGTGGCAGGCTCATTTTGAGTTTGATTACATCCAGTGAAAGAAATCAAAGTACCTTTGGCAGGAACTCCGTAACTTTAATTTAGCAGTGGCATGTTTTACCTGTTTCTGTATCCTTTCAGTTAAGGTATTTCATTTTTTATTGTGATCATTTTTATTCTTTAAACAACTGTTAATGTCAGTTTGTTTTGCTTAACGACAAGGAGAATGTGCAGCTTAACGTGCACTGTTTGTGGCTCACTTCGTACTGCTGTGCCCTTGGTTACTACCAGCAATTGTAATAATCAGATTACCACCATCATAAACTGAGACAACCCGTAGCCATTAGAAAATGAGCTGCCGTTGAGCACAATTCTTGGCAAACATTCACATCAACTGAAGTGCATTAATACAGATGGTAAAGTAATGAGCCAGGACACCCAGAGACAACTGACATGCAAACAGGAGTAGAGGGTGAGGCACAGCGAACTGAGCTCCTTATCTTAATATTTCTTCAAGAGACGATTCTTCAATTGGTACCACAGACACATTTGTATTGGAATGATGATAATATTGAGAATATCCGCATGAGTTCTCTCGGTGCCAAGTTAAACAGGGCTGCTTTTTTAAAAGTGGCTCACCCAGAGACCTCATTATTTTTGACATGTAAAAGGGACATATCCAACTAGAAAATACTTAGAAATCATTTTTATTTGGAATCTTTGTGGCCTCCTGTTGACTGAGGAGGCAAAACTCAGCCTCTGATGTTTTGAGTTGGTTTCCACAAGCTTGTAGACAAACTAACTTTATCTTTTGGTCTACCTCCTGCCGGATGCGGGTGCCGTTGTTTTCTTGAGCGAATTTAGAGCACGTTGTCCGTCATGGGAAATATGAGCTTTTTAATGAGACCAGCGTGAACACTATGATTAAAAAAAAAAAAGGAAATCAACCTGGATTCATTTTCTCGTTTGGCATTCGCCTCAGATGAGAGGCGAGTGCCAAGCCCAGCCATGCTTTTTGTCATCCTTTTTTAATGAATTTCACTTTTCCCAAAGTCCTTTGTGCTCTAGGTCCTTGTGTGCACACTCCCCGTCCTGACAGCCAGACAATGTGAAAGTCTTAAAACATTGTCTTAGACAAAAGCAATTTAGGTAAACAACCTCGGTCGACAATGACCTCAATGATCCACAAGATGTGATTTTGATGCCTCTTGTGAAATTAATGTCCTTAAAACCGTTTTATTTCCTGAAACCCATCACACAGATCCAAAGCAGCCTTTCAGATTTATTAACTATAAGTGGATTTTTGTTCCATATAACAAAAAATATGATCATTACAGGTATAACAACTGTCTTTTTTAATTAGATATTTCATAAGTAAGATATTTGGTCAGCAATTTGAACAATTCATCATATAAACACATTATTAAGAAGAAACATCCAGAATGTCCGCTTGAAAAAAAACAAAAGATTTCTACTAAGTAATCAGAAATCTCTGGCGCGATGGGCATGGCGTGCATGTTGATGCAGCGGGAGTCTCACTTTATCCAAGAAACACACTTTTTGTTCTCTTGGTATAGATTCATTTTGCTCCGTCTTACAGAAACAGAAAACTTGATTGTAAAAGCAGACATGAGAAAATCGGATTTCCTTCAGTGAACCCACCCTAAAACCTGGGTGTCAGTTTTACAGTCAAAGAAATTCAGTTACTTTCCAATCTCAGCAGAGACTGTGCACCTGCACTCCACCTAATTGAACTTGTGATGCTCAGCCCATTATTTCAGCTCAGTTAAATCAGTGCATAATGTCCTTTATTTACTATCCTGTAGTTAAAGGTGACTTTCATTAAAAGCACAACCTTTTCCCCGACGGTCTTACATCTCAACAGTTCATAGAACACCAAAAAATGATGAGTTTTAATGGGTTTTCACGCTCAAGAATCTCTACTTTGACATTTTGATAATCATCATAGTCTACCATTTGGTTGTCATGGAGATGGTTCAGATAAATTGCCAACAATGGCCACATGAGATCAAGTGCTAACTCTTTCAAAATGATCTTTGTCACCATAAAATGCAGTTGGCTTCCAGACATCATTAACTCCGGGTTCACTTTACTTCAGGAAAATATAAATCAATAAAAAGTGACCAGTCTAACTTTGAAATGAGTTCAGCCTTTCTGTTTTTTTTGGTGGCTCTTTTCTCCTCATTTGCTCTTTATTTGTGTCTATCTTCCTGTGTTTTGTGCTCTATTTACAACTGGCGTGGTTTTCTTTCAACTCACTAACTGTTTAATTATATTTTCGTTTAACTTTGAAATTAGTTCAGCCTTTCTGTTCTTTTTGGTGGTCTTTTTCTCCTCATTTGCTCTTTATTTGTGTCTATCTTCCTGTGTTTTGTGCTCTATTTACAACTGGCGTGGTTTTCATTCAACTCACTAACTGTTTAATTGTATTTTCGTTTTTTTTAACCTTGTCCCATTCGGCATTATGGCAGCAGAACTGAAATCTGACTACCGCGTTATGCTGAACACAATGGCTTTGCCAAGGGAAGCTTTATTGGTGAAAGGCCCAGGTTGATTACCCAACGCTGCTTTAATTCTTTATTTTTCTTACAAAACTTTACATGTTTCCAATAATTCCGAACCTGACAGAGGGACAGGGAAGAAAGAAGAGCAAAGGGAAGCAAACTCGGAAAGGAGAAAGATCATTTAGGCAGAGAGAGAAAGAAAAAAGGGAAGACAACAAAAGCATACAACTCGCTGCTATGTCTATACAAAAGAAATAGTTTCTTGTGGGCAATCCGGACGGAGAACGTGTATATGTGTGGGTAAATGGGTAGTAGTGTCTAAAGTGCTGATAAAACAGGGGGGGGACCACCTAGGTGGTAGCTGCACTTTGCAGATCCCCCATAGCCCCTGAAACCCGACGTGTGTGAGTGTGTTCTGTGTTCTGGAGCCAGAGGGGAGAGGGGTACGGGGGTGGAACATGATGTTTTTACTGATGTTTATTAGTTTTTCTTTTTATTGTTTAGTTTCAGCCCAACTTTCTGCTGCACATGTCTCCGTTAGTCATCACCAAATCAGTGTGTACAACATTCTGGGGAATAAGATAAATAAATAAATAAAAACAACTTCAATTAACAGTTAAGATAGGCTAGTAATGCCCAAAAACGTTGGAGAAAAATCTATTTTAATGTTCCTTAAGGGGAGATTGGAAGGGACTGGCATATTAGGCCCTGCAGAGCAGAATACCATTATAACGACACTATTCAGTGAATCTGGAGGAATTTTAGAGTGTAGAGAACAAGTGCAAGCCTATTTCTCCACTATTACTTATAAAACAGACTGAAAAGAAGGCATTTGTGTGGGCTTTTCTGCTCGTTTAGTTGTCTCAAGAACAGACTAACTAACTGAGAGTTTTCACAGTCACAGGGTACATCAAGCAGCCACAGCACTACAGATGTTCTGTGTTCGAGGAAAATCTTCAGTGAAATAGGCGTCTGATGAAAAAATGACAAATTCCAGTTCACAGTGCTCTTTCAACCTGCTATGAAATCTTTTTCTGGACAGTGTTTTTTTTTTTTTTTGCAGGTAGAAATGAGTTCCTTCAGTGCCAGTTTTGAGCTTTCAGCCCTTTCTGATACTTCTTCCCTTCTTTCCTTTGATTGATGCCAACTAAAGTTGACAACCTGATTTCTCATCATTAATACATGCTGATCAATTTAAAAGGAAAAAGAGAGAGTCAACTTGAAATGTAATAAGAACATTACAAATTGACCTGCTTTATACTACTGAGAAAACTTAAATATTAAATATCAAATATTTGTGATTCATACTGAGGGGGTGGTAGTAAGTACTAAAAGTATAAAAATACTGATGCATTGTTTACAATATTGCCGTCTTATCTCAGTTTTGGTTAATAATGTATGTGTTTGAATGTTTCTTTGGTCGAAATATGAGATCATAAACAGCTACGATTCTTGAAGTAAATCATCTTTGTCTCCGTTGATAATCTCCCAAATTCAGTTTGTTTGACAGGTAACAAATATATTCACTGGAACTGGTTGTCCACAAAATTGGGAATATTGTGTAGATGATAAAGTTTTGTTGTTTTTCTTGTTTTTACTAATAGTGTGTGAGCCCATCCAGGCACAGGAGAGAATTAAGCGTTGCTATTGGTGATGCAGTGATGGAACGTTTTCTTTGCAGCACTGAGCAACGCTATTATCCCCGAGAGTGCTTTTGTGTGTTTCTTCAGATGCTAAAAACCCAGCACTTACAATAACAGACAGCAAAAAAAAGTATCTTTATGCAGTTTACAAAGAAAACTCCAAGAAGCAGGTAGAAATACATAAGTGGATGTCTAAAAAAAAAAAGTGTACTATCTAAGCAAAAAATAATTTAGCTTATCGCAGTTTGTCCACACCAACATTTAAACAGCATATCATTAGTGTGGTATCAAAGCCCTGATCTGTAAGTTATTTTCAGAGTGATTAAAGTTCCATTGTGACATACCAATGTAAAGAATTTTGGTCATTAACAAGGTGTAGAATTCACTCCGGGGTATATTTCCAGTAGCAGTCTACAGTCTCAGTATGTTTATGATCTTTACATGATATTTGGCTGATAAAAGGCATTAAGTCAGATGAACAGAACATGGTAAACAGTAACACAACAATTAGCATTAGAAAAACATCTCAAAACTGATTGAGCCAGATGGAAAAAGACAAACAATTCAGTTCTATCATTTGTATATGTACATATATTCATTTCCCATTGCCTTTAATCAAACAGCAGTGTTTTTAGGACGCCATCCAGATGGTGAAGGAGATCAGCAGGGTGAGTAGAACCGACAGCGGCGTCAAACAGCTCAGATGCAACATAATGCACAGTCCACACAGCGCCGTCAGATAGGCGCTCAGTCTGCTGAACACAATCTTTCGTACGGTTGTGCAAAACTGCAAGAAAATTGTAAACGAGTCTCAGACAATGGTGGTGCATTTACACTGAATGACATAAACGGTTGTGGGGTGCCGTGAATAGAGTTATGCAGACAGTAATGTGTATGCAAAGCAACACTAGATGGAGCTGCTCGCTTCATGAATAAGACACAATGGGTGACCTTTCGGCCACCTTCCGACACAAATCTTGTAAAGAGTTCAGACTGATTTTTGATTAAAGTCTATCTAAAAATCAGCATGTTAAAAATGCTAACCATGGAAAAATATTTGACTTTTTCTTCTTGGTCTAAAACTAGAACCCACCTCATGTGCAAATTAACTGCAGATTCTGGTAAGCTTAATTATTGTAACTGAATAATCTATTCTCTAGTAGTATAATAAGTTATGAGGAGCACAAAGCCTACAATATGATGTGAGCCTTGAAGGCTTTGGTTGAATTAAATACATTTTATCAAACTGTTGACAGCTGGAGCTCTTTTTAAAGCAATAATTTGTCTTGTTTTTTGCACAAGGTCTCATCTTATGATACAAAAGGTAAATGACAGGAATTAATTAAATGCTATTTCTGTATATACACTGTCACGTTAGTACTATTGTAAGACAAACACAAGTCCAGAGACTCTACCTGGTATGTCTGATAGCTGATCGCCACCCCATATCTGCAGTACATGACATAGTGTTCACAGTTGTACCACAGCAGACTGTAGGTAACGGACCCCAGGAGTTTCTCAGCTCTACGCGCCACCTCGTCCCCATCCAAGGGAGGCTGATTGCATTTGTTGTCCATGTGATTGATCAGAATTTCCGAGCCGTACGCAAAATCTGCCACCGAGTCTACTCTCACGCTCGCCACTTTGGTGATGACCCCCAGCAGTAAGCGGTTGTTTGTGACCATCTTGGCGATGGAAGATTTGTCCTGGGTGACCGCAGGCAGGATGTCAGGAATGAGATGAGCCACACGATTGTTGCCCAAGTAAATACCAAAATGAGTGAACAAAGTCCTGGGCACCTCTAACAAGTCCCCGCGCTTGTACAGGGAGAGGTCATATTTGGAGTTCTCTTCCTTTTTGGAAGCTGTAAAGAAAAAGTTGAGGAGTTGGTAGAGAAACATGATGGCAATGTGAGGCAAAGGGTCTTGCGTCTGAGCATTTTATTTACGCCGGGAATGGGCGGGGTGGGGGTGGTGAGCAGGATTAAATACTGGTCAATGTTCAGTGTGGTTTTGGGAGAAATAAAGGAGCTTTCCTTAGCCACCTCACAATGTGGCTGTATTGCGAAACTCAAGCTTTGTTTGCAGAGTATTAGGGTCAAGGATCCTCATTAAAGCTGACTTGGCAACAAGTGCAATCCTCATTTGAAAGGTCACAAACATTGAGACATTGCAGCAAAATAACCAGCCTTTGTTCTAAGTTATTCAGCACTTTCTAGAATATTGAGAGAAATATCTGAAGATGATTGAAATGTTATAATGTGTGTAATGTGTGTAATGTGTGCATGAGTCGTGAAAACTATTCGTGCATTGTAGGTGAAAACCATGTTTTCTGCAAATGCTTTCATAGCAGTCATTCTGCCAACCCTAAAGCCAGTTATTCTGCAAAACATCTGACATTACTGAGGGTATTTTAGACAGGTACTGCATGGTGGTGTGGTGGTGAGAAAAGTCCCCTCACAGAAAGACAGTTCCTGGTTTAAATCCCTGGGGATCTGCAAACTTTTTTTTCTCCTACCATCCAAAATGCATGTTGGGTTGATTGATCATTGATCATGTAGGAGTGTGTGATGGACTGGCGACCTATACCCTGCCTCTCACCTAATGTCAGCCTGGATGAGTGCCAGCCACACTGGGATCCTGGTAAGAATAAGATGGACGTGGATATCTTATATGTTCTCTTTCCACTGATATATTAATACAGGGGTGTCCAACTGCTGTCCTACAGGTTTTAGAAAATTCCCTGCTTCAACACATTTGATTCTGATCAGATGTTTGGTTCAAAAGCCCTGCAAAAGCCCACCGAAGGCACTCTGATGTGAATCGGGAGTGTTGAAGCAGGAAACTTCTAAAACCTGCAGGACAGTGGCCCTCAAGGACCAACTTTGCACACCATGGAGATGCGTAAACAATTAATATCCCACAGGGCACAAGTAAAAATAAGCTTTTATTGTACAATTAACATATTTACAGTTGTATATTCACCAAAGTCATCCACTAAGGATTCATATGTCAATGCAGTACATGCATAAACACACTCTTTTAGCACACTTTTTAATCAACTCAGAAGTTAGAAAAACAATCACAGTGTTCTTTGATTCTTCTTAAATTGTGTGTACTTGCTTCCTGACAAGTTGACAGGATGAAACTACAAAACAGTATAAATGCCAACAACAAGCCACTGTATCACAGAAGAGCAGCGTTTGAAGTATTTCAGTCAGCCTTTGTTGCGGAATCACCATTTGGCTCAGTCTCTACTCAGGCAGAATCCGTTGAGCTCCTTTAACTAGCCATCCAAAGAGTGAAGGGTATCAGAACTGTGGGTAATGTAGTTTCAGGCACCATGCCAAAAAAGACAATAGACATAAATCCAAGAAGCCCGGTGATGATGACGCTGCGCTGGTCTCTGATGATGGACTTCAAGCACTCACAGAACTTTAAAGAAAAGGAGAGAGAACAGATGAGAGATTCAACATGAGCAATGGAATCTATTATTTGTGGAATTATTTGTGTATTTTTCCCAGATTCATGTATTCAAAAACAATCTTTGGTCCAATTTACAACTTCAGATATCGGCACACAACAGCTCTGGAATCCTGGAGAACTTTGTGACCATTTCACAAAATTCTGAACAAGGTGATTTTATGATTTTCTGGTTCGGTAACTTGTAACTATGTTTTTGAGGATTGTTCAAAGACTTCTGTGTTTTGAAATGTTTGAACAACAGTCAATTGTGGGATAAGATTTGTAGATAAATTGGTGGAGATTAACTTTTTCCTAATAATGTGTCCAAAACTGCATCTGTTGTGAAGTATATTTTTCCTGCTTAGAGGAGATGACGATGCTCTGCTAGGACCAGAAAATAGGAGCACACTTTGGTTTCACACAAATCACAGAAATTCCATTAAGGTGAGCATTTCTCCAGATTGAGATATGTCAGAATATGTGTCCTAATGTTTTAGGTCAAATCCTGTTCATTAAATAAAACCTGGTGGACCTATCCTGTTCATCCATCTAATATGGCAGGATGTCACATGTTTAAAACCTCTGAGACGTTATTAACTAAGACTGATTAAGTCATTCTAAGACTGATAGTCTTGAACTAACAAGAGGGACATTTATTTTATGCCATTTCTGCACTACTAAGAAATATTGGTGCCGTACCTTCTCCGTTTGCCGGCTTTGCGCAGTTCCATATCGGCAGTACGTCACGAAGTGCTCGCAGTTGTTCCACAGCAGACTGTACGGGACTGCTCCGATAAGTTTCTCTGCTCTCTGGGCAACGCAGTCACTGGATAAGGGCTGCGTCGCAATCACCCTGTCCATGCAGTTAGCGACGATGCTGGAGCCGTAGGCGAAGTCATCCAGAGTGTCCACGCGCACCGACGCGCATTTGTAGACGCATCCGAGGATGAGTCTGTTGTTGGTGATGACAGAGCTGATGAGCTTTCTGTCGTTTGTCAGCACGGGGAGGATGTCGGGGATCAAGTGAGCCACTTTATTGTCTCCTAAATAGATGCCGTAGTGCGTAAAGAGCGTCCTGGGGACTTCCAGCAGGTCCCCCCTCCGGAGAGGCGGGTGGGAGGCGCGCGGCACCTGGCGCCCCCGGTCCTCACGTTCCGAGAAACTGGACTCGAAGAGTCTGAGTTTAAAGAAAAGGGAGAGCTTCTCCACCAGGAATGTCAGCAGCTGCATCATCGTGATACCTTTGGCAGAAAAGGTCTACCTAATGAGCCTTTTATGCCCAGTCGCACGAGGAGGACAGAACGTGATTGGGCGTATTGGCCTAAGCAAACATCCCAACTATTTCTATGACGCAGATGGGCATTTGTTTTTCACTTTAGATTAGGTGACATGAAATACAAAAAAAAAAAAGGGGGATACCTTTCATTTATGGAGTCTCGGAGATTTTCTAAGCGTGTTGTGTCTGGAATATTAGATGATTTTCCAAAGTAAGATGGATGCATTTAAAGAAAGTTTGGAGAGTGTTTGTGGATGTGGTATCCCTCTAACTTTTTCTATAACTTAATTCCTTAAATTAGTTTGTTCTTGTTTGTTTTATTTAATCCCTGGCCTCTTTCTGAAAGAAAACGTTAGAATGGGGCTTTGCCAGTCCAATTTAGAAACCCTTTATTTAAAGTTGCTTTTGACATTTTGTTGACTAAAAAGTGAAAAAATGTAAGACACGTTTTTATTTTATTTTTTCCTAATTCCAGTAATCAGCACCTCACTAACATCCTGGATGTGTCAAATTTATCATATGTAAACAACAACAAAGAATTACCTTCTAAGAGATAATGGCTATCAAAATATTACAAATTCCAGAAATCAAATGTAATAGACCCTCAAGGGGACATTTATAAAGGCAGAAAACAACTGTAAAATATTTTACAATAAAACTGTCCAGACTGATTTAAAAAAAGACATTGGACATACATACTTTAATAAGTATTTTGTGCATTGTAACTAAGGTCAAGTGGCTATCTTTAACTGGTATTTTTATGTGAAATTTATTAATGAAAGAACTGAATAAGAGAAATGTAATAATCATTATTATTTCATAAAAATCTGGGAATTGAAGTCAATCTCAGGAGGACATGTAAATCCTAACTTTATCAGGTAGAGCCTGTACATCCCCATATCAAAAGCTATTGTGTTAAGGAACTTTATGTGTGTTTTCTGTATTCATTTTAAAATGTTTTTTCCAAGTGCCTTTTAATTCAACTGACACTTACTTTTTGCAACTTTTCCCCCTCTCGCCCAACTTTGGTTTTCTTCTTTTCTGTCCAGTGGGTCCATTTTTTTTTTTAATTATCGTAACTGTTTTTTCTTGTTTAAATAATCTTTTATTCGATATCTACGTGCCTGCCTGTGGGCCTGTATTTGGTTCCTCCACCTCACAGCAATAAATTGACATGAAATCTATTTGCTGTTTATATGAAAACCAGCATTCATCTTCAGATATTGATTTGGTCCGATACACTTTATCGGTGCAACTCTTAAAACTGTGCTAAATAATGGCCTTGCAGAGGCAGAGCAGGGGTCTTAGTGTGGTGCGTCATCCTATTTGTTCACAAGTGGAAACGTGTGGCCAAAAGGCATGCCTGGGAGGCTTCCATGTGGATGTGGCCCTCATGCTCATGGGTGCTTGTTGTTTTGCCCTTTATCCCCCTAAAGATTGAGTTAAGATACTTATTGATAAAATAAAGCTCTTAGCCGGGTAAACTCTCGCGTGAGCAACAAGGCTCACGGGCTGCATCATGAAAGGAATCACTTTTCATCCAGTTTTCTGGACTGTATTTCTGATGTGCCACCTGCTCACCAGTATGTTGTTTAAAATTGCCCCAAGCCTGATCCATTAGAGCTATTCAAGATGACGTATGAAAGGTTGAGAGTGAGTAACAGAAATGTTATATTGTGTGATGAAAGTGATTTTATTTTAAAGCAGTTTTAATTTTTTGGACTTTCATGTGGTCGGGACAAGTGATGACACTGAGTCAGTACCAGGATATCACTATACAAAAGCACTTAAATCACTCCATGCTCTGTTAGGGTTGTGATTTTGGGTGTGAGGCATCAAATTCGGGTAACTGATGTTAGCCTACAAAGTACTTATGGGTACAGCTCCCTTCTTCTTGAATACTCTTGCAAAGGCTTGTTTCCCTACTCAGCAAGTCCGGTCACCAAAGGATCTGCATCTAGCCTACACCACACTTGAGACACTCCAGACTCTTTTCACATCTTGTTCCGTGATGGTGGAATGACCTACCAAGCAGTACGAGAATGGGGGGCGTCCCCGTCTCTCATCAAGAAACTCCTCAAGGCCCCATGTCTTCAGAAAGTATCCCCTACCCTAACTCTTACCATGTACCTCCCCTCTGTCCCACTTTCTGTACTTCCCTCTATCTCGACATTGTTACCACTATTGCTAACTGTAATGGAGTATCTGCATTGTAAGTCGCTTTGGATAAAAGAGGTTTCTAAATGCATAAACAGAAATGGGTATAATTTTACTACACAACTGTAACCTCATTTTTTTGGTTACATTTTGACAACACGTTTATATGAAAATTTGTCAATTGGTTTTGGTGAAGCCAAGAACTTTACTTACCTGCAGCTGGAAAACAGCTAGTATTGTGTGAGGGTGCGTGTCAAATTCTGTTTTTTTGGGTGAAAAACAGAGTCTTAGCAATCAAATGACTAATAATGATAATGAAAATCTTGTGTTTTCGTACTTTTTGAGTAAGCCGCATAGTATCTGCGCAACCCCTTGGAGAGAATTTGGGGTTTTGGATGTTGAATGAATGAATTCAACCCAGGATTAGATCTGTATCAAAGAGGCCACATTTGAATACCAATAGTTCCCCAGACAAACTAAACAAAGAGATAAAACTATTTCTTGACAAGATTACCTAAATCCTCTAGAGTTTAGTTTTGACCTGCTCTTTTGACTTATAAAGTGCTTAAAGATACAAAACACAATTTGTTTCAGTGCATTTGCTGACCTAGATTCTGTGGAATCCTTGGAAGAGGGCTAAATAATTGCTGGGATTTGATGAGACTCTTTTATTTTGTGGGAAAGTCAGTGTGACTCAAATGTGCTCCACTTTTGAGGAAGTGGGTTTAATTACAGAGCAGACTGATATGACACCACAGTGCTTATCACCAGACACAAGTGGCTCTACCAAATCACAAGCTAATAAAGAAATCATACTCTGTTATTGCTGTTTATTTAGTGGGCGCATCAACAATGCTACAATAAACTTAACCTTCAATAAATCCAGTTAATATATATATTCAGTTAATATTGACCAGTCTCCACTAAACATTTCTACACAAAGTAATTACCACAAGTGTTAATTACTTTAACACTTTCTTCCTTAATGGAAGACCTCTTGGTAAATCCTTGTTATGAAACTTTACAGAAATCTAAATTGCAGCTTCGTTTGCAAACAAAAACACCTCAATTAATGAAACACATTAAAACAAAAAACAAAAGTAAATTAAAATACAACGGCTTAATCCTTGCTTGGTGTTGCATTTACTAAAGTCTAACAATTTAAAGGAAGGACAATGCTCCTATTTGAATGAAAAAGAAAAACTTTGTTTATACAGAGAGCTCAGATTAAACAAATATGTAAATTCCTCTATGAATTGGTGTTCTTAGTCAGTCTGAAAACGGGTGTGATGAGGAGGGGCTTTCTGGTTGGCTGAGTCTGTCCAGGGTGAGCAGGCTGGTTTACAACACAAGTAACAAGTCGGAGCGAGGAAGGCACGGGGTTGAACAGTGGAGCACAAGAAATCCAGATTAGTGAAATTAAGGTAAACACATTAGAAAGCATGAGTTTAGCCTGATTAGCATATATATCGATACATTTGTAATAAACGTATTATTTCTCATCATCAGTCTAACATAATAAGACAAACAAATTTTTAATTATCAAAGACATAAAACTGTACATCACAGATCACAGGTGAGGATAAGCATCAGACATATCAAAACAGTTTAACTCCTTTTTAAGGAGACGTGCAGCATCTGATGAAGTCAAACAGAGTCTAAAATTTAAAAACCCACTCTTTTTGAAAGAGCAAACACACTACATAAACTGTTATAGGTAACCGAAACATCAGTTAAACGTCTTATCATAAGTAGTATTATGCGTAGGTGCTTGTGATAAATTCATTCTTTAAGATGTATGGAGGACATTTTATAGGTGCGGTCACACCACTTTCAGCTGAGTGGACTTACCGTCTGTGGCCGCAGGCTGAACCCTGAAGTGGTATTAGAACAAACCTTTGCACTGTGGCTTGGGAAGATTTACACCACTGCCAACGGCTCCAGACTCAGAGCTAAGGCTGATAGGGGACACCAACAAGGCTCTTAAAATGTAATTCCTGGTCAGACAACCTGTAAATTATAAGTAGTTTTCAGCCTCAACATTTTATTTGTTTAACAATAAAGACCTTAATCTTTCAAGGGAATGCTTCACAGTAATTGAATGTCATGGAGAGAATACGAAGCTTCAGTGGACACTGTAAAGAAAACGTATAATGTTTGCTTTGTCTTGTTTTTTTCCAAACTGTTTCAAATGTCAGGTTGGCATGAAATTGAATACATCCTCAACATGTCCAGATTGAGTCTTAACAGCAGTCATAAAAGGAGACACTTACCATCTGTTGAAACCACAAAGACATCAGTTCAGCAAAAGTTCAGGGCAGTTTTGTTCATGGGTCTGGAAGTTCATTTACAGGGCAGCAAGGCTTTGTTTGCATCCTGAACCCATTTTTACTGCCTAATAAAACCAGGTCACACAAGGTAAGATGGATGATCTAATATCAACACGATGTCTGCAGATGAATCAATATTAGCTTAATACCGCCACATGTATCTTGACTGTTTGATCTGATGTAATAAAAAGAGAGAAATTAATCGGTCAAGCGTTTTTTTCCTCCAAGAGTTATGACTTTAGTTGGTACTTGTTTTTTCATTCATGTGAACTCAACTTCTTTTTTAAACATTTTGGCCTGATGTATTTTATTAGTTGTTTTTCAAAGTTCAAAGTTTAAAAAAGATCCAAAAAAGCACGAGACAATATAAGTATAAGAAAAAACGGCTGCTCCTACTGTTGTGTCCGTTAAAATTAAATGGGATAGGTCAGCCTGCAGCCACTAGATGGTGAAATAGGCTTTTTTGTGAGATAGTAACTGCACTGAGGGAGAAAACAAGTTTCCGTGCATGTTTCAGATTTCCTTGAATTCAAAAGGCAGTCCCAGTTATGAGCTGATGGTTAATTTACCTATTCTTTTATCTCATAAATGACCAAAGATTTGAAGACGCATTGCTGTTTGTTTTTTCAATTAATTGAAAACTACTCATTCATTTAGATATGATCACATTAAATAGATATAATTACATCTTTATGAAACATAATAGTCATAATAGTCACATTATTCATATACTAAAATAGAATAAGCACAAGAGTTTATGAGTTTATGGGAGTATGATATCATAGGACAGGGCAAGTTTGCTCAAGAGGCGTCTCACATCAATGGGGGCAGTTTAAGTTCATCACATGCAGTAATTCCTATGACCACGAGAGGCAGTACATTCTGAAATTGTCTCATACTACTCTTTCAAAATGTCTTGATTATAAGGTGAAACCATTTCCTTTTGGTCCGACGGAACAGCCCAGTCTCATTTAATACTCTGTACTCTGTTAATAAACTTGCTTTGACTGCATTTTAGCTAAGGGACTGCAAGCAACTAGTACCATTAGATAGTGGGTCATTTGACGATTGCAAGGCAACTTGTAATGCAAAGTTACATTTCCTAACTGAAAGAAAATCGGTTTTAATTACCACATACATGACCAGTAGTTAGACATTGCAATATATTCATATCAATATTCAATATGGTCAGATTAGCTGAAGGAAAGCTAATCTAAAACAGCAGTGACTTGTTTTAAAAATAGATTCGTTAATCCCTTTTAATACTTAATACAAACTATACTGGATTCATTAATTATGAATACGGATATAAAATTTGCGCGCACAGCTTTGTCAGTCGTGCAGAAGCTGCTATCCCTTATCTTTCTCTAAGAAAAGAGGAATGTGCTGATATGGGCAGGATAGCCGGAAATCAGGATAATTAGCAAAATTCATTGATCTTCATTATTTTCAAATACTGAATTATGCTTTTTCAATTGCTTTTGTATTTGCATGCAGCTCGTATTCAGACATGCATCCTGGATTGAATTAAGCAGCTATACAAAATTAACTAATTGATGATTGTAATAAGAATCCGTGTAATTTGATTTGCGTTAATAGGCTGTATAAAACATAACAGCTGCTTCATATTTTTTAATCGACCTCTTCCCGTTGCGTTATTGCATTCACAATAATGAGTGCACTTGTTCTCAAAAGAAGAAATCACTTCACCTATGTTCAGTGTCAGGGTGCATGACACATGCTGTTTGTTAGCTGAAAAAAAAAAAAAAAAGCTATTTGCCTTATAAATATCCTCTGTTTTCATACTTTTTTGACAACTAAGCCACATAGTATCTGCGCAACCCCTTGGAGAGAATTTGGGGTTTTGGATGTTAATGAGAATCAGTGCACAGAATCTAATGAATGAGCTTCAACCCAGGATTAGTTCTGTATCACAGAGGCCACATTCGAATGCCAGTAGTTCTCCAGACAAACTAAACAAAGAGATAACACTATTTCTTGACAAGATTACCTAAATCCTCTGGAGTTTAGTTTTGACCTGCTCTTTTAACATAAAAAGTGCTTAAAGATACAAGACACAATTTGTTTCAGTGCATATGCTGACCTAGATTCTGTGAAATCCTTGGAAAAGGGCTACATTATAACTGGGATTTGAGGAGACTTTTCATTCTGTGAGAAAGTCAATGTGATTCACAGCGTGTGCTCCACTTGTGAGGAAGTGGGTTTAATTACAGAGAAGACTGATTTAACACCACAGACACCTTATTACCAGACACCAAATCACAATCTAATAGGGAAATCATACTGTGGTATTTTTGTAGATAGATAGATAGATAGATAGATAGATAGATAGATAGATAGATAG